CTTTAGTTTGAATTTTTATGTATGAGTGACTAGCTTTTTGCATACTGTGGCAGAAAACCCAAACAGAAAACTTTTATTGATTATTTAATATCCTTTATTGCTTAAAATACTTTGCACCTTTTTGATACCTTGTTTAACTCTTCACTGTTACACAAATCAATCATACGAGAACAGAGCTTCATCAAGCAACCTCATCTACAATATTTTATTTATAAGTTTTACCTAAAAGCTTTGGAAGTCTCTGTACTTTTAAATGATACTAATACCCCTCAGAAGCAGTGTGTTTATTAAAATAAAATTACTGGAATACTTATATCAGTACTTTTGTCAACATTGACAAAATTTGAGTACTTTGACATTTCTGATATCTAGTTTAAATTGAAAATAATCCAGAAACTATATTTACTTAAACATGCCTACATTTTAAAGCCATTTGATGCTCTAGATTCCTTTTAAACTGACCTACCTTAACATACAAACTTACTATTGACTTATCGCCAAGAGTTGTAAAAACAAGCATCGTCCCAACACTCCGGCTGAGATTGAGGATTGAGGTCACGGCCTCAATAATCATGTGCCCTTTTGGAGCAAGAACCTAATGATCGACTGACTATCGGCAAACAGCTAGAAGCATGCAAACCGCTGTATGATCGATACAAAATTGCAAACTAGGAAACGTACCTTCACTATTTTGACTGTGACTCGTTTGGCGTTCATGTTCGCCTCGCTATCCAGCTACTGAGGGCGGCTTTTCGACTTTCGGAAAACGGAAAACCGCCTGTCGCCCATCACATTTTCGACTGACGTGCGTGAAAGCGAAGTGGTCGGAAATCGTAGAGGGTGTGCGCGCTCATCGCAAAGCTGTCAGTCGATTCTACAACCCCGCGTTCGGGTGGGATTGCGACGGGGTGGAACTGTACGGAGCCATGGGGGGAAGGCGACCGTAAGCGCCGGGATTAATCCCCGATTCGAAAGTGGAGGCATGGGCGCACCGTTTCGCACACCGGCGTGACAAACGACCGTAACAACTATACGAGGGACAAGAAATGTTTTGTTTGAAAAAACGAATTCACCATTGGAAACGTTTATGTTTGAGATATTTTTTTACTTAGTCGCCATTTTTTTCTACGCATTTTTTTAGACGTGAAAGGGGCCGTTCAAGTATTACGTAAGCAGATTTATTACAATTATTTACCCCCACATTCCCCCCTGTCAGCAAAAGTAAGTAAAGCTCTTACCCTCTCCCCCCATGCTTACGTAAACATTTGTCAATTAATGTATTGTTTTTTTTTAATATTATAATTATAATTGGAAAAATAAGAAAATAGATTTAGGATAGAGATTATATTTTACTGATACAGTATTCAACGTAGAGTAAAGGACAAAAATATTATATTTTACTAACATAACAAACTTATTTTAAATTTTTGGTACATATATTAAATTCAAATTAACAGTCTTCAGTCCATGAAACCCGAATCCATGATGCTCAGTTTTCGATAACATTGGATTGCTTCGATTGCTGCTCAGTTTTGAGAGTTTGCTCGCTTTCATCGCATTTTGGAACGTCTACGTCGTTCACATCGAGCCATTCAACATCATGGTGCTCTAAATTTTGAATTATGCAGATCAGTTCATTAGCACGACGAGCAGCGACTCTTACAGGTCTAACTTTTCTCTCGGTGTGCGTGTTTTTATGGATATTTTCGATGTGACGATTTAGTGACTTGACGGAAGCATGTTACAGACCACACGTTTTGTAGGTTAGACTTGATAGCCTGAATTTTACCGTCGTTTACAAATAATCGTAGGGCATTTGCAGGAAATCTTTGAGTGAAACACTTAAGCGTACAGCTAAATTGACTGGAAGATTAAGAAATGGTCCTCCTTCATCTAAAACCAAGTCATCAACTGTTTTTTTACTTTTACAGGTGGTGGAAGAATCCTATTGTCTAGTAATCTAAATAGGCCACTTCTTGGATGACAGCATTCTGTATCTCTACATTTTACAATTTGAAGCAAGTATTGGCATATGTTCTGAATATCATTTAATGTCTGGAAAATCAGGAAGATCTTGTTCACTTGCCCCAACATATTTTGCATTAACATTATAGCCATCAATTTCCATTGAACTCCATACCTCAGCTAATACATTTCCTGCAAATTCGAAATTAGATCTTTCTAAATGTTCATCAATTGTAACGCGACGTTCATCCAAATGAGACCCAAAATGGCCATGAGGCAATATTAAACCAGCCAGTTCCCGACTAAGAAGAGCCATTCTGCGCTCTACTCTGTTATACACACTTCTTCCAGGAACATTTGTAGCTAAAAACAATGCATCGAGATCATGTCGCTTAAAGTGTTGTATAGCCTTTGACTTTTTGATAACGTGTATTTTCATCTGGCCCTCCATCAACCGTCATGATTACCACTGGTTTTACTAGTCCATGGTCAGTTTTAGCTAATGGTCGAAACTCTTCAAGTTCGTGAAGCGTCTCGAAATCCTGAGCATGAGTATTAGCAGTAGATGAACCATGCTTTCCACTTCGAATAGCGATGTATGTTGGTCCAGAATATCCAACAGCTTGCGGTTGTCCTAGCATATTGGAAGTGATTTTGATACCAGCATAAACAGATGGTATTAATTTATGACGCTCAGCGATTACCCAATCGTGATCAGGCAATTTGATTCTATATTCCATGTGCATTAGAAGAGGTGCTTGCTTATTTGCCGCAGTTACGCCAATAGGGACTCGAGCTTTATCATCTTGAGATATGAAAAATACTTGATCTGGTCCAAGTATGGATGCTATGTTCTCTAAATAATGGATTGATGTTTCAGCGAACTTGCTATTTAAGTGGCTCTTGTGGTGATCAGTTTGAGCCCGAATGAGCTTAACAAGGACTGTCGATGCATGTCTTCGTCCCTCTGCAGAATTAGATTTTCTGGGAATCAAACGAACATATGTCCCACTGCGACTAATGTCAAATCCTATTTTACGTAATTCTTGTGTGAGTTCATCAAGAGTTTTTACGCTGCGAATTGATTTCGTTCGTCTTCTATCATCTGCTGCACTCCCAAATAAAGCTATATCGGCGATTGTTTTCAATAGAGAATGTTGATTGCTTTCAAGATTAGCATGTCCCACTGAATCCCTCAGTCTTTTTTTTATTTCTCGATTTTCATGACAAATATGTTCTAACTTTCTTTTCATACCATCCCTGTGTTTCTTCTGGGCAACTGCGTTTTGAACCTTCCTGTTTAAAGACTGTTTTTATTTCCTCGCGCAACCTAATGATCTGTTTATCAACGTCAGCACGACTTGGCATAGTATCTCTGGTAGAATACAAAGCATTCAGATTTTTTTCGAGCAGGGCAATCTTATTTTTCATAGCTTCCTGAGAACGTTTTGCTCTCTGTTTATCTGTATTTTCATTAATTTCGCATTGCTGTTGTGATTCATTACCGGGTTTTATTTTATCTTCTGCCTCTTTTTTAATATTTGAAGCTGGCTGTATAATTTGTGTTTTTTCTGCAGGTTTACAGGTTGCCTAAAAATAAAATCTTTCTATGGCTTCTGCTAAAGATTCTCTTATTAAGCTACATAAATACAAAGTATGGCAATATATATGGTAAATACAAAACCCTATGGCTTTAAATCTAATGTGTTTAAACGAGCAATTCGTTCCGGTCACAAAATACAGGGTGTCAGTTTTCTCTATATATGTATAAAACTAACATCCTGTACTTTGTGACCAATTGACTGAATCAGTCATAAGAAATAAATCTATAATATAATGAATATTACCTCTATACTTTGAGATAGGCCATAATATTTTCTAATCAGTAAAAAAAATTTTTTTGGCGATTTCTAATATTTCTAGTACTCATAGGTACCTAAAATGATTTCGTCACTCACCTTAGAAAAAAATTTAGTAGATTGGATTTATTCTTAGTCGCCGCTTGCAATTCTTCTTCGATTCTCTTAGATACAATAATATTTAGTTCCTTGTCGGATTTTGCTTGTATTTGTAATTTTGCCACACTTCGTTAACTAACTTTTGTACATTTTGTACTTTCGTACTTGTATGAGATTTTTTAAAACTTTCAAACAATTTTTGGTATAACTTGGATTTGTCTATGTGAAACGACATCTTATTTAAACATTAAACTTTGGCTAATGGAATCAATGGTAACACAAATGTTAACTTGCTTTACTATGCTTACAATACGTCTACTCGCTATAGTGTCCAAACGAAAAAATACACTGATAGAGGAAATTTAGACAAGTGAACACCGCGCGGTAATTCCCCTACTCGGTTCTAAAGCGAGTAGGGGAATTACCGCGCGCTGTTCACTAAACGTATGCATTATTTGCGGGAATCCCCGAAAATGCGTTTCGTTTTCAAGCAAAGACAATGTGAGGGTTGCCATTCGTGTAAAAAAGTAAATCCTGACATGACAAGAAAAAACCTTTACAAAAAAAGTACAGCTCGGAATAACTTCAACATTTTATCAATTTTGGGTGTTGCATTTTATACGTCTCTTAGTTTACATATGTTGTTAAATGCACAGTGAAATTAGTCATCCGTTTTATTTTATTTTATTTCGTTTCATCTAGTTTTTATCAATTTTAATTTCAGTTGTTTATTCTTCTTCGCATTTTAACCGCTAGCTTCTTAGTTCGTTGTATTTTGTTATTTTTACCATCATGTTTTTTGCAATGTCTGTTTTCTTTCCATGAACATGTGGTCTGTGTGTATCTACACATTACAGAATATTACGCTGCTATTTCTATTTGATTTTAATCTTGAAATAACTTCTGAAAGATGGCAGATGTTTATTGCGTAAAAGCCAAACAGTAAAATATACCAAGATCTTTACGTACGTTTACATTTGCTGGCAGAAAAAAATCTGCATACGCAATACCTGAACAACCCGTTATGTCAATCTAACCAGGCACAAACATTTGTGACGAAAATGAATAAAATAACAATGACTTCGAACAATTTTATTCCAATGTTTAACACAGATATACTCTTATGATAACATACAGCTGACTGTCTTCAAAGGTACTACAAATATGACGAAGCTATCACTCGTCTTTTACCTGCGCTCCTCTGTTGTATCCCAAGCGTAAAACATCGGAATGGACAAAGCCTCGGGACTGAAATGAAAAGAGAACAACGATTAATATAATTCCCCGCGCTAGTCTGGCCATTCTCGAGGCCCACCGCGGCCAATCCAACGATTTGGATAAACAGTCTGTAAATAATTACAGTGAAATGCGCTGGTGCACCATCATGCATGTACCTCATATCGTTTCTTATTACTAACGGAACATTATCAAGTAGCAAAGGCAAATGTTATTGAAGAAAATTGAGGTAAGTCTGTCCGTCAAGAAGAATGGTTTGTTTTAAATTCAAAAAAATTTATTTGGCAAACAACCATTGCTTTTGCGTTGAAAAATAAGCACATTTATTAACTTTCACTATGTACTAAATATCAGTGAAATATTTGAAGCGGTTCTGAAAATATTAATTAATTTCCATTTTTTTCAACATGCTGAGTATTTGTAAGGAAACATTACTGGACCATAATTTATAAAGCAAACTAACTAACTATCATTAAGAAACACCCTGTATATTGGTACGACCGGTCTTTCCTTATTGCCCAGAAACCAGATAATGTCAAAGAACAAGAGAAAGGAAGAGAGAAGAAAAAAGGGAAGAGCTAAGAAGGAAAGGAGAAACGAAAGTGATGGGAATTTCTCAGGCTAGTAGTGAAAAAACAAGATTATAATCGCAACCAGAAGTTTTTATACTCGTTTTGAAAATCTGAATCCGTAATTACAGTCATGCAAATAATTATTGTTTATTGTGCTCAAAAAGTCAGAAATATAGCGATTTACCTTGCAGGAATTGTGTAGGATGCTCCGGTGCTCCTTTTTGCTGCGATGCCTCGACATACCGGCGCAAAGACGTTCACTCTAGAAAGAAAAATTATCTTGGTACGGATCTAAGAAAATGAACTATGCTAAAAATCATAGACAGGAGAATGTCATTTTTACCTCGCGATGACTCAATGAAAAAATATCGCAACTTAAAACGACTGTGATCGAGACAAGCACCTCTCAGGAAAGACTATAACAAAATAATTTGATGGATCAAGTCAGTCGAAGTCACTCGGTTTCTCTGTCTGTCTGCCAATTTTGTTTGGCATTTTTCTACAGAGTAATCTCATACACCAACTTTAATGAAATTTATTAAAATCGGTGCTCACTGTCGCTACAAAGATAACGGAGCTAAAAACTAAAAATTTCAAAATATTGGGCTCATTCAGGAAGCAAAAGTCTGAATGCTGCTATCCACAAACTTAAATGAATCTTTCTTTTTTCCTCAAAACACATTGGTGGAGGTCGAGTTATAAAAATGGTGGATGTGCCTGCTAAAGTTATGTTTACTTTCATTAATGGTGAATGCTCGCAGTGATGACTTACATCAAATAGACTATACTATAACTATCTAAAACTGTAATGACTCATCGATGTTCACGTGAACATCACTTAACTACCAGTAGTCGGCTGTTCATAGGCGGGGTATGAATGTTTAACATGGGTGAACTAGATTTGTCACATGCTTAATAAAGAGTGGTTTGAAACATATTGTAAGTCAAAAGTTTGGGAATTACCTTTATTCATCGTCGCTTCCACATACATCTGACAGTAATAAACTGTCGCTATCGCTTTCCTCGTTGAAATTGACTATAACTGGCTCTATGATGGTGTCGATGTGGTGGTCAAGCTGCCACACTTTTGTTTCTTCCTTCACAACATGACGGATAGCATTCTGCCAAGCTTCGGGCGTTACTAGCTGTATGGAAGTCTCAAGTAAAACCTTAACGTCTGGTAATTTGAAGGTTGTGTTATGGCGCGCAATATAACCCTTCACTTGAGCCCAGATGAGCTCTATTGGGTTCAGTCCACAGTGGTAGGGCGGTAACCGCAGCATAGTGACACCACATTGACGGGCCATCTCATCAGTCACGTAACTAATGTTCGCAGGTTTGTGCTGTTTAATTTTTTCATACAATTCCGCTTTCACACATGAATCGTCAAACGGGATTCCTTTTTCGCGCAACCATTGCTGCATGTCACTTTTTCGAGATCCCATAGTCGGTACACGTTCGGCTCGACGACTATGGTAGGAAACATTATCCATGACGATCACCGAGTTGGGCTCAACTCGCTGAAGCACCCCTTGAAACCAGCTCTCGCAGCTGCTGGCATTCATTTCGTCATGGTAATCACCTCCTTTCTTAGAGACGAAAATCAAGTCACACTCTTCTAAAAAGCCACTATCGCTACCAATATGAATTACGATCAATCTTTGACCTATCCCTGACGGTCCACGAAGACCTGTTGACAAACCTTCAATGCTTGCTTGTCGGTTACTCACTACGTTTTTGTCTATCCAGGTTTTTTTAACTGTGTGACCTGCATTTACCCATGTATCGTCCAAATAATAGATTTTTCTGCTTTGTCGCCTATATTCAAACATTTCGCGTAGGTATTTTCGACGCCAGGCGACTATTTCAGGTTTCTATCAATAATGACTTCCGATTACGCGTTTCGTAACGAAAATTAATTTCGTGCAGGGATTTCCTCATTACCTCGACGCTCATTTGGGGTATAATTTCATTTTCCTTGATCGCTGCATGTACAGCCTTGAGTGTTGGTATCTCATTCCTAAAGAAGAATGAATGTACGGTTCGCCTTAACGCCATTTTGCTATCGCCATCCAATTTAACGGCCTTTCGTCCCTTCAAATTAAACTTTGGATCAGTAGTTGCTCCAGTTTTCTTCTTTTCATGCACCACCCTGCGAATGGTCCACTCTGGAACGCCTGTCATACTTTCACAACGCGCGATTGCATCTCCCTGCGACATAGTTCTGTTCAGATAATTGAACACGCTGAGCACGATTTCTTCCGCGTCCCTCTTCAGTGCTTTACGAAGCCGTCTACTTGTTCCCTGGCTTTCAGTACTTCCACTCGTGCCATTTGTACTCTCCATGGTTAAGTATCACCAAAACAGTAACCACAGCAACCACAACAGTAACAATCACACAACAATTCTTATAAAAACACACAATATGCGATCGCTCAACGAAACACGTTCCAATGCGTTGCCGACGCCTATGAGTCTGCCGGTCGAGGCGCGTCTTTGATTTCATTGGTTCTACCGGCGGAGGACAATCATTATTTCCATCTCTGTCTGTGCTGTTGACCACCGCAAAGCCACAGAAACGACATATATCGTACGCTATACGGCTGTACTGGAAAGAAGCCGGGATCGAGCTCTGATCACGTGTTGATCACGCGTATGAATCATTACAGTTTTAAATAGTTGTAGTATAGAAAAAATACACAAATAATTATGTGCTGAGTTCCTATAAAATATAAAAATTCAATAAAAATGTTGAAGTTGGTATACTATAATACATATTTTTCCAGAAAATACGGGACATTGGATTTGATTCTCTAAAAAGAACTAGCACTGTGGAACAGTTTAACAGTCGAGCATTTACAAGGCAGAAATTCAAATGCCTAAAGGCAGCAAGATCCAAACGCAAAAATAATTAAACAAAATAGATGTTTTAAACATATAAACCGTTTTAATAACTAATACATAAACTATATTACTTGTGAGACACAATAAATTGAATCTCAATTTTAAAAAACCTAGTTTTTAGTTTTTCCCGATCTACGACCCTAAATCCCGATTTGTTTTACTTTCTACCCCGCTTTGAAGCAAATCGGACCTGGCAGCACTAGAGTAATGTTTCGGGCAAATACAATGATGATGTTAGATGTACAGTTACCTGCAATTAACTTTCCGGTATTTGCCTCCTTTTGGTGGAGATTTCTTATAAAGCCGTTCCTCAAAATCAACTGGAGATATCTTCTCGTAGACTGTATCATACTTTTTGTAAGGAATGCTGGAGATTTCTTCTACGATCAGGAAAACCACGCAAAGGGCGCAGATCATCTTAACGCTCTCCAGGTTCATGCTGGTCGAGGAACCCTGCAAGCAAAGCGAACTTCAGAATAAAATAGTACGGGTAGTATTTTCTCGGACAATCGGTTTTTATTTTTTAACTCAAAAATGGCGCATCGAAGGAAAACAGTTCAAGAGAGATCATTTGTTTTAAATTGAACGGGGAATTCAAAAATTATTTTTATTTGGCAAAAAACCATTGGCGTACCATTTTTTTCTTGAAAAATATTGAAGTCAATACCCGTACGCGCGCCACTGTAAAGCAAAAAATTGTTTTTGCATTGAAAAATATGCAACTCTATTAACTTTGACTACGTACTAAATATCAGTGAAATATCTGAAGCGGTTCTGAAAATATTAATTAATTTCCATTTTTTTCCTAAAACTTCAACATCCCGAGTTTTTGTAAGGAAACATTTTTGGACCATAGTCTATACAGCAAACTAACATTAATTTTTCATTTAGATTCATACCCGTAAATATTCGCATATCATTAAGGAACACCCTTTATGCCTAATCCAATTAATGCAAATTATCATCAGACTACCTCGTGTTGAATAAATAAAGCTTACCATATCCGTTTGAGAGTACACTATCCCGGAATCCAACGATATGACTGAGATCTTGTATTCAAATTCCCTGAAATATAAAGTGGCAGCGGACAAAGACAAGCGCATGCTCTGGAGGAAAATGAATTTTCACAACCCGAGAGGAAATCAGCTAATGAGACGGAAGAATCGTTCGGTACTAAGTTTGTATGGTAATGTGTGTTTTCCTTGTTTGATGAAAGGAAAGTAAATCGATTGAACCGAAACTAGAAGTCCTCAATATAAAGTTGTGTGTTCGAAAGATTATTGCTACATGAGACACATATTTAATTTGATTGTCCTCTGTGTTTGTCCACGATTGGACTATTGCTTAATGTCCTTTGTATGGATGAGGATTGTCGCAATAAATAGTGAATTCAAAGGACATTGAATACAGGGAGATCGGAGTGTTGGAGCTATAAGCAGATAGATAACAAAGTTAACGTGCAGTGAAGTAGCAGCGAATCAGTTAAAAATAAATTTGGAACATGTATACTGTGTATGATATAATATAACAAGAATACGTCAACCAAACAGACCTATACAAATTGTTGTTGCAGTTCTCGTCTGTTTCGTGCATGGTCCGCGTATGTTTTTTGCGCCGCGGTACGGATAAATTAGTCATCTGGACCGGCTCGCCGGGCGTTGAGCTTAGATAGCAGAAGTAGGCGGATCGAAAACATTTCTCATTTATTCTATTTTAAAGGCGTATTTTGTATGGAATAATGCTGTGAATGTTGTTATTAATTGATTGACCAATAAGTTCCAATATATAGAAAGGGCCAACCATGGAAATGTCGTATATAACATCCAAAAATCATAATATCTCATTTTCCAAATGTTCCTCGCCAGTAAGCGTCATAAGTAAAATGGACGATCTCTAGTCGAAATCGGTAGCGTCGAATTTACAGAATGCGGACACCTCATTGCTGTCAGTTTGGTTTTGCAGCTATTGATCGCATACATTTTGAATGAAAATGGTGGATTAAACTGTTTGTTGTCGTTACCATTCTTGTTATTGTCGTTCTTTCAAGGGCGGCGTCTGTGGTATGACGTATGTCAGTTTTGTGTTTCCTTCCTTCTATGTTCTGTGATTTTGTGTTGTGCTACGATCTGACATCTGTCACTTGTCACCATTTTCTGTGTTTGGAGAATTTGTTTAAAATTACAATAATCGCCTGTAAAAAGTTTTTGTAAAGACTTCCGTGTGAATACAGTTGCTGATCGCGCAAGGTAACTCACCCTACATCTATACTAACATAATTTCTAATGGAAACAGGTGGCGGCTACCGTCCAAGAACAAATCACACAAAGGTTTTTGCAGCGTTCGCAAGTTTTTTGTCGATGCGGATAGAAAATATTTGGCTATTCATGTTCAACAAACGCTGACACTTGTATCTTCACGGTTATCTTACTAAAAATTGCTTAATCGATTTGATCATTGCTAAAAACATTCCAGATGCCGAACATCAAGCTTCAGTCGTCCGATGGCGAGACATTCGAGGTTGATGTGGAAATCGCAAAATGCTCAGTGACGATCAAGACTATGCTGGAAGATTTAGGTATATATCAGTTAGAGATGCACCAAGTGCGACTTTTTTCAAAAACCGGGTACTCAATGCAGTGATTTGCTCTGGATTATATCGGCTACTGATAGAAAAGTATATTTGACAGGTTCCTTTATTCTCAAAATTGATCTACTTTTCAAAAAAGTAAACATACCACAAAAAACAATTCTGTAGCTTTTTTGCAAGTGAAGTGCTGTAGGATAGTGTACTCACAGTTTTTTTTATTGTTTACATATGAGTAAAAGTTTCCTTTGCAAGACTCCAGGTTATGTATGGTGCTTTCTGACTTTTGCTGCCTTTAGCTCATTTTATTTTGTGGTTTTTCTTGTTTTTGAATTATTCATAGGAAAGATAAAACAGCAAATAAAAAATGCAATGAAGTTAAGACCATAATTTTAGCTTAAAAGGCTATAGTTGTTTCTCCAGGGTATATATTTTTACAAAAAACCATGAAGTAGTAAGATCTTGTATATAAGAAATAAGCTATACAAATAACATAGGATTGGAGAATATGAAGACTTACTAAAGATCATCCAAAACAAGCAGCAGCAAAAATTGACATTTATAATTAAATTTTGTCAACACGCTGTGATATCTTATTATACTGTGTGAATATATGACTACTAATGCTGATTTCAAAATTAGATTTGTCTTTGCAGCAGTAGAATAAAATGTTAGTTATCTACATTTAAACTGAGGTACATGAAATTTAATATGCAATAAAAGATTTGGACAATCAATAGCATCATACATCAAACAATCACTGCCAAAAAGTTTAGCAAAAGATTATACTCAATTCCTTGTTCTGGATATATGAGGTGCTAGTTTTAATATTTAGAAAAGCCATATGGTCCGACTTTGCTGCACATCATAGTCTCAATTCCTTGATTTAAAAAAGTTATGTATCTTTCTTTCAGACCAAATAATTTAATACCCAGTAAAACTGGGCTTGGTAAAATTGACAGAGTACTGGGTACAAACCAAATACTCCATGCATCCCGGATATCAATATACTGATAATCTGCATATACATATTTATATAAATATTGAATTTCTCTACTAGGCAGTGGGGAAAGTAATACTTCTATAGGTTTTTTAGTATCCAGGCAAGCATTAGAAAGAAAAACTACAACTGAATTAAATTTGATTAATAAATTTTGTAACATTAGATTGACAAGTAATAAGAAAAAAATTAATAACGTGTTGGGCGATCCCGCAGCTGAATACACTCCTGTATACGTCTAGGCATCGACAAAATCAGATGATGGATTAGCTGTGGCAGATGGTGCAAAGTGGATAGTCTCCCCCATCATGTCCCACACATGTTCGATGGGATTTAAATCCAGTGAACGGGGTGGCCGCGGCAAAATATTAACGCCTGCTTTTTGAATAAAGTCCGTAGTACGACGTTCAGTATGGGGACGTGCATTGTCTTGCTGAAAAAGGCAGTGAAGAGGTTTATAGGACATCATCAACATGACGCTCAGCGGTCATATTGCCTTGAACAAAGCGAAGGGGTGATCGGCTATCATAGGCAATAGCCCCCCCTAAACCATTACTCCTGTGTTCAACAAAAAACATGAAATCTGAACAAAATCTCTCTATTTAAACGTTAAATATAAAATATCAAAAATGGGGTTTATTGTAAATCATTTTAAAAAACTTCAGAGTAATATTTCGACCATCTTTGAAATGAATAAATGTATGTTGTCTTTATCACAAGTATCTGTTATGGTAGAACAACAGTTGATTATCTAGTAATATTTCAAATTTTCTCATATTGACAAGTGACACGCAGTTCTGACGGAACCGTCAACGCCAGGTAGACAGAGTCGTATTTTGTTGTAGTTTTATGTACACTATGGATTCAATTTGTACTTGTTAACAACGCTTTTATTTAGAAAAGTTCCTGTGGTCGTTACCACATTTACCCCCAGTAAAACCACTCAACACTTATTGGTTATTATTGTACATCTGATAAAACACACTTTATTTCGCAAATAGGCATGGACGATGAGGAAGAAGAAGTCGTACCACTGCCAAATGTAAATTCTGCCATTTTGCGCAAAGTCATCCACTGGGCTACATACCACAAGGATGATCCACCACCGCCGGAGGACGATGAGAACAAAGAAAAGCGGACTGATGACATTTCTTCTTGGGATGCTGATTTCTTGAAGGTCGACCAAGGTATATTATCTATCAATATCTAATGTCCAATCATTTTCTTGTTTTGAAGTACTGTAAAAACTTCGCGGCGTGAAGTGGATCTCTCGACTTTAAAATGTGCATCTTTTCAAATTGGCTAAGAATTGTGCTTCTGAAGCACTAAGCTTGACAATATTTCCAGGAACCCTATTTGAGCTGATCCTAGCTGCAAACTACCTCGACATCAAAGGTCTGCTGGACGTCACTTGCAAGACAGTGGCGAATATGATAAAGGGAAAGGCTCCTGAAGAGATTCGTAAAACATTCAACATCAAAAACGACTTTACGGCTTCTGAAGAGGAGCAGGTGCGCAAGGAGAACGAGTGGTGTGAAGAAAAGTAGTCTGCCAACTTTTCTATGTATTGTACTGTTTTTTAATTCCTTCTACTCTAATCAGGTATATGCTTGACATCTGGGCCTTGCGTTGGACATACACGATATGACTTGTGGATTTCATGTTTTTTTTTCTTAACTATAACGACTTAACCAATTGAAAAAAAAATAATTATATCGATTTTCTAAATCTTAGTAGTGACCATCCTTTGATGAAATGCTTAAGCTCTGCATTTAATGATGAAATACTGCGAAGCTATCGGATAATTAAAATTTGTATGAGTATGTACTGGATTAGAGTTTTTCATCTTAGAGGTGTAATGCCGGGCTCGATATACAACTTTTATATGTTGCAAAGGATGTCGATTAATGTATCCCTATCGTTTTTTCTCTGTTTGTCTAATAAACGTGACGTAGTCATTACTAATAGGTGTTTTAATTATATTTCGTGTATGCTGCTTTTTTCTGGGTCAGAATAGTTGTGGGTCTAGGATATTACGTGGGCGTTTATAACCTGTGGTGCGAAAGTAGCGCTTATAACGCGATACATAATAAAATTTTATCTACGACGGCAGGGGAATTACGTAAAAAAAAGCTTACAAAATGTCATCTTGCAGACTAGGTACTTTTTAGTGTGCAAATAGCTCATTCCACATACGACTGCTGTGAGTGCCATCTATGGAGGAATGACGTGACACGCTGAAGCATGCATGGTTGGTTGCAGAAAGCCAAGTAGCGTTTATCTCTGAGTTGTGAAAGAAAGAAAGTTCTTTGAGTAGCGAGGTCGCATCTGGATGATTATGTGTATTAGTCTTCATGTATATGAAGATAGGTTATGTTCAAAGTTATAAATTACGATATTTCCCGTTTTCTTTTTGTGTTCTCAAAAACTGCAATATATGGCAGTATGTAAGTATAAAATATAAGACTCGACATAAAGTTAATTACTTTACTAACCAAAGATTTTCTTATCTCTCTCATTTTTTAATGTCAGCAAATTTGCATATGAAGCGTACCGGGGACAAAAGATGTAACCAAAAGTGAGTTTCCGGAAAAGTTTGAAAACTCTTAGCGCCGTATCGTCAGTCGTTTTACTGCTTCATGTCAGCGTTCTATTTTGAGGTTATGTCTCGCACATCTATTTGCATCAAATTGTTCATGCTTTTGATTTACATTATCTGCTTTATCCGCCTGAAATTTCGTGCAATTCAAAAAGAAAACTTCACCATAGGAGAGCGCTGACCAATAGAAATTTCACCAGTATCCATCACGCTTTGACGTCTACTGAGGTGAATAGCTGATCAGCAAGTGACATTTTTGAGTTAGTCTTCGACGTTGGCAATAATGAATCGTGTGTAATTGTAGTAAAACTTGTTTGTAGCTTACTGTTTTTTGTATGCAAATGAACTTTTCTAAATAAAAGAGTTGTTAGCAAGTACAAAATAAATCCGAAGCGTACAAAAAACCGAATCAAAATACGGCTCTGACTACCTGACATTGACGAATCCGTCAGAATTATGTGTTCTGTGCCGATATGGGGAATTTTGAGATATTGCTAGATAATCAGCTGTCATTCTAGCGTGATGGATACTCGAGAAATAGGGTATATTCAGTGATTAATTACTGAAGAATAGGAATTAAAGTTTATCATTAATAATGGCAATATCACTTTATCAGAGTCTGTGGATGGAAGTGATCATTTATTCAAAATAACGAATAAGTATGCAACAGTTTTATTGTTAATTATAACAGTTACAAGCCCAAACAGCAAATGAGCAGTTAAAACCACTATTTTTTCAAACTGGAATTTAAAACAGAAAATAAAAACTACAACCACAAATCAACAACGTCTAAAACATTCATATACACTACTAAAATATACACTGATTATTATCTTATTATTCGCTCTTTGACAAATGACGGATATGGTACGTTCCTCTTGAAATCGTGCTTACGATCAACAACTACTTAGCTCAAGTCAGAAGCTAACTCCAACTTAGGTCAGAAAACCGCCAGTTCGTAAGCAATTATCTCCTGTATTAGTACATCTTAGAAAAACTCAACTTTGACATGAAAATGGCGGACAGGAATACTCGTCTCTTGTACAGGTATTTAACCCACAATCTTCCTCGATTGACATGTTTTTCCTTTTTGAAATAATCCTATCTTCTGTTGTTCCGTGGTTTTGTGAACAAGCTGGCTGGCAAGTTGACATAAGGAATTTTTATTTATTTTCTGCCTTCCTATTTTACAACTCGAGTGTTCCCGGATTTGCGTATTTGTAAAAGACCTGATTATCTTCGATTATTCATCATTCGACTGCGTGTAACAGTATCGTCCCACCTAGCAAAAAGTGTCGCGTATCAAAGTGAAATATGGATGAAGACGACGGCCGAGAAAAACAACCCGATAGCACCGATAGTCCAGAGAAAGCAAAACGATTCAAAAGCGAGCAACAAGCGGAAGGCGAACAAACAGCAGTAGAAAAGTCGGAAGAATCATCCAGCTCTTCTAACAACACCGAACAAGAAAGTGCTTCGACCAGCAGCGATAGCGGATTTCCGAGGAGCCGTAATTCCAGAAATCGGTCGTATCGTAGGTCGAACGAGGATAACTCCGACAATCACAGGTACTAATTGAGTCATATTGAAACACAAACACCGACTTCTGCAGATTACTAATCCGTCTTATTTATCAGACAGAAGACGGTATGTTAGTTTTCAAAATTGTTTATCTAACACTGTATGTATTAAACAAGTTCCCCAAGGAAGTGTCTTGGGACCGATTCTTTTTTTGATTTACATCAATGATCTGCCAAACTGTAGCATCAATCAATATATATTTGAGGATGACACGACATCAATATCTTCCAATATTAACTTTGACCATGTATTACTTGATTCTCAGCAGCATTTTGACAACATTCAAAACTGGTTTAATGCCAACAGTTTGTCAATCAACATAGCGAAAACTCAATCTCTTTTACTCAGTACTCGTCCACATAGAAGTAATTTAGTAGAACATGTGAAATTTCTGGGAGTGATTATTGATGCCTGATGCTTGAGAATAATAGCAAACTTACATTTCAGACAGTGTTGCAAGACAACATTTATCGACCTAAAAATTTTGACTTTGCCCTGCATATATATATATATATACTGGAATGTCTGATCCACGTTAAAAATAATTACGATGATTACAGAACTCCGAAAGAGATTAACAAATATAACACAAGGTTCAACAATGAATTAGTACCAGAGTACACAAGACTATCAAAAACTAAACTGTATCCATCAAAGAAACAAAGTAAAATCAAACATATACACCCGTATTGCACGTGATCAAGAACTTAACCGTAGGAGACGCTACAGGGCCGTATCAAGCTATTGTGACTGATCTATCAAAAAATGTCGTACAAGATATGTGTTGCTGTAAATTCTATCAAAAACATAGTAAATTATCAGGAATATACCACGCCTTTCTAATCATATTTTGACATTAGGAATCAGTGCAAAAAATTCTGTATTCACCATTTCAGCAAAATGTTACTAAAACGCACACGAAAAAAACTTGTGGACCATCTCAATTGAAATTGTTCATATTTTATTATTAACTTACATATATACCCAATAATATTTACAAATCAACCTTCTATTCACAATGCAGAGCAAATTTTTTTGAGCAAATAGAAACTACAGACGTAGTAGTAGTAGTACAAAAGTTTATTACAGACTCCATAAAGTTTGTTAGTTTGATTGCTATTAAAATTTACATGAGAAATAGGAAGAAGGTCAAAATGGCACTATTATGCTTTGGAACTCCTAAATTAACCCTAATTTTGTGTAATTATAAATTTGGAATTTCCACATTAATAACTAGAAACTTACACTTTGATTGCAGTCTATAATGAACTTACCTGTCTTGCCAAAAAGCCCGTTAAACTGCCAGTCTTAATGGTATCAATCGATTTATATGCTGTATTCCAAGGAGCTTGAATCATCAGAATTGTTGATGTCAATTATAAGGGGTTCAACTTGGGTGTCAATGATATTGTCCATATCCCAAATTTTGGTTTCAACCTTCTCTTGGACATGGTCAATACATGTTCCCCATTTTGCTGGCGTAATTCTATCGTCAGCAACATCAAACAGCTGTTTAAGGTCAGAAAACTTAAAAGTGCTGTTATTTGACGCCACGTATTGCTTGATGTCGGCCCAAATCAACTCGATAGGATTCAGTTCGCAGTGATAGGGAGGCAGCCTGAGAATCGTTTTATTTTGGTTTTTGGCCATTTCGTCAACAATTTTTAAATCATATTTATACTTATGTCGCTTGACTATATTTATCAGCTCAGCTTTGACCATTGTTTGGTCGAAGTCAATCTTCTTTGAGACAAGCCACTGTGAATGTCTGCCTTTTTGGTGGCCATTGTTGGTATTTTTTCCAATTTTCTGGAGTCGTACGGGGCACTATCCATTACAATAATTGCGTTATCATCAAGTGTCGGCAAAATTTTTTTGAACCAATTTTCAAATGAGTTACCATCCATTTCTTCGTGATAGTCTCCAGTTTTTTTGGATTCAAATGCCCACAATGCTTCAGGAACAAATCCACCTACGCTACCTATGTGGCAAATGATCAGGCGTTTTCCCTTGCCTGAAAGTAATTAGTTATTTTACTTCTCAGCGAGCGCACTAAATGACGAAATTAAGCAACTTACTCTTTTTAGGTTAGTGTAGGATAGGGTCTTAGATTAGTTTTTGGGTGAAGGAAATACTCAGAAACTTGGATGAGATAGCAAAACTGAGTTCGGAGCTTCCAAATCATTGATTCGATCAGAAAATGAATTATCTGCATCCAAAAAAGTTCATATACTTCGAAACTTACCTGCAGGATTTTTCAATCCCGTCGAAAGGCCATCTAAAAAAGCCTGCCTTGAGGACCTCACAGATCTGTCTACCCAAACCTTTCCCTGCGTATGCCCCGCGTTCACCCATGTTTCGTCTAAATAATAAATTTTTCTTCCTTCAGCGCGGAATTGCCTAATTTTTCTAAGGTATTCTCTCCTCCAGATAACAATTTCCTCCTTTTCTATCAGTAAACTATTCCTTCCTCTTTTCAAAAATCGAAAGTCTAGTTCTTTCAACCGCTTATGGAACGTAGAACTTTTAAAATTTGGCAGGTCCTCATCATCATTCACTTGCTTCAATATTTTATCTATTGTAGGTATTTCATTCCTGAAGAAAAAGTGATGTACTTTTCTTCTAATGGCACTTTTGTCAAAGTCATCTATTTTTTCGATGATTTTTTTTCTCGCAGGATATGTTTTTGGCTCAGATAGTGAGTGATTTTGTCTATATTCCTTCAAGATTTTGTAAACACTTGATCGACCTACTCCAGAAATTTCAGCAACCTTACATACGATATTTTCTATAGCCAATCCACTATTCTCTTGCATCTGGTTCTTGTAGATATTTAGAATAATTTGTTTTTCACCTGCGCTAAGATGAAGCTTTTTAGCCCTTTTTCTGGGTGACGTTAAGCTGATTTCAACCACTTCATCAGCTGTATCTGTGTCAGACATTTTAGACTAATATTAAATTTCCGCAAGAAAAATCAAGTCAAGACGTGCATAAAACGTTCGCGCTCATAAACGGGTATCCGTAACTGATTACAATCCTGTGCGTGGTGACGAACCATCAACGTGACGCTGAGAGTTCCCTCTACTATGCAGCGTTGCCAGGCTTAATGTCACAATGATCATGTTTTATTGGGAAAATTGTCAGAAATCGCCGAATGTTGAACAGAAACATTACAAGAAGTCTAACCTTGAAATGTGAGGCTACAAATCGATATTCTTATAGGGGGGAAGGGTAGGGAGCTGTTATGGTTCCTATTAACCTTGGTGAAAGTTGGAACGGTAATATCATATATGGCATACATTCGGTTGAAGGTGTGTGCACGGAAAATAGATTGCGGATAGGATTTTAATAGATAAATCTGCACAAAAAAACACAAAAGGAGATTTTTGTATTTCCCTGAAGAATATCTCAAGGTTATTTCAGATGTACTCATCGAAACTTTATGGAAGGATTATCGAAACCTTATTTTCAATTGCGATAGGGCCACATACCTCGACATCGCATTAATGTGAAAAATAAGACAATAGAAAAAAATTCCCTCACTGATGCTATCTCTTAGGAAAAATTTAACTATAAAGATTGCACAAAAATTTTCTTCACCTTTTTGAGCTTGTTTTCGCATCTCCGTATATGCCGTTCATAATTTGCTGCAGATCAAATTGGAATATACCTTTGTGATGCCATTTATTGTTATATAATGTCCTTTACAACAGTTATTGCACGTATTGCACCAACAGATTGATTTGTGATCCATACGAATGTGATCAACCACTCTGGCGAAAACTCGCCGAGCGTGGCAACCGTGCGACTTTGTCTGGAGGCTCGTCGCTACAAGCCAATGAGGAAGAGGCCGACAGAGCGCCATGGCTACCGATCACGCGTTGATCACGAATCAACCACTGTTTACGATTACTTTGTAGCTTCGTTAGATACACTTTAGATGGGGAAGTAATTATTTCGGCGTGAAATTTTTTAATGTGATGCTCAGGTTTTGTCAAATACTCAACTCAACCATTTTTAAAGCAACTGTGAAAAGATATCTAGTGACGAAAGCTTTTTACAGCATAGATGAGTTCTTAAATAATGATTTTACTGACTTTGTTCCATAATTGTTGACTATTTGTTTTATGACTTTGTTTTCCTTTGTGTTTTTTGTGTATGTGATATTTTTGTATTACATTTTATTGTTCTCCAGATCGTGTGTAAGGACTTTTGAGTACAAACATGAAAAAACTATTACTATTCCATAATTTTTTAACCGTCTTATTTTATTGTTCATCTAAATTTTAAACTAGGTTTTATCAAGTTTTTTTTACCTTTTATTGCCACTTTGTGTTTTACGTTTGTCTTGTTTTCGTATTGTTTGTTGTTTTTAATTACTCTTTTATGTTCTACTCTAAATAACTTGGGCATACACATTTTTGTGTTATAGTACCAATAAATTATTATTATTATTATATAGCACCTTCAGTATATTTGCTAAAATATATTTGTCCACAGTAGTGCAGAAGAAGATGGGGTATTAGATGAAGATGAAGACCATGAAGAAGAGATCGATGATGATGACGATTCCTCTGGATTGGATGATGGCTCCACTGTAGATCTATTCAGTTCAAGTAGCTCAGATTCGACTGTCATCCATGATAGTGATCAAGAGGTCAATGACGAAGTGAATATGCTGTTATTGATGCCCAAACCAAAGCATAACTGGTTTGTAGTGCCTGAAGTGATCAACAGACAGATTGGGTATCGAACCAAAATGCAGAGACCTGAACTGTTTATGAGACGATGCTATGGGTCTTTACATTGTGTACAAAGGTTAGTATTATGTCAATAAAAAATGGAATATTTGTACTTATTGCAGATGGTAATTTTAGAACTAATTTTAGAGGTAACACCTGGTCTCTTTAGCATATCCGTGTTAAAAATATTGGAGGAACAAAAGCTTTATTTGGTTCTGCAGGAAATTATCACAAAATCGTTCTGATTCTGAGTAGTACAATTAAGGATGTTCTTGCTATATCTCTGTACATTTTAAAACTTGATGTTCTTGTATCAAGCAAGAAAGAAGACAAAAAGTGTGTTGCTATAGAATGGATATCTAATATAATTGAGAATATAGTTAAATCATTCACTCTCTCCTTCACGTTATTTGGCGTTCTCTGTAGATATTTTCTCCAGCCCTTTCTTTCCAGGATGGAGCTAATGTATAAATTGGAGGAACACGAAGGCTGCGTTAATTGCCTCAACTTCCACCCACATGGTACCCTGTTGGCCAGCGGATCTGATGACCATATGGTTTGCCTCTGGGATTGGAAGGTGGCCAGGTGTGTCTTGAAGTACGACACTCTTCACAGAAGCAACGTCTTCCAAAGCAAATTCTTGCACCTCAGTGGCGATTTACATGTTGCCACGTGCGCAAGAGACGGGCACGTGAGTACTGTTTTCAGTTGAATAAGGTATTCAAGAAGTAAATCGATGTTGATTTTCCTTTTACCGCGCACTCCGATTGGCGAAGAAATACGTAAATTGGTTAAGGCTTTCGCGGCCCATTGATAAACTGCTGTCCTGATTCGGGTCTAAAGGCTGTCGTCGGTTGGAATTTCTGCCTAACGTTTCGCTAGCACGAGTCGCAAGCTTGTTCAGAGGTCCTTAGCCCAGTCGTAGCTAACCTTTTTATGGAACACTTTGAGAAGAAGGCGGTTGCGACATCGGAGAACAAACCAGCAATTTGGTTCCGGTACGTGGACGACACCTTCGTGATTTGGAGTGACCAACAACTGGCCTTGTTGGACGTACCAGTCAGGAAGCGAGGTATCAAGCTGAGTCACACAGTGTACAGGAAACCAACGCACACAGGCAGATACCTGCACGCTTTGTCCAATCATCACCCAAGTCAGAAGTGTGGAGTCATCAGAACCCTGACAGAACGAGCTCGAAAGATTTGCGAATCGCAGAACCTCCAGACAGAAATTGAACACCTGAAAACTGCGTTTGAAGCAAATGGCTACAGCAAGAGGGACATCGAAAGATCAATGGGCTCGAGATCAGCCAGGCCACGTGAAACCGAACAGCGTCCCACCACCTCTCAAGCGTATCTTCCATTTGTGCCAAGAGTCACGGACAGGATTGACAGAGTCCTGAAGAGACACGACATTAAAACAATCTTCAAGCCTAAAGAGAAATCGTCAGTCTACATGCAGCATCGGAAATGGAAGGACCTCTGAAGAAGCTTGCCACTCGTGCTAGCGAAACGTTAGGAAGAAATTCCAACCGACGACGTCCTTTAGACCCGAATCAAGACAGCAGTTTTGAGGAAATATGTCAGATAGAAGCTATAGTTTGGCAAAGGGATCTGCAACATCGGGGTATCGGTGAGGGGAAAGCAAAACATGGCTGGTTTCATTCATAAAATGCCAGCGGCGTGCGGTATTTCATAGAAGTTTGGGATTATTTCATAATTGGTTTAAATTTAGTAAACTATACGTTTATGATTCACTTTAAATTTGGGAAGTATCTCAATAAGCCCACAATGATATGGAGCATTGTCCATAATAATAAATAAAGTCTCGGGTAAACTCAAAAATAGCTGTTCTCTACAGTCTACACCATGTAAAAAAACACTTGAGTTTGTTTCTACACTTCAACAAACGGAAAAATGTCTACTCACTTCCCGAAATTGTCACAATTCAAAAAAATCACGATAACTGCGAGATTTAAAACCTAATTTGAAAATCAAGCTAGCGTTTTTGTCAAAGCCGTAAATAAAATATATTTTTCAAATACAAATAGATACTTAACGTGGTTTTTTAACTTGAGAATATATATATATATATATATATATATATTATACATTCGTGATCTTATAATATGCTCATTTACTTTAAAAAGTGCCACAAGCCGAAACATGACAAGAATTAATTTTTATTTTATAATCCGCATCTTTTTGGATTCCTATTGTTGCAATTTTGGACTGTTGATGTGTACATTTCTAGAGCATCGGTGTCGCTTAAATAGAAACAAAGAACTTTAAACATATTTCATATCCGTTTAACTTATAACCTCTGTAATAAATAATACTTACATTATACAACATTTCAAAATTACATTTCACCTTTTGAATTAGCGTTGGTGTTCGTCAACTTCATCATTATCATCATCGTCACTGTCGTCATCAGTTTCGCTGTCGTCATCTTGCCCTATAGTTATTATAACTGGTTCCATTTCCTCCATAAATTGATCATTTTCCCAAAATTTATCTTCAATGTCCCTAACATGTTGACAAAATTTCTGCCAATCATTAATGGATATTAAGAACATCGCTTCCTGAGTAACTTCTTTCAGTGCGGTTAAACTGAAGTTTCCAGTGGTATTGCGGCATCTTATATGAAATTTAAGCTTTGCCCAAGCTAATTCTATTGGGTTTAGCTCGCATAAATAAGGAGGTGTTCTTAGAGGAGTATGTCCATGTGATCTTATGATCTGATCAACTACATAATTTTTTTGGTTGTCAGGGGGCTTATGAAGTAAGACCAGATCGAACAAGTCAAATTTTCTGGCAGTTGCCTCATGATTTATGCCTATAAAATATTTTATTGTATAGTTTGATATGTACATGCATGTTTTGAGTCATAAGTACCTTTCTTTGTCAACCAGGCCATTATATCTTTTTTCGAAGATGATTTTGTCGGGGTTTTATCATCCTGGACGGAATGATATGGAGCATGGTCAAATACTATAACCGAATTGGCAGGTATATTCGGGAGGAGTTTTTCGCTGAGCCAGCGTGTGAAATTTTCCCGATTCATCTGACCGTGGTAATCGCCTGTAGCTAATCCCGCCTTAAATATCAAACAGGCATTGTCAACAAATCCATTTTCTGAACCTGCATGCACTATAATGAGTCGATCTAAAATATACAAGACGATTATATATGTTACAAATCAGAGTTAAATTTAACATATATATATATATATATATATATATATATAGCATTTTTGCTTACCTGTAGAACCTATACTGCTTATTACACCAGAAACAGTTTCGCTCTGCCATCATTTTTTGAAAGTCAAATCGTCCAAATAAACAATATTGTGCCCTTCTTCACGATATCTACGTATTTCACGGATGTATTTGTACCTCCATTGCAATATATTAGGCCTCTCCATCAAAACTTTTCTTTTATTTTGACATTTGCGCCAAAAAAAACTATTTGATTTTAATAAACTCCTGAGTGTTTCCCTAGAATAGGTGAAATTTGAGTCTCCTCGCAACTTTTGTAATAACTTCCTAGTTGTCGGGACAACTTTATAATCAAGATAAAATCTGTTTATCAAATGTCTAATAATCTGAAAATCAAAATTTTCATCTTTCTCAACAAGAGACTGACGCGGTCTTTTTTTCCCGGGACTGGATAACATTTTATTGGGGTTATTTACTAGTCTTTCTTTATCTTCGTTATGAATTTTCCTAACAGAAGATACTCCGACTCCGGTATAAAGGGACACCCTATCAAGCTTACGTTTAAGCAGCAACTTGAGGGAATTTTTTGCCGCTTCCTCATCGCAAACCCTATAAATAATCATCAGAATGTTAGCTTAGCATTTCCTTGTTTTTTATTTATATTCAGACTCAGTCGTCAAAAACTACAATTATTGCATATTGTTATTACTAACCTATAAACATTCGCAATCACTTCTCTTGTTTGGCTATGAAGCGTCTTTCCGCGAGTAAATTGGTTCATTTTAAAAAAATAATACTAAAACGAATAACAATAACAAATAACAAAACACTAAACTATTTAAAAACACACAGCAGTAAACATACAAACTTAATAGAACCATAAATAGTTAACAATAATAGTTGTAAAATTCATACATGACAATCAACGGAGATAAAACCTACGCCACTGGACTTTTCAATAGTATGGATATTCTAAGAAAGGAGCAAAAAATTGTCTGGGACGCTACCCAATAGGGAGTCGAATTTTCTCATGGCGACAAAACATGTGAGGATATCCGCCAATCAGATTCGTTCAGGCGGTGTCCAAAATACCTTTCGGGTGGTTGTTGCCAGCTCAACCGATGTCGATAAGATCTTTGGAAAAATGTTTACTTATAATACGATTCAGTAGTAAAAAATAGTTATTAAATACAAATAGAGCTAACAACCCATTAAAATACTCAGTATTTCGAATTATTATTTCTTGGAATTGTGAAAAATCGATTTTCAAATCATTGAAATTACTTCATTATTGCTTTTTTGTAGTTAAATTTGGCAATATCGAATATTTTCGGTCGCATTCCTTTCGCTGTTGCAGATCCGTTTGCCAAACTTTACTATCGATAGGGCAGAGAGAACATTAAATCGATTTCTTTTTCTATAATCGTAAATCTATCGTGATTGTTCTTGGTACAAGAAGTTGTCGATCTATATTTCTTTATAGGTCCGCCTAGCACAAATAAACAATGAAGGTGTCAGGGACAATAGGAAATTAGGATCTCATAAAGGTGCATGTCATAAATTGGCTGTGATGGTCGACCAGCCTCACATCATCCTGAGTGCGGGAGAAGATGGGGATGTGCTGCGTCATGACGTTAGGAAAAATAAGCCTGAATCGTAAATATTTTTTTAATTTATGATATAACTTATACTTACCTATGAAATGTGTTATGTAGCAGTGCGTAAGTTCACAAACACGCAAGAAAAATCCTGCGGATAAAAATGAAGAAAATTCGAATGGTCATTTGCTCCGTCAACACGAAAACTCATAATGACACGTTCGAAGGATGAAGCGTTTACGTATCCTATACGATAACTACGTATGTGACGTTGTCAATTGTTGCGGCTTCAGAGTCATATTGCGTTTTGCTAAAAATAACCTAATAAATAATTTTTCACATCACGACGTGGAAGATACTACTTGTGACTCTCCTGGTATATTTTCAATAAAACCCTCGGACACGTCAATTTTGATTTATATGGAGACGTCGTTTCATCTATAGCCGTACAATACAGGGTGACACTTTACCTTTACCTTACTACCTAGATAAAAACACAGCCGACGTCAACTACCACCCGTGAACAAAGAAATCTGGCAACGTAGGTGGTAGTGTTACTCCCGTCGCTGCTTGCTGCATCGACGCAACTCGTGCTCAAAACGCTGAGAAAAAATAACATTTCAATTTGTGATTTGGGAATCCAAGAGGCTGTAATTAAGAGATAAGCTTGTTTTCTAAGCTTCAAAGTGTGCGTATGTGTTCAAAGTGATCGGTGACTATAATATATGAGAAATAGACTCCAGTTGTAGTGCTTCTGTGTTTTAAAAATAAACTAAGAAGTGTGACTGTGGCTGTTCGCGCCTCAGGACGCTAAGGATTTCAACTATTGAAAACGTGCAAATTCAGGTTGTATTTTTCTTTTTTCATTTATCAAGTATTTGACGCAGACAATATGCCTCGTTGTTGCCGTGTTCCTTTATGCAATGCAAACTATAATTCTGCTTTGAAAACAGAAAGCTACGTTTCAACTTTTCGCTTCCCAAGTACCGAAAGTCTGAAAAACAAATGGCTTATGGCAATTCCCAGAAAAAATTGAACACCTCCAAAATATTCAGCTGTGTGCAGTCGTCATTTTAGAGAATCGGATATCATCAGGACATAAAATATAGTTTTGGCGGATGGAACAGTCCAAAATAATATACCTTTGAAATATCCAAAATTGAAAGAAAATGCTGTTCCCTCCATTTTCCCAAACTTGCCATCATATCTTTCAAAAACTGAAGCACCCAAAAGAACTGACCCAATGCAAAGAAAACAAAAATTAATTGAGAAACATGAAAAAGCTATCCAGAATTTCGATGATATGGATAAGATCAAAGACTTTCAAGAATTGCATTCTTCATTTTAAAAAATTAAAGCCTCACAGAAATGGAATAATAAATTATCTGATGGAAAGCTATATTTTTATAAATTGGATTTTGAAAATGATATCTTAACTTTGAATACACAGATTATAGTTGATGGTCAGATGGAAGTTCAGGTTGTTCATAAAGGATGTAAGCTTTCTTTTAGTGACTTGAAGTGGGTTTTGCCATATGATCTCAAAATTACCAGATGGTCCCAATTAGAAACCCTGCTAAATAGATATTTTTTCTATTGTTCTGAGAACCAACACAAAAACTCTGTTGAAGTTTGCATCATGAATGCATTGGAACAACTTGACACAGCGATTTCCATAATTAATAATGACTCAGTTATGTTTCCATATACAAAAAATCTAGAGATTATTGCTGATCAGCTGAGACAAATTCAAAACAGGAAAAACAGATATGCATCACTTTCAATAATAATGGCTTTTACGTTTTATAACCACTCATCATCAACATATAATTTAATTAAAAGATTTTTTATTTTGCCAAGTAAGCGATACTTACAACATATCTCCTCAAGTATGGATATATCTCCAAAAAATGATAGGAATAATGAACACTACCTTTCGAATATAGCAATTAAATTAGCTCCAAGAGAAAACATTGTAATTTTGATGATCGATGAAATTTATATAACATCTAGGCTGGACTATCGCTCACAAAACATTGTTGGGTATGCCTCAAATAAAAATGACATGGCTAAAACTGTTTTAGCCTTCATGCTATCTTCAGCATTTGGAAACATAACAGAAATTATCAAATTACTACCAGTTTCAAATCTAACAGGTGATGAAATGACACCTTTGGTTGAACATGTGATAAATTTAGTTCAAAAATGTGGATTTGAAGTTATTTGTGTTGTTACTGATAATCACCGAATTAATAGAGCAATGTTCAGGAAATTAGCAAAGGATTCATCAGAAAATTATTCTATTCCAAATCCACATAATCCTGATAAGAACATATATTTAACTTATGATGTTGTGCATATTTTCAAGAGTATCAGAAATAATTGGATTAATTTAAAAAACCTAGACAAAACTTTTGTATATCCTAATTTTGACAATAATTATATTATTCAGTATGCTAAATTTGAAAACATTCGTGCTGTATATCAATTGGAAAAAGAAGCTGTAGTTAAGAAAGCATATAAATTAAATTATAAAACATTGCATCCAAATTCATTTGAAAGGCAAAATGTAAATTTTGTAGATAATTTATTCCATCACTCAACAATAGCTGCTATGAAAGAATTAAAGTTTAATGATGCTGCACACTTTTTGGAAATAATCAGGAATTGGTGGGATATTGTCAGTAATACAAGTGTAATAAAGGAGAATTGAAGCAAAACGAATTTTGTAAGCCTATTACCAATAAATATGATTATAGAGTACAATTTTTAAAAAAATTCCTGATATGGTTAGAAAAATGGCATAATCTAGAGAATAATAATGGACACCTGACACCAGAAACGTATACAGCTCTATATCAAAGCACGCTGACTCTACTTAATTTATATTCATTTAATCAATTTGACATTGAGTATGTATTGCTTGGAAAATTCACCACTGATAATTTAGAAAAACGATTTGGCAATTATAGACTTTTATGTGGCTGCAATTACAATGTGTCATATGATGAAATTTTAAATGCTGAAAAGAAAATACGGCTGAAGCATATTTTCAATGAAAAGAAATCGTCACTTTCTTTAGCAGAAATTAAAACAAGGTTTCAAAACTACTTAGAAACTCAAGAAAATTTTGATTTCTTGGATACCAAACAAAATCCTGAAGTTTTGGATATATTCAATGAAGTATTTGAGACAAATTACTTAGCCAATTGTGACATAGAGGATAGTACTAAGACTTATATATCTGGATATGCTTCACACGCTATCTCTAAAAACCTAAACTGCGAGATATGCAAATCGCTAATAATTAAAGAAAAAGGTTCATTAACAACAAATGTTTATTTTGATCATTTGCAAAGAGGACGACTGTCAATTCCAACCAGTTATGTACCAATCATATTCTACCATATGTATGCCATTTTTGAATCTATTATTAATGTAGATAGATTGGAAATTTTCTTCTTGAAAAGCAATAATCAAAAATTTATTTTGTGTCAGTTAACCTTCCTCAGCATTCAGTCTGACTTTATATACAGTGAATTTTCTTTAACTTGCATCTGTGGCCGCAATTATGCAGATATTTTATCTAAGCTTTTGTCTATTTTTTCAAACATAATTTTGAATGATTATGTAAAATTGAAAAATAACAGTAAAACTGAAAGTAAATGTATTAAAAACAAACAGGTAACTCCACATTTCCAAGCTGGGCCTGTTGGAACACAGTATGCTGACACCAAAAAACGTAAACTAAATACTTTTAATTAGGTTAACTGCATTAGCGACTCATATATATCACGATTATTTCGTATTTTTAAATTTTTTAGAGCTATTTCATATTCAGACGATTTGTATCGAATCGAACTGTCCTCTTTTCCAAAATTAAATTTAGTTCTTGAACGTTGCCTTTCTTTCATCACGGATCGTAGTTGACGTCGGCTGTGATAAAAAGCATTTTCGGAAGTTTATTAGCCTCGATTAAGGGGCATGCAACATGGGAAATTTCTGCAAAAATCCGATTATAAAGAGATGGGTCTACATTTTTTAGTAGTCGATGGTCCCTGCGTCGATTTATTCTGCGTGTGAATTGCAACGTCCAATCCTTGTATGTATCGTTTTATTTCAGGTTAGTGAATATCAAAGGAGAACATAAAAGTTATATAATAAAAAATAACGCTTTGTACAGTATTCACGCAAATCCGATGAGAACGACAGAATTTTGCGTTAGCGGTAGGCACGAACAGATCAGAGTATATGATCAAAGGAAGCCTAACGTACTTGTAAATTTCTATCAGCCACCGACAGTAAGTTCCTATTATTTTTTATCTATTGATCCATATAGCAGTATACAGGGGTAGTACAGAAACTTAGTTGCCGTGATTTTTGTCCGCAGCGTCCTAAATCAAGTGTACATGCGACCTGCGCAGTGTACAACTGGGACGGATCCGAAATTTTGGGAACGTACACCGACGATACGATATATTTATTCGATCAGAATTGCGAACCCGGGCAATATATTCACAAATATCGTGGTCACAGGTAAAGTATTATATGAATAGTAGTGCTGCAGTTTTTGAAACTTGTTTTTTTTTTAGAAACATGGCTACGATTAAGGGCGTTAATTTCTTCGGTCCAAAGTCAGAATTTATTGTTAGTGGTTCAGATTGCGGTAACTTATATTTCTGGGAAAGTAATACCGAAGCTATAGTGCAATGGGTCCTTGCTGACGATAAAAGAGTGGTAAGTTGATCAACATTATATCGAACATTATTGTTTCTAGTAAAAGATGGCAACATACGAGGGTTGTTTCAAAAATAAGGTTCCCACATTTTTTTCAACCGCAAGGAATTTTTCATTTGAAAAAACGAATTCACCGTTGGGAACGTTGATCTTTAAGCTATTTTTCTACATAGTCGCCAATTTTTTCTACATCTTTTTTTAGACCCTGTCAGTGGCGGCTCGTAGCAAAATAAAACAGGTGTTCTGCAAATCCGAATTTAGCTATTTTTTATATTTCAGTTCGATCCTGCGCTCCTTCTTGGCAGCAAATTTGTCGATCACCTTCCTGTTGAAGTTTTCCATGGTCGAAATAAATTCCTTTTCAATGCACAGCTGCAAGGCGATCCTGAGTCATAGTATTTCGAAGAAAGGTCTTGATTCTTTTCAATGTTGAGAAATTTCGCTCAGCCTCTGATGTTGACATAGGAGTTGTAACAATGATTTCTAATAGCTTTTTTGTTTCTTTTAGTGTTTCCTCCAAACTGTTTTGTATCAAAAATTTCAAAAGAGACAGAGTTCCATGTAAATCTCGGCAATCATTCCGTGCATAAATAACAGACAACTCTGTCTTTAAACGACTTTTTTCTAATTCGGGATAAGCCAAGCAGGTAGTTTCCAACTTGTCATCAGGAAACTTACCACAGTATTCTCCAAAGTGTTCGGGGAAAAAAAGTGATGCGGCTACCAAACGATCTTTGAAATGAAATCTGTCATTTGCAGAATTCACTATAAGGTATGGTATATCTGAAGTCACTTGAAATAGCATAAAAACCTTTGGTCGGCGCGTCCTTTGTAATTTCATGACGTATCATAGGCGTGCGGATTTACGGGAGGCAAAACACAATATTCATTTTCTTTTTCAATAATATGCCTAGAACACTGCTTCCATAGGTCTGTGGCAGCAATATGAGATACTGCGTCTCTTATTGTGGCCAATAGCGATTCACTTAATTGAGGGGTCTGATTATGTTTTCTTACTTTTTTTTTTTAAAGCAGCCCAGACCAACTCAATCGGGTTAAAAATGCAGTAATAGGGAGGTAGACGTAATACTTCATGGCCATTTTGCTGAAGCAGATTGTCAACAACATACTCTTTTTCAAATGTTTGTCTTTTAATAAGATCCAATAATATGGCTTTGGTTGATTTTTGTGGTATTTCCATTCCCTTATCCTTCATAAAATCAATAATGTCTTGTTTTTTTGTGCCTGTATTCGGAATTTTGTTTTTCTGTCGGGAACGGTATGGCGCATTGTCCATAATAATCACTGAATTTGGGGAAATGTTTGGTATTAACTGCTGCTCTATTCACTTTTCAAATAAGTCGGAGGTCATGTCCTCATGATAGTCGGCACATGACTCTTTGATATTTTTGGCAGATAACAGCAAGCATTAGGTATAAATCCATTTTCACTGCCAGCGAATAATGATTCGTTTTCCACGGTTGCATGGTGCATTTAAAATGCACTTGTTGCTGTCGTCAACCCAGCCGTACTGCACAACATCATGGGTATCATACCACGTTTCATCCAGGTAAATCAGATTTCTTTTCTGCTCTCTATAGATTTTAACTTTGTGCAAAAATTCTTGGCGCAATTCAACGATTCGAGACGACTCCATAATCACCATTCTTTTATCTAATTTTTTGTATTGAAAACCACACAGTTTTACAATACAGTGCAGTGAGTCTAAGCATTTGTAATTATAAAAATCTTCAGGATAATCTTTTAATTTATCCCGTATCATTTCCAACGTGGGCACCAAATTTTCTTTATAAAATCCGTATATTATACGACGAATATCTTCCTGAAAACCCACGTCTATTCTTTTTAATTTTTGCCCTATGCGCTTTCTGTGGAAGGAATGGTTGACTACATCTCCCCTTTTTATAACCCGATAAATGGTGGACCGACTGATTTTTGTCAGGATACAAATTCTGTTTAAAATTTGATTTTACGAGGAATCTGGATTTTCGTTTTTCAGACAATCATACATATTTAGGATTACTCTTTGGGTCTGTTCCTCTAAATCTTTATGAAAGAATTCTGCCTGCACAGGTTCATCAACCATCTCCTCGTGGCTTGGAGCATTTTCCCAAGGTCTCCAAAGAGCCATATTTAGGACACACAAGAACAATCAACACAACAATTAAATCAACAAGTAAACTGAGTATTCAAACGTCAAAAACACACAAACTAATAAAATCTATGAAAAAACACGGACAGACTAAAGAAAACACGTTTATTCACCGCTACACGGCACTGGCTAAACTGTTTCAATTTTCAGTAGCCACCTGCACTTGTTGGGAGCTCTGAAATACACGCTTTCTCATTGGCTATGTCCACGCATAGGCGTGCTTTACTCCACGTGGACCGGTGAAACTGCCTTTGATCTTATACGGGGGTATTTGCTGCGAAATTTGGCGATTTTTGCAGCAACAGAGCGTGTTAAATATATATATATATAAAAACGCACCCGGTATTTCACAGTGTTTCAAGTGACTTCAGATAAAGTATATATTCTTTAATCCACAGGTTGAGCTACCGGTGCAACTAGTTAGCCAATTTTGCGTCCTTCAATTTCCGCTGGAACGACCGGTTGCATATCAAACTTGTTTTTATATTGATGGTGGATATGCCACCGGTGCGAACAGCTTCCACCGACGTTTGGGCTCGGTTGATCCACGATATCCTAACCTCTACATTTTATCAGTTTTTGACAACTACAGTTTTGTGTGAAAAAAATGGAAGAAGAAAAGATTGAAGTTTTTCTACAGCATACGAGTCGCGTGAAATTTAATGTTTTTTTTTTCAACACAATTCGAAATAAACAGAGCATCTGAAAGCAATTTGTTTTGAATTATGCATATCGACGATCTCAAATCAATACCTCGTAAGTCCGAAAATGTCGATTTTCTGATTTTGTTGCTCTCAGAAAATCCATATCGATGGTTCTTATTCGGAAAGCATCGACGATCTCAAATCAATGCCTCGTATTGATGTGAGATCGTCGATATCTGAAAATTTCTTGGTTTTCTGATTTATAGTTCCTATATTGATTCTCGGAGCGCAAATTCTCTCCGTTGGATAACTTCTTCATCCGAATCATTACTCGAATCGCTTAACAAACGTTCCACGATAATACCAACTGCTGCGTACAATGGCTTAATGTTTTAAATGATACCGTGTTCAAATTAACAAGTACCCATTTACGATAAAACAAAGGTTAGGTTTTCTGATATGACAGCAACCTGAAGGCTAAAATGCGTCTTTTTATTAACAACCAATCAACGTCATCACATCAGCTGTCAACCATAAGCTCACCGGATCCATCAGTGTTGGAAGCAACCGGTGAATTAAAGAATATACCTAAATTGTCGCATACTTCTAATGCGGCAACTCGGTGATCGTGACTGCTATTATTACGTCGTCTCCTTTTGTTGCCTTGGGGTTCAGTGCAAATACTTTTGGCTTCATTTATTATGTCATCAATTTTATTTCTCACATCGACAATACATTTTTCAAAATTATCTATAGCCGTTTTAACTTGCGATGGCTCGGTTTTTCTCTTTTGCAACTGGTTGAACAAGATGTCGACGTGAGGCATGACATGATGAAAAAATGTCAACCAAAACACGAAAACAGAATCGTTTAACATACGGCGAATACCGCAAGCTGCCTTGCAAACGATTTCATTAGTGAAATTTTCTTCTATTTCTTCCATGCATTCAATGAGTGATTCTCTGTTCTCATACACTACATTTATTGTTCGAATATTAAAATTCCAACGAGTTGTTGCTCCTTTTCCCCACAATTCCGTTCAGTACATCTACGCGTTGAGGAGAATTATTAAAAAATCCCGGAATATCTTTCAAATCCCCAAACAACACCCGAACTTGAGCATTTGCAGAAGCAGCTTGGGACATAATCAGGTTTAACTGATGCGCATAGCAATGCACATAGTGAGCAAATGAATATCTTTGCCTGTACTCCAGCATTATGTCCGCTCATTACCGCGGCTCCATCATAGCTTTGTGAAATCAGTTTGTTAGGGAAATTTCCTATTAATGGTTCTACGACGCACAAAATATGTGTTGTGAGAGTCTCAGCGTCACATTTTTCGGGATTCATATAATTCCAAAAGCGTTCTACTGGTTCGCCGTTAAATACGTATCTGAAAATTAGAAACTAAGGTAACTGCTCCTTGTTACACCTCGTCCGTCTTTCTGTTAGTGTTCTCCTCGAACATTATCTTTTCTGCTTCTATAATTCGCGTATTTTATGAAAACATTCCGTCCGATCAGGTGAACTGCCTAGAGCCGCACCCTCAGTTGCCGTTCCTATGTACGAGCGGTTTGGATTCGGACGTAAAGGTATGGGTGCCGTCTCACGAACATCCACCGGATCCGGAAATGCCCGGCCTTGCTGAAACTGTCAAAAGGAACACCAATCCGAGATATTTGGGCTACTGCTCGACGCCAGAAGGGCCTAACGGTATCATCGATGCTTGGCGACTATGGAGGCGGCTCACTAGGGTAAGTAGAAAAAAGTTCTTAAGCCTGCGAAACGTTGCAAGACTATATCCAGCGATTTTATTTCCGCCACGTCTGAATCAACTTTCAAAACCTACGACTACCTAAAAGATGAAAGTATTTAAACTCGCGATAATATTCGAATTGTGACTCACAAGTTTTCTGTTGCTCGTGTCCTGCATTTTCATTTCTGGTATTTTTCTCCACCGCGACTGGACCGTACCAACCAGGCTAATTTAATGTTTATTATTCATTTTCTTACAGCCTGGAACGAGTACCAGCACGTCAGGCTCACCGAACGACAGTGAAGACGAAGATGAAGGCAGCCCAACATTGTGTATAGCTACCTAAACCCGCCACCAAACAATCGAGTTGTTTTTGTACGTAGGAATCATAATGGCGCTCGGACCAGCTAATATCAAAAGGTGAAACAGATTATTATAACCTCATCCTTTTTGCTTGGTTTTCCATCATAGATATACCGGCAAGTATGCCACTAGTAAAGTGGTATGAATATACGTATCAAGTGCATATATGCTCTGATATTAACAAAAAACGTTTAGTGGTTTAAATACTCATCGTCAAGTCTTTTACGTGATTATGATAAATAATAATAAACACTATATTTACGAAGGATTTTATCGCGTGAACGTGGTATAATTTTGGTTGTTTTGCATGCTCCGTTTAGGATAGCTTTGAAGGTGCTTCTCCATGTTTTTTGTATGTAATTTTTAAATATTTTAATAAATGATCTTCCTAGTCTAGTCTTCATTTGTTCGGGTGTACAGAGGTCTTAAAGAAAGTCAATAAACAATTCGATTTATTTTTGATTCTTGCTTTTTATCAATTTATTGTAGATGTGGATGAAGATACCTGAACTTGATATAAACAATGAAATATTCCTAAATCGAAACTTTCAATTTTAATCAATCATGTGGGCGGGAAAAGACCGACCTCCTATCACGGGGATAATTAACGTTTTTGTCCCATGGCAAGTTAAACCCCGCGACGATTCTCAGGCAAGCTCCACTTAACGTATTAGATATACAGGGTGTCCGCAAAGTTGGGGTTTTCCTTTTCAGAAACAACTACCCTTGAAATAACAACGGTAATGTGTAGTGAAACGAGGGCGACCAAGTAAAAAAAAATAAAGGAAAAAGTACTCGCTCTCCAGTTGACGAGAAGGGCTAAGTACGTCTCTGCCCGAAATCATACCGCTCCAACGGAAAATGAAATCAGCTGATGCGCTACCGAGCCGACGCAGGCAAACAAGGAAGGCAAAATGTTGCGTAAAAAGTCTAGGTCTAGGTTCACCATGCCAGCCCAAACATTCACCGAAAATGTTTGTTGAAAATGTGCCCGACGGACAGCATGCGGATTTTCTACTGACCAAACATGAGTGTTGCAAAAGTTAATCACCCCATTACGCGTGAACGTAGATTCGTCTGTCACCAATATGCACTTCAAAAAGTCCGGATTATTGTCATGTTGATGCAACAATCACTCACAATACCGCACTCTTGCTGGAAAATCGTCAGGTTGAAGGGCTTGTACACGTTGGACGTGAAACGGATACAGCCCCTCTTCACGCAGCGTTTGATACTTGCACTTCTCTAGCCACGTCTCTAGTGCTTGTTGAGGGATTCTCGTCTACGCGATTACCTCTACAGGCGTGACCGTAACCGTCGGTTGAAGGTTGCATACTGACCTGACACACTGACCCCGACCTTGTACCAGTCGGGGATATCGCGGCGGGTCGCGGCTACAGGACGGTATTCAGATATTTTTGATCTTGCAGAGCCCTTTATCTCGGTTCCCTTAAGACATTGTTGTATATGGTACTAAGAAAAATTGCTTATGTTTTCAAGATCTACACGTCGTGTAAAGGAAAACCCCAACCCTGTATTTGTGTCTGATCATCGTCATCTAAAACCGTCTTTTGTATGTTGGGTACACTGAGTTGTGTAGTCAGTTAACGGCGAGCTTTGAATTACTAAAGCTCGTATCGTCATTCTTTCCTACAATTGTAGGACGCCTTTATGGACTCCTTTATTCTCATACCTTTTTTCAGAAAGGCAGAGGTATTTTTAGATTTACTGTTTCGTGTGAGCGCTCTATTTTGAGGTTATATTTTCTTTTTTGTATTTCAAGATATTTCAGGCTGATAAAATTTGTTTTTTATGCCTGAGGTTTCAAAAATTAAACATAACCTCACAGTATGAGACAGCTGACACGGAACAGTAAAAATCTAGAAACGCCCCAGCCTTTCTGAAGGAAAAAAAATACTATGAAAATCACTGAAGCCATGAAGGCGCCCTACAATTGTAGGAACGATTGACAGTCGCTTATCGTTTTGATAACCACTTGTAATTGAAAAATGGCATTCGTCACGTAGACATTCTTGTGTTCTCAGCCATTTCCGCTGAATAACTTTCGAGAGATTTGATATATTATGTAAGCAAAGTGGGTGCCTTCGGTATAAAGCCACCGGAAAAGATTAGCAGTGCATCACCTAAATTACAAGACGGATCAGGGATCAATCAACTCTGCTAAGCATCAATACAAAAGATTACTCATATTGCACTGAAAATCTGCAAGTACTGGCAACCACTGACAATAACAACCGTTGATCTTTTTGTTTTATCAAGTTGATAACGTGAGGTTCCTAACGTTCGCTTCTTTGGATAAAGGAGAAATATGGATTGTTAATGATTTGCTCGTATATCTATGATGAAATACTGATGGTGCTCATCAGGCTGGTCGTGCAGCTCATCAAATGTTTTAATATATTTAATAAATTAAGTACTTTTCGTTGCTGTAAGGATTGTGATTCTGTTTATCAGATATAATATACACTGTTTATACGGACATTCTGAGTTTTATTTTGCTGCTGTCAGCAAACCGTTTTTCCATCTTGCTGTCAATTATCGTTTAATCGGTGAATGTATTTTAAAATTTTTACTTCACTTTATTAACTGCTAAATAAAAGATTGTATTGGAAAAAATATTTTTTATTCCATTTATTTTCTACTTTTTCGCATTTAAGATGTCAAAAAGCTAGCTTGGAAATTTCTATGTAATTTTCATATATTTCAATAATAGGACTACATAAATCATACTTTATTTTTATTATAAATTTTCGATACATATAAATCCGAACACCCAGTTTAAATGGTTTTATTTTAATAAAATTTTGTATAAGTACTTAATGAAGCATAATAAGTAAATGATAAAAATTTCAAAATGATTGCACTGCTTTAAAGCCCTTTGACCTTTAATAATGTGTGGATGCACCTTGATGTGCTACGCATTCTCCAACGCGCCTAGGCATGCTTCTGATCAGGTGGTCAATGTCCTCCTGTGGTATCTCATTCCAGGCAACCACCAACTCCTCTCGAAGTGCTTCTGGAGTCTGAGGAGGACGTTGCAAATTGAGCAATCTCCTACCCATCATATCCCACACTTGCTCAATTGGTGATAAGTCGGGAGATGTTGGTGGCCATGGTAACAATGTGACATCATTCTGTTGAAAGAAGTCTATTGTGACTCTTGCAACATGTGGTCGGGCATTATCTTGTTGGAAAGTTGGATCTGCCAGGGTGTCAAGATAGGGTAAAAAATGGGGTTCTAGTACTTCGTGGATATAACGCTGTGCGTTCATGTTACCTCTGATGAAGATTAAAGGTGACCTGGAACCATAAGCTATACCACCCCAAACCATAACTCCAACAGTGTGATGAACATGTCTTTCAACAAAAAACTGTGGATTCCTCCTTTCACCACGTCGCCTTCTAACCCTGGCACGACCATCGTGCATGCCGAAACAAAATCGAGACTCGTCACTAAAGACAATACTGTTCCCTTCCTGATCCCAGAGTGACCGTTGTCTGCACCACTCAAAGCGATTATGTCGGTGTTCTCGAGTTAAAGGGAGGACCCAGTGTGGTCGGTATGAAAACAAGTCGAAACTTCTCATTCGTCGGTAAACACTTCGCTTGCCAATAGGTCTTCCGTGTTCTGCAAACCATTCATTTGCAATGGACCTGGTAGTGGAGAAACGGTCCCTTAAGGCCAATAATCTTAGGCGGCGATCTTCACGGTCTGTTGTTCTACGGCGGCGTCCAGTGCTCCTTGCTCTTTACGTACGGCCTTCTCGAAGCCATGCCTGACAACACCAACCACAGTGTCTACACTTCTTTGCACTTAACTGCAATTGCCCGAAAAGGAAGTCCAGCTTCCCGAAGTCCTACTATACGGCCCCTATCAAACTCGCTAAGTTGACGAAATCGTACAGGCCTCCGTACTCTAGGCATCGTAACCGATCGTAAAGGATGTCAAGAACCAAAATCCGCCAACATTGATTCTTTACTGCGGCTGAAATATTCATTTTTAGAGCGTTGGTGAATTGAAAAAAAGCAGTATTAAAATCGGAATGTCCAACTGATAAGGCTGAAAAATTTTTTACTTGTTATTTACAGTAGGATAAATACATTCACCAACTTTTATTAAAATACAACCATTTAAACTGAGTGTTCGGATTTATATGTCACTTAGTATACATAAACCATATAATGATAAATCGGTATTATGCGGCGATCACCATATGGAATTTAGAATGACGTTATTTGCTTATTACGTTTCATTAAATTGATACCTATATCATAGTGGTGACCATGGAAATATAAATCACCTTCAGCGGCGGCCGCCATATAGAATGACGTCACTTTGCTTATTATGTTTCCCTCATCAAGCCCTTTTATTTGATACCCAAATGAATGATGACTGGCAAAACGTAGTAAAACATTTTGTAATTGAATTCATTATAATCATTTAACAAAACAAATAGAATATAAATTAAAATATTCCAATAACCCTAGCAAGACCCCCATAGATGACTAAAGTCAAGAAACCATATACAAAAGTAACAGCTGCCTTGATAAGAAGTCCCATCCATGGCCCAGCACTGACGGTGGTAATAAGGAGATCAAGCAACAGGGTTTTATATGCTGTCAGAACTAGCATAACTGTTACTATGGTTCTTAGGTTGCTGTGAAGGTCATGCCTCGACCACAACCAGACAAGGGTAGCAGTTACAATGTGTTGTACTGAAAAGAAAAAGAGATTGATAATATCTAATTTGACAAAAATGCTTCTTAAAAGTACTAGATGTACAGTTGATGGAAACCATCCACAAATTTGTCATCATTTAAAACAAATGGCAAATTTCAAGATAAATTTAGAGCCAATGGGACAAGCTGCTATTACTCCTTTTGATACCCAATATATTTAAAGGTTCCTCATTTTTATATTTATATTACAAATGAAAATAAAAAGATAAGTTGAGGGAAACATTTCTCACTAACTAAATATGTCAAAGTAGGATGGAATTGGTAAGTATATGTCCCCAATATCAAGTTAAAATTTGAATAACCTTTACCTAAAAGGATGTTTGATTCAAAACACTTCTGGATATAAATCCAATCAAACTCGGCTCCTCTAGCTCCTACCCAAAGAAGAAGAGCTCTCGACAAAATGACTTCTGCTGTAGCCCAACCAATTCCTGCAGTTAGAACTTTGCTATGACCTTTTCCTGGAATACTAGACAGGACTAAATAAAGCCCAATCAGGTCCGCTAGATCCACTGTAGATTTCAAAAACTCCTAGGAACAAACGTAAAGAGGTTTGCATTCAGATCTAAAGCTTTTTACCCGAGTTTGAATGGATGGTAAAACCTTCTCTTGCAGACTATCTCAAAATGACAATACCTTAGAAACAAAGGAGTGATTGTACTGACCAGCGCTCAATGTATAGAGCTGAATGGGAGGCAGAAGCCTTGCAGGTCTGTCTTACAAGCTGAAATAACAGTAGCTTCATAAAATAAAGCTTGTAGTCAGAACACCCTCCTCTGAACATCGATTATAAATTACTTTCTAGATGTAAATAGATAATCCAGGTTCTTTATAACACTTTGACAAATCAAAACCACGCTTCTTAACAGAGCTGGCCATCGATTTCAACTGGACATACAGCTAAGAACTTCTCATTAGTTAAAGTAGCATGTTTTGTAAGTATAACTCCCTAAATAAAAAGCTACGTTTGTTCTAAAGTGATTCAAGTCGACGTACCCCAATTAGATCGTTTCCAAGTTCAGCTACATTGTCTGGGAAGAATGTAGCTAGCACGAGCATTTTTGCTAATTGTGTGAATATGTAGATTAATCCAGCATGCATGCACTTCCAAAAAGCACCATATTCTGAGCTAAAAATACAATAATGTGAACATATTCGTAAGAAATATCCGCAAACGTACAGCCCTGATTGTTTATAGGTGAGGTAATAAGGGACATAAATTAAAGCTATACAGTTTCCAAAATGGTACAAAGTCATTTTGAAACGTTAAATGAATGTCTCAACTAAAAACGAAAGGGCTATCTTAAACCCTCTAAAAATTATTTTTTTGTAGTAGGAAAAACATCCTCCGGGTGAGAATTGTGAGGTTAAGTTCAGTCAAATTGACGTTTCAGAACACGACGTCAAAAGCTCATAACAGGGACGGTGACGTTGCCAAGTCTACTGTTTTTGTAGTAGATCTACTATTTTGGGCTTCCGCAGGGGTAATATGTAGAATTTCTATAAAAGGTCATCTTGCAGAATAGGTAGTTTTTAGGGTGCAAAATAATGGTGCTGAAAAACTAATTATACGGTATTTGAGTACTCGTTACTCATAGATACCCGAAGTAACGAGTATTAGGCCCGTATCATCAGTCGTCCCTACAATTATAGGGCGCGTTTATGGCCTCCTTGATTGTCATACTCCTTTCTCTCCTTCAAAAATTCCTAGATTACAGTTGTCCCGTGTCAGCGTCAGCGCTCTCCTATTGTGAAGATATGTTTTCTTTTTAAATTGTAGGAAATTTCAGGCTGATAAAACATGATATAGCTCAAAAGCAAGCACAATTTGATGCAAATAGATGTTTGTGATATAACCTCAAAATAGAGTCCTGACACGGAGAAGTAGAAAACTATGACAATCAGCGAGGCCATAAAGGCGCCCTACAATTGTAGGGACGACTGACGATACGGGCCTTAATCTGAACACGAAATTATTACTCAGTTTTTCGTACAATCGTTGAGTGGCAACGCTGGTTCCACTGTAGGATCGCCGCTCATGCAGCATAGTTGCCAGACATCCCACATTCGGGTGGAAACCTGGAATCTCAACCTTTTTTGATTAGCAGACATACAATTTGGTGAATCTGAAGTTTACCTATTTACACCGTGACTCAAATTCGCTTTTATTGTTATGATCTTGGGAACCTGAAAAGGAATAAGGAGTCGATTGGAGGAGCAAAGCTCGGTAGTATCATGAGGCAGAAAAGCGACAACAAGGTAACACCATAATAATAAAAATTATGTCAATTTGACTCGTGTTTACTTGTACTGTTTTGCTAAAAAAATTATATTCCAGTATGAGCACCAATATGTGTACAATAAGCTTCACGTAGAATTTTTTATCCTGGTATATGCTTAATTGAAATGCTTCAAAAAGTTACTTACCATTCCGAATTTCCTTAAGCCCATATACAGATCATCTTTCTGACTAAAAGACGTTTTTAAGCATTACACTTTTTTTTGGTGCCAAACTTTCACTTTGCCCATCCATTATGTCTCGTCTATTCTCAATAACTATTCAATCGCGTTCGAACTATTCTCCTTTAGGCTGCGCCGCTGGAATGATCCGCGAGTTGTCATGTTAGCAGTGGGGTAGAGACAACGGAGATATACATCAGTCGCGATCATCGGCTGCCCGATACCGGACAGAGTTGCCATGTTCTTATAGTCGACAATTCCACGTTCGAAACCTTCAAACTGATGACTTACTAACTCCTCTCTCGTCAGTCAGAGTAGAAATTTTACATTGTGTCACATTCATAGTCCTACTACCATTTGTCCATCTGAATATACGTTTCTTAGTTCTTTCTAGTTTTACATCATATTAAAGTTTTTTAAATGGATAGGTAAATTCATTTTTGAAATCTGGCAACTGCGGTTTTTCGACTGCATAGATGAGTCACTGCAGCGCCACCTTCAACTTTCGTACTTTTGGTGTAGTAAATACTAGTGGTGTTGATTCTCGTTACTTTCGAGTACTCGTTACTAATCGTTACTCTTCTACAAAGTACTCGTTTATTGTATTCGTTACTTTGATTACTATGAGTAGTATGAGTATAACAATTTGGCAATGTGCGTTGTGTGATTAATGTCGAATTTAAACAAGTTGAATGTGACCGAATCTTGTAAGAAAATAGACGACCTTAAAATTTGCAAAATGTTATAAGCATAGTTTATTCAAGTCTATCGTGTTTAATGCAAACATTGTATCTTCAAACTGTATGCTTATCGAGATGAGTTATCATAGGATGGAGTGTCATATGACTCATATGAGCCTACAAACTGAAAATACTCTGTAATTACTAGAAATACTTAAAAACATGTCTTTTAGTCAGAAAGATGATCTGTATATGGGCTTAAGGAAATTCGAAATGGCAGGTGACTTTTTGAAGCATTTCAATTAAGCATAATATACCAGTATAAAAAATTCTACGTTAAGCGTGGTCTACACATACTATTGGTGGTCATACTGAATTATAATTTTTTTAGCAAAACAGTGCATGGAAACACCAGTCAAATTAGCATAACTTTTATTATTGTGGTTTTCCTGAACGGTGGTGTTACCTTGTTGTCGCTTTTCCGCCTCATAATACTGCCGAACTTTGATCCGATCCAATCGACTACTTATTCCTTTTCAGGTTCCCAAGATCACAACAATAAAAGCGAATGTGTGTCACGGTGTAAATAGGTAAACTTCAGATTTAAAAACAATTACCAAATTCTATGTCTGGCAACCCTGGTGCATGAGCGGTAGTGCTACAGTCTAACCAGCGTTACCACTCAACAATCAACGATTGTACAGGTACCGGGTAGGGATACGGAAAACAGAGTAATCAAAGTAATCATTTCGTGCTCGGATTGGTACTCGTTACTTCGGGTATCTATGAGTAACGAGTACTCGAGTTTCGTATGATTACTCTTTCAACACCACTAGTAAATACAAAGTATTCCCAGTTTGTAGGCTCATATGAGTCATATGAGACTCTTCGTATAATAACCCATCTCGATAAGCATAAAGATTGAAGATACGATGTTTGCAATAAACACGACAGATTTGAATAAACTATGCTTAGAACATTTTGCAAATTTTAAGCTTGTCTATTTTCTTACAAGATTCGTTTCCATTGAACGTGTTCAAATTCGACATTAATTACACGACGCACGTTGCCAAATCGTTATACCAATGCGTTATACTCATACTAATCAAAGTAACGAATACAATAAATGATTACTTTGTAGAAAAGTAACGATTAGTAACGGGTACTCGAAAGTAACGAGAATCACCACCACTAGTGCAGTCATTCCACGTTGGCTCGCTAGGATCTTTGTGAGCGTCCATCTATGGACGAATGACTCAACTACACGTATTGTTGGTTGCATATGTTTTGCGAAGCCGAGTAGTCTGTAGTTTTCATCTCTGAGAAGAAAGTTGTGTATCGGTCTGCATGTGTATAAAGTCAGTGATATTTGCTGTGTGAGAAAATCATTACTGAACATCCTGCCTTTTATGTACATGACTGAAGATTGAAAAAATGGTGAATCTGTTAAGTATTTTCACCAAGAGCAGATCAAAATTTATTTAATTCTGAGCTAACATGGAACGTTCAATGTTGTCATGCAGTCAAAGGAGACACCGTCGCCGGGAAGTACGAAACTAATGCAGAGGTACGCTTCTCCACGATATTGGGGATTAGGGCATCACTAAATAATCAGCTGTTATGCCACGTCTTGATGTGTATTGTATCTACGAGAAACGCGATGGGTTTACATGATAATATAAATAAATAACAGGCGCCATCTGTTGGGCGAGTCTCCTACTCGCCAGAGCTCAATGGCCGATCTCTGCTTTCACACGAACCACGACCGCACAAGCCGCTTGGCGGCGTCTGTGAGGACAGTGACAATGGACGCGAAGTGACCTCCAATATTCTAGATCTCGCTTTGTGGTTCACCAGACCTTTCTCGAAGCAGCAATTGGGTATATAACTCGGCAGCTTGGCGGCGTCTGTGAGGACAGTGACAATGGACGCGAAGTGACCTCCAATATTCTAGATGTCGCTTTGTGGCTCACCAGGCCTTTCTCGAAGCAGCAATTGGGACTATATATAACTCGGCAGCCGTGAGATGCACACCGGTGCAGAGCGGAGTGGAGTATAGTGCAGTCAATGGCGACATATGAATTAATCAGACATAAATAGTGGTGTATATAAAAGTTAAATAAATCAGCGCATTTCTTTTTGTGGAATCCAGTGTTTCAATCCACACCCAAAGGAACCCAGAAAAACGCAACAATAACTACAAATAGGTTTAGAAGTTTCAATTAAATTCCTTTGTGAACAATATGTTTATTAATTCCTTTCTCGTCACATACAAACACTTATTTCAATGAAATTTATCAAAAACATATTTACACATCACTCTTATTGAACGCCTAAAATCTATGTAAAATTCCTTTCTACAACAACGGATAATTAAGCATGACATCCTGCCTCGCCAATTCGAGCAACATAGGATCGTCGAAGAACTTGTTGATGGAAACGTCTTGACTGAGTCCTTTACGCCTTCTGGTTTTTATCATGAATTCTCTGGCTAAGTGGGTCGCAGGTTGGGGCTCCAACGGCCTTATTACTATAGTCTTGTCCAGCGGGTCACCAGGTACGATCTGCAATAAAACCGTTCGCTTAAAACAGACTTCATAGCCATATCTCAATGACTGATGTAAAACTTCAAGCTTTGGCTTGTGGAAAACCCTGCTAAGGTGTGACGTAATCCGGCAGGGGTATTATGTAAAAACCTAAAAAAAAAGGAAACAGGCAAAAGGTCATCTTGCAAACTAAAGTGTATCTAACGAAGCTACAAAGTAATCGTAAATAGTGGTTGATTCGTGATCAACGCGTGATCGGTAGCCATGGCGCTCTGTCGGCCTCTTCCTGATTGGCTTGTAGCGACGAGCCTCCAGACAAAGTCGCACGGTTGCCACGCTCGGCGAGTTTTCGCCAGAGTGGTTGATCACATTCGCATGGATCACAAATCAATCTGTTGGTGCAATACGTGCAATAACTGTTGTAAAGGACATTATATAACAATAAATGGCATCACAAAGGTATATTCCAATTTGATCTGCAGCAAATTATGAACGGCATATACGGAGATGCGAAAACAAGCTCAAAAAGGTGAAGAAAATTTTTGTGCAATCTTTATAGTTAAATTTTTCCTAAGAGATAGCATCAGTGAGGGAATTTTTTTCTATTGTCTTATTTTTCACATTAATGCGATGTCGAGGTATGTGGCCCTATCGCAATTGAAAATAAGGTTTCGATAATCCTTCCATAAAGTTTCGATGAGTACATCTGAAATAACCTTGAGATATTCTTCAGGGAAATACAAAAATCTCCTTTTGTGTTTTTTTGTGCAGATTTATCTATTAAAATCCTATCCGCAATCTATTTTCCGTGCACACACCTTCAACCGAATGTATGCCATATATGATATTACCGTTTCCAACTTTCACCAAGGTTAATAGGAACCATAACAGCTCCCTACCCTTCCCCCCTATAAGAATATCGATTTGTAGCCTCACATTTCAAGGTTAGACTTCTTGTAATGTTTCTGTTCAACATTCGGCGATTTCTGACAATTTTCCCAATAAAACATGATCATTGTGACATTAAGCCTGGCAACGCTGCATAGTAGAGGGAACTCTCAGCGTCACGTTGATGGTTCGTCACCACGCACAGGATTGTAATCAGTTACGGATACCCGTTTATGAGCGCGAATGTTTTATGCACGTCTTGACTTGATTTTTCTTGCGGAAATTTAATATTAGTCTAAAATGTCTAACACAGATACAGCTGATGAAGTGGTTGAAATCAGCTTAACGTCACCCAGAAAAAGGGCTAAAAAGCTTCATCTTAGCGCAGGTGAAAAACAAATTATTCTAAATATCTACAAGAACCAGATGCAAGAGAATAGTGGATTGGCTATAGAAAATATCGTATGTAAGGTTGCTGAAATTTCTGGAGTAGGTCGATCAAGTGTTTACAAAATCTTGAAGGAATATAGACAAAATCACTCACTATCTGAGCCAAAAACATATCCAGCGAGAAAAAAAATCATCGAAAAAATAGATGACTTTGACAAAAGTGCCATTAGAAGAAAAGTACATCACTTTTTCTTCATGAATGAAATACCTACAATAGATAAAATATTGAAGCAAGTGAATGATGATGAGGACCTGCCAAATTTTAAAAGATCTACGTTCCATAAGCTGTTGAAAGAACTAGACTTTCGATTTTTGAAAAGAGGAAGGAATAGTTTATTGATAGAAAAGGAGGAAATTGTTATCTGGAGGAGAGAATACCTTAGAAAAATTAGGCAATTCCGCGCTGAAGGAAGAAAAATTTATTATTTAGACGAAACATGGGTGAACGCGGGGCATACTCAGGGAAAGGTTTGGGTAGACAGATCTGTGAGGTCCTCAAGGCAGGCTTTTTTAGATGGCCTTTCGACGGGATTGAAAAATCCTGCAGGTAAGTTTCGAAGTATATGAACTTTTTTGGATGCAGATAATTCATTTTCTGATCGAATCAATGATTTGGAAGCTCCGAACTCAGTTTTGCTATCTCATCCAAGTTTCTGAGTATTTCCTTCACCCAAAAACTAATCTAAGACCCTATCCTACACTAACCTAAAAAGAGTAAGTTGCTTAATTTCGTCATTTAGTGCGCTCGCTGAGAAGTAAAATAACTAATTACTTTCAGGCAAGGGAAAACGCCTGATCATTTGCCACATAGGTAGCGTAGATGGATTTGTTCCTGAAGCATTGTGGGCATTTGAATCCAAAAAAACTGGAGACTATCACGAAGAAATGGATGGTAACTCATTTGAAAATTGGTTCAAAAAAATTTTGCCGACACTTGATGATAACGCAATTATTGTGATGGATAATGCCCGTACCACTCCAGAAAATTGGAAAAAATTCCAACAATGGCCACCAAAAAGGCAGACATTCAACAGTGGCTTGTCTCAAAGAAGATCGACTTCGACCAAACAATGGTCAAAGCTGAGCTGATAAATATAGTCAAGCGACATAAGTATAAATATGATTTGAAAATTGTTGACGAAATGGCCAAAAACCAAAATAAAACGATTCTCAGGCTGCCTCCCTATCACTGCGAACTGAATCCTATCGAGTTGATTTGGGCCGACATCAAGCAATACGTGGCGTCAAATAACAGCACTTTTAAGTTTTCTGACCTTAAAAAACTGTTTGATGTTGCTGTCGATAGAATTACGCCAGCAAAATGGAGAACATGTATTGACCATGTCCAAGAGAAGGTTGAAACCAAAATGTGGGATATGGACAATATCATTGACACCCAAGTTGAACCCCTTATAATTGACATCAACAATTCTGATGATTCAAGCTCCTCGGAATACAGCATATAAATCGATTGATACCATTAAGACTGGCAGTTTAACGGGCTTTTTGGCAAGACAGGTAAGTTCATTATAGACTGCAATCAAAGTGTAAGTTTCTAGTTATTAATGTGGAAATTCCAAATTTATAATTACACAAAATTAGGGTTAATTTAGGAGTTCCAAAGCATAATAGTGCCATTTTGACCTTCTTCCTATTTCTCATGTAAATTTTAATAGCAATCAAACTAACAAACTTTATGGAGTCTGTAATAAACTTTTGTACTACTACTACTACGTCTGTAGTTTCTATTTGCTCAAAAAAATTTGCTCTGCATTGTGAATAGAAGGTTGATTTGTAAATATTATTGGGTATATATGTAAGTTAATAATAAAATATGAACAATTTCAATTGAGATGGTCCACAAGTTTTTTTCGTGTGCGTTTTAGTAACATTTTGCTGAAACGGTGAATACAGAATTTTTTGCACTGATTCGTAATGTCGAAATATGATTAGAAAGGTGTGGTATATTCCTGATAATTTACTATGCTTTTGATAGAATTTACAGCAACACATATCTTGTACGACATTTTTTGATAGATCAGTCACAATACGACCCTGTAGCGTCTCCTACGGTTAAGTTCTTGATCACGTGCAATACGGGTGTATATGTTTGATTTTACTTTGTTTCTTCGATGGATACAGTTTAGGTAGTTTTTAGTGTGAAAATAGCTCATTCCGCGTTTGCTCGCTAGCGTCATCAAAAGCGTCCATCTATGGAGGAATGACTCAACGACACGACACTCTAAGTTGTTATTGCCGATATATTTGTAGATTACCACAGTCGCAAATATAAATTGTACAAACCTGCCAATGGTGGAAGACCGAAAGACAGAACGCTTGTCCCTGAGTATGCGTCCTCAAATCGGTCTCGAATCCAAAACTGTCGATCGCCGGAATGAACGCTTTGATTGTGTAAAGGGGCGAGCCTGGTACGGGAGCATCTTGAGTAACGTGACCCCTAGAAAATATTTGCGGTTTTAGTATATGTCGAGTTTTCACTGAACAAAAACCCACCTCCGTTTCGCTAGCACAGTATAAACAGCAGATACGCAATCGGCCGGTGCTTGCACCTCGACAAACAGATACGGTTCCATAAGACGAGGAGTGGCCATCAAAAAAGCTGAATACACGACCCTTCTTGCTGTCGGAATTATTTGTCCTCCACCTCTGTAAGAAACACATGATACATTTTCAAATTTAGTCAATTTCTTCTACAAACATTAATACTGACCTATGCAGCGGTTCATTAGCAATTACAGCGTCTAATATCTTGAATTTGACGTTTCTTATAGGCTCCTCGCACAGCGGACCTTCTCTGGTACCCCACTGGAATCCTTGGACTATCGAATCTTTCACAGAACTTAACAGACCTTTGTCTACTTCCGATGGTAACGTATCGTCTACGAGGATATTAGGGCCTGCGGAACAAAAATATATGTCCAAATAAAATATGATCCGATTCACACTCTACCGGTGATGTCACCTCAATAATACTCTGTAAGTCCGACAAATCCGACACACTGTCAAAAAACTATGATGCAAATGAAACAAAAAAAAGATACGAAAATCCTCCTGTGGTTAGATAAAATCATTAAACTGCTTAAAAATATATACAGCATGTCCCAGAAGTCGACGTCAAGCCGAAACCGGGTGATAGGCAAAGTCATAACAGCTATCAGAAAAATATTTAAAAAAATTTATGTATGTGTTTTGAAAATTATAGGTCTTTGAAAAAGATATAGACATTTCACACCCTACGGCAGTCTGTCAACTCCTGTTACTACAAATATTAACTTTTTTTGGATTTCATTTTTACAATGTAATGATGAATAATGCATCTTCAAACTGGTGTCTCAACCTTACTGCCAACTTTTCTCGTTCAGGAAAAATTGCCACTTATTTCCCAACCAAGTATTCCAAAGTAAAACTTTGCTCAACTTTAACTGGCTGTACTGGAAAAAAATGTACTACGAGAGTTTGGCAAGTAACCTTAACAGTTGGCGCATTTAATAACGATTCCAAAATGGTATAACACTTAGAAGATTACTCGTTAACTTATGCACAATTTTTATTTGAAAAAAAACTGATGAAAATTTTTCAAAATTTCCTAATTAAACAGCGATTATGAAAACGCACAAGGACCCTTAAGGATAACTGTTTGCACAACAGTGGGCGTCAAAATGCTGCTGATGATGATTTACCTTTACAGCAAATGCTCAAACTGTTTTCCTTCAGCCGCAATACACGCTCGACATCTTCTTAAAAAAGATCGGGTTATTAAACGAGCGAATCCACAGGTTATTAACAAACTCCGCTGCTTCCAATAGTCTTTGCCGTAGCTCAGCTACATTTTGTATCGGCTTGAAATACACTTTTTCTTTTACAGTTCCCCAGTAAAAAAATCTAAAGGATTCAAATCAGGTGATCGGGCTGGCCACGGTATTGTACCAGACCGCCTTATCCATCCGCCTCGAAAGTTTTGATCGAGATACTCTCTCACTGAGAGTGCATAGTGCGCTGGGCAGCCATCATGCTGAAACCACATGTCCCTGTAAATACTCAGTGGCACGTCCTCCAATAAATTTTGTACATGATTTTTCAAAAAATCCAAATAAACTTCAGCAGTCAAAGTCTCTGGGAACTCAAACGGACCGATTATTTTACCATTTAAAATTCCTGTCCAATGGTTTATCTTGAAGCGATATTGAGATTTATCTTCTCTCATCAAATGTGGGTTTGCTACGTGCCACTCGTGTAAGTTATGCAGGTTCATGTACCCATCTTTCTTAAATGTGATCTCATCCGACCATAAAATTTTTTCAAAGAACTGTGGATCTTTCCTGTGCCTTTCTAACATTGTGCGACAAAAAGCAAATCGGGGCTCATAATCCCGGGGCAGGAGAGGTTGAACACGCTGTATGTGGTATGGATGAAGCACATCACTTACTTGCTATTGCACACTTTGATACCGATCAGTACTCCTTCGTTTATTGCGCATCTTTAAATGTTCGTGCTTGTTGATTTCGTACTGATACTAATTTTGGATTCGTGAACTGGACTGTTGATCGCTTGTGATTTGGATTTGGACTGTTTAATTGCTCTTCAAAACAACATTTGCTTTCCTTAGACTATCTTTGATAGTGTGATTGTGCAGTGCCGCTATGTCCGTGTACACCGTACAAGAATATGCTAACATGCACCTCATTTATGGGGAATGCAGATGCAACGCTAGTGCTGCAGCGAGACTTTACTGTGAGAGGTACCCGAATGCAGCTCGTCATCCAGATCATCGAGTGTTCACAAATGTGCACCGCTTACTGTTCTCAGAGGGCCAACTACCAAACCAATCACACGGTGAGGGAAGATCTTTCCTTCCTTACGAAGACGTGGTGCTAGGAGCTGTCAAAGAAGACCCGAGTAATTCAGTGCGTGCAATAGAACTAAAAACAGGTGTGCCCAAAAGCACAGCCCATAGAATCTTGCAAAAAAACGTGCTCCATCCATACCATGTACAGCGTGTTCAAGCTCTTCTGCTCCGGGATTATGAGCCCCGAGTTGCTTTTTGTCGCACAATGTTAGAAAGACACAGGGAAGATCCACGGTTCTTTGAACAAATTTTATGGTCAGATGAAACCACATTTTTTGCAAAATCATTTAGAAAATTTATTGGAGGACGTGCCATTGAGTATTTACAGGGACATGTGGTTTCAGCATGATGGCTGTCCAGCGCACTATGTACTCTCAGTGAGAGAGTATCTCGATCAAAACTTTCCAGGCAGATGGATAAGGCGGTCTGGTACAATACCGTGGCCAAGCCCGGTCACCAGATTTGAATCCGTTAGATTTTTTTTACTGGGGAACTGTAAAAGAAAAAGTGTATTTCAAGCCGATTCAAAATGTAGCTGAGCTACGGCAAAGACTATTGGAAGCAGCTGAGTTTGTTAATAACCGTGAATTCGCTCGTTTAATAACCCGATCTTTTTTAAGATGTCGAGCGTGTATTGCGGCTGAAGGAAAACAGTTTGAGCATTTGCTGTAAAGGTAAATCATCATCAGCAGCATTTTGACGCCCACTGTTGTGCAAACAGTTATCCTTAAGGGTCCTTGTGCGTTTTCATAATACGCTGTTTAATTAGGAAATTTTGAAAAATTTTCATCAGTTTTTCTTCAAATAAAAATTGTGCATAAGTTAACGAGTAATCTTCTAAGTGTTATACCATTTTGGAATCCTTATTAAATGCGCCAACTTTTAAGGTTACTTGCCAAACTCTCGTAGTACATTTTTTTCCAGAACAGCCAGTTAAAGTTGAGCAAAGTTTTACTTTGGAATACTTGGTTGGGAAATAAGTGGCAATTTTTCCTGAACGAGAAAAGTTGGCAGTAAGGTTGAGACACCAGTTTGAATATGCATTATTCATCATTACATTGTAAAAATAAAATCCAAAAAAAGTTCATATTTGTAGTAACAGGAGTTGACAGACTGCCGTAGGGTGTGAAATTTCTATATTTTTTTCAAAGATCTATAATTTTCAAAACACATACATAAAATTTTTTAATATTTTTCTGATAGCTGTTATGACTTTGCCTATCACCCGGTTTCGGCTTGACGTCGACTTCTGGGACACCCTGTATACCTGTATTATCGGGTCCGAAAGCCCATATGCTTCTAGCCGCAAGCAAATCCCAATCGTATTTCGTCTGGAAGAACTCTCCCAATTTCTTCTTGTTCCAGGTGATTTGCACGTTTTCGTTCTCAATATCTTCGGCCAATCCTTTTTCCAAAGGTTCGGCGATCATGGTCAGCTTGTTCTTTTTATTCGGCGTTTCAGCGAAACACTTCAAACTCGACGTTTCTACTACTGTTTCGCAGAAGGCTACTACGGGATCCGCAACTGTGAAAAAATAACAGTGAGGAAAGATAATAATTATGGCTCGTTACAAGCTTGCTTCATATCGTTGATGCTACGCTGGATCTAAGAAACTTACTAAAATTAATCAATTTGACTTCGTGTTGAGTTTTTTTATTGTAACTGGTAACTCAAGATGATGTTAATAACTTGTTAACTAAGTTAACGAATATTTATTTATTTATTGAATACATGGTGTAAACGTTATGATAGTCATTATTTAAATGGGTGATAGATGGGGTTAAAAGGAGCAAAAACTTTCATATAACATGGTGATCAAAACGGCATTTTTTACAGAAAAGCCACTTCAAAGTAAAATAAATCTGGCAACGCCGCAAAACTATGCAAAAGGATAACTAACCACTGTTACCGTTTGCGATCGATTGCCGCTTCGATAAGAGTGACGCGCTGTTGACACGTGTGTTTTAAATATTTTATTTAATGAAATTTACTGACTACAAATTTTGCCTTAACTTAGAAAAACTTAATGCCTTTTATTTGTTAAATACCCAATTTAAAAACATATGAACTTTTTGACTTGTTTTGACACCCCCTATTATCCATTTCAATAATAATTACCATAACGTTTACACCCTGTATATAATAGGTAGCGGACAATGCCCGATGTAAACATCCCCTATTATACAGGGTGTCCAATAAGTACAACGACAAACTTAAGGAGAAGGTAGGCTTTGGACTGATCTCAAAAATAACAAAAACTTACCTATATAAAAGTGTCACCGTTTTTGAGATATTGAATTTTTTCTTAAATTTTAAAAAAAACGAACCTTTTCATCTGTGGTCTTTAGCTGCATATGCAAATAAGGTTATATTTGGTACATTTTTTCTATAAAATACTTCTAGATAGTTGCTCTATCATATACAAATGCAATGTAGTTAAAAGATATTAAGGAACCATGACCAAATAAGGGCTATTTTGGGATTTTTTTTTTTTTATATCGAAACAGCCGCGCAGGCAGAAGCCTAAATGCCGGTACACCGCGGCTGCTATGATGATCCCAAAGAAATTTTGTTAATACGATTTTTGAACTGCCTAAGGTTAGTAGAACTGGGAAAAGCTTCCTCCCGTAGATTGTTCCACAATCTAGACACCTTCGGGGCAAAGGAGCGGTCGTATCGGCCAGTTCTGGATGTACGAAGTTTGACACGGTTAGGATGGGACGCCGAAGTCAGGCGGGTCTGTCTGGCAGGCACATCGCGCGGCGGCATCATGGAAGAGAGCTCTGAGGAGCAAAGCCCGTTGGCGTAGCGATAGAAAAGAGCTAGATCGCCGACGGCCCGCCGGTGCGAAAGAGTCCCGAGACTGTCTGTTAGAGAAGAGTCATCGATCAGTCGGACCGCCCTCCTCTGGACAGCATCGAGCATGGACAATGTAGTCGGGGCGGCAGCACCCCAAATGTGTGAGCAATACTCGAGGCTGGGCCTTATCTGGGCCTTGTATAGAGTGAGAAGGTCATGCGGAGAAAAGTACTTCTTAGCCCTAAACAAATAGCCTAGCTTTTTCCCAGCAGCTGCAGCTATTGAAGAGATGTGTTCGTGTCAGATCAGGTCCTCGGTGATCTGGACTCCGACCAGCCGAAATGAATGGCTCTTTGGTAGAACTCGACCGTCCATCGAAACTGTATGAGCGCTAGGACGCTTTTTGTTCGTCAAAGTACAGTACTGTGTCTAGGAAGCATTGAACTCTACAAGATTGTTGCGTCCCCAAGCAGTGATAGCCTCCAGGTCTCTTGTCAGAGAAGAAGTCGTCGCTAGTCTTCTTTTTTCCAGCTCAGCGACAGAGATCGGCTTGTCACTCTGAATTCCTGCATGTAGAGTGCTGTCATCAGCGAAGCTGTGGATTGGGTTGATCGTGCAGGAAAGGAGGTCGTTGATATGTAAGAGAAACAGTGTTGGAGCCAAGACCGATCCCTGGGGAACACCCGCGTTGACGTTGTGGGATGAAGAGGAGAATCCGTCAATTACGACGGATATCTTGCGGCCAGGGATAAAGTCAGCCACCCATCTGCAAAGCTTTTCTGGGAGGCCGTAGGACGGAAGTTTGCTTAAGAGGGCAGCGTGCCACAGCTGATCGAACGCTTTCGTGATGTCAAGAGCAACGACATGAGCCTCACCATGAGACTGGATGAGTTTACTCCACAGTTGCGTGACGTAAGCTAGGAGGTCCCCTGTGGTTCGTTGGTGCCGGAAACCGTACTGCCTGTCGCTAATCAAGCTGTGACGTTCGAGGTAGTCCAGAAGCTCGCGATTTATGTACCTCTCCATCACTTTACTTATAACAGAAAGCAGAGCTATAGGCCTGTAGTTGTAAGGGTCGGTCTTAGATCCTTTTTTTGGGATGGGCTGTACATGAGCAAATTTCCAGTTTTCTGGGAAGGTGCCGAATTCATAAGATATCTGGAAGAGACGCGACAGAACTGGAGCAAGCTCAGCTGCACATCTCTTCAGTACAATGGCAGGAATCAAGTCCGGACCAGAAGCTTTGTTGATGTCGAGCGACAAGAGCACTCGTCTTACGGTCTTATGCCTGAATGTTACCTTCCGCATAGTGTGGGGAACCCTTTGAATTGACGGCACTTGGGCGTTGGTGGGGACGTCCATGGTGGAGTTGGCAGCAAAGATCTTGGCTAGCACTTCCGCCTTGGCCTTTGAGTCGAATACAATAGTTCCATCCTGACACGTAAGTGGTGGAAGGCTAATGTGTGAGAAGTTATTTTCAATCTGCTTGGCCAGCGTCCAGAAAGACCGACTGCCATTGCTCTGCGACATTACCCTGTGCCTAACTTTTATATCATGCTGGGTTTTGGCATTGCGAACCGCTTCGTTATATTTGTTTCTGGACTCGACGTCGGCTTGTCTGTTCTCTACAGTGGGGTTTTGTAAGTAGGTTCTGCTTGAACCTATCTCAATGTTTAAGTACTTAAATGCTCTTGAAAATTTGACTGTCGGCCATTTTAACTATTCTTCCAAATCGTTACTCCCAAATCCTTTTGCTCAGTCACAGTGCAGCCATATATCGGGTTTTCCAACTTGACAACTTTGAACTTTCACTATGAACGCACCTTTACATCAATTACCGAACTGTCAATGTCAAAACATTCAGGTAAGGGAAACATTTTCATCATGGTGGAGTACACGAACAACAAATAATTAAAACTCAGTTTTATTTAAAAAGAAGTTGTCAAATCCTTAATGCAAAATTCTTTAGTAATAATGCTGAGGTTATTCTTCCCTATGAGGTAATGGTACATTCAAGCATCTTAGTGGCATCGTAGTAGTAGTAGAAATATTTATTTAGCACATTTGGCTACATAAACAGAATAATTGTAAACAACTTAGAACTAGTAAATTCAAGCCATATGGTGTATGATGTAGATGCTGGGCAACCTATAATTGTAGATTTAACAAGTGATTTCTCAACTTTACTTTAAGTTTTGTCAAAGTTTTCTGGTCTTTTATCTCCGAGTATAATTTATTATATTCAATCAACCCTTGATGGAATACAGATTTGTAGCATATGTTATACTTTTTGGTCATTAAATGGAAGTCATCTTTATTTCTGGTATTATATAAATGATGGTCGACATTTGATGATGTTAAATTAGTTAGACTTGATGGAAATATATTATTTTATACTTTATAAATGAATATCATTACAAGATATTTGATAAAATTTTTTACATTGAGCCATTTTAATTTGATAATCATTTGAATAATTGGAGTATATTTATCTTTATTATTATTCTCATGTACTTATTTTGCAAAATTTGCAGTCTTTCAAAAATGGAATTATTTGCTAAATATAGAATAGTCGAACAGTACAAGAAATTTGGAAGAATGATGGTATTATAGATAATCTTTCTGCTATATGAACTCAGACATCCAGAAACTCTCGATAAATATCCCACTTTATTACTAATCTTATTTATAACTTTTTCATAATGAATATCAAAAATTAATCAAGAGTCAACAAAAACCCCCAGGTATTTAAAATTTTCTACGAATTCAATATCTTCACCATCAATATTCAGTTGAACATTTGTACATTGTTTTTTTCCGATTAACAAGGCTTTCGTTTTACTTGTATTTAATTTTAGTCTGTTAGATGCTAACCATTTTGAGACAAGTTTCAAGTCTTCATTTATATAGTCTGAATATTTTTAGTACTTATATAAATCATAGTGTCATCGGCGAAACTCTGAATTTTGCATGTTTGACTATGGCAGGTAAATCATTTATGTACAAAATGTTTTCCTGTTTACCATTGTTAAAAAATAGCCTTACCTTTGATATCGATTTCTGAGTACATTTTCCTGAGATCGTGCATGACACAATCCAAATACAGCTCTCCTGTACCTAAAATCACGTGTTCGCCGCTTTCTTCCACTTTTGTTGTTAGCAACGGGTACGATTTGTTGACTTTCCGTAAACCATCCAGCATTTTCGGCAATTCAGACGGATTAACAGGTTCCACTAAAAACGATAGTCGTCAGCAGGGTTTAGGTGGGACACCAAACAAAAGCAGAGACACCGCAAATGTCATCTATTACCACTGCGAAATGAATAGCAACTAAAAAACCTGAAAAACGTCCAAAAAAAGCGGACAAAAAACTTTATAATGTGCAAATAGTTCATTCGACGTTTGCCCGCTGCGAGCGCCATCTATGGAGGAATGACTCAACGACACGACATGCATTGTTGGTTGCAGAAAGTCGAGAGTTTTTCTGAAGAGTTGTGAAAGAAAGGAAGTCGCATCTGGAATAGTTGAAATGGATTGGTGGTTACCTGCTATTTTAATAATACTTTGCGTGTTGAACTTCAAAGGCCGGAATATATACATATCTTCATGTATTGTCAAATCGGTGATAGTAGCCGTTTTAACTATAGATTGATCAATACCTTCAATCAGTACCCAATTACCAGCTGGCACACGATTCACTTCTATTTTATACCTAAAAAAATATTACAAAATTGAGCAACATCCAACATACTACGATAGCGTTGCGTTTGATTTTCTGGTTTAAGAGCAAATGTATCGGAAAATCTAACTAAACAATTGCGATACAACTGTTTACCTTTAAAAAAATTTCAAAAACGATCAGGTTCCAACGAAACGACAAAAACGGAGCTGCGCGATTTTATTTTTTTCGTTTTTTGCATTTTTACCGGCCGCCACTTGACCGATTTTCAATAATTACAAAGCTTTTTCGTCCTCGGAATAGTAGTAACGATGTGCACAAAATATTGACAGGGATAAATTACTTACAAAATTGCATCGCTACGGATTTAAAGGATCTGTATTCAAAATTCTGCAAAACTATTTAATAGACAGAAGTCAAAAAACCAAAATTAGATCTACATTATCAAGACCAAAAAATATTTCTGTTGGTATAACACAAGGTAGCACTAGGTCCACTGGTATTTATTTTACACATTAATGACATTTGTAATATTTTAGATTATTGTAAACTTCAGATATTTGCAGATGATACATTAATATACATATCAGATGAAAATATAGACACTGCTTTAAAAATGCTAAATTCTGACTTAGCAAAAACCGTAAATTGGTTAAATGTAAATAAACTAAAATTGCATACTTCTAAAACAAAATGTATGCTAATAGGGAAATATCTAAATGAAAATACTATCACAGTTAGGATAAATATTTAGGTATATATATTGATAGTAAACTAAAGTTTGAGTATCACTATGAATACATTATTTCAAAAATTGCCAAAAAAATTAAAATTACTTTTAAAGGGCTTCTCATAGTCTTGATACCTATTCCAAGAAAATAGTTTATAACACAATTATTCTACCGCATTTACTATATTGTTCAACTATCTTGTTCACTGCCAATGAAGATGTATTCTTGAAATTACAAGTCTTGCAAAATAAAGCTATGAGAATAATATTGAATAAAAATAAGTGCACCAAAATAAAATCTATGTTACAAGAATTGCAGTGGTTGAATATAAAAAATTTCATATCATATTTGGATATTTATATATTTAAAATAAAAAATCATCTTTTGCCAGAACATACATAGAATTGATTAATCATTACCACAATTATTATACAAGAGGAAATATAGATTTTCATTTACAAAATTTAGCAAATCAATATTTCAGAAAGGATGACTTGAATTTAATAAACTAAATAATGATATAAAGTCTACTTGTAATTTAAGGATATTTTAAAAAAAAATTAAAGGAATATTTCATGGACAATGAAAATTCTTAGTGATGCAAATTATGTTTTTTTCTGAATATCTGTATTTTATGTAATTGTTGTTAGTGTATTCCGGTTAGTTAAGTTAAATGTACGAACCTAGACTCATATATCCACAATCTTCCTACAGTCATAATCCTCGAGTCCTCTTCATCTTGCAAAGTGTAATTTTCACCGAGAATTCTGACGTCAGTACCTGCATGCAAAGTACCGCTCATCACCCTACCAAGAACTTGGAAAAAAGAACAATCTTCTGTCGGGTACATCTTCGAACTGTGTACCTATAAACAAGACGCGGTTTACCGGACAAACTGACTGACACCTCGACGAAAATAACATCTCATTTTCGAAATTCTTCGCGATTACAACACTTCCTCGCCCAGCGGAAATAAGTGAGGGGCCTTTTTTAAAATTACGATATAATAATTTCCGAAGTTCAATTTTCATTCCAGATATAGTTTTTAGGATTTACCATGAGAAAGCCTTCTTGGTCACAGTTCGCCATATCATCATAGACTTTACTTGTATTTGGTCCTGTATAAATGTGATCGATTTTCTTTTTGGCATTATCTAGCGGGGAATTAATATGCTCCACGCACATAGTGACGAATCCTAAAATTTAGAACAATTTAATTATTCCTTCCTACATTACGTTAATACAAAATTTGCATGTTAGCATGTTTCTCAAAGATGCTCACCATTGAAGTCACCCAGGAATTTCCCGCAAACCAATCTAAGTAACGGTCTTATATTCAATTTCATCTCGTTTTTGGTCAATTTAACGCCAAGCTCATCCAAAACTTGAGGCAACGTGGAATCAACATCACCAACGACTTGTGCAAAAACCTTGTACAGCGGCTCTAAGATGAACTCGACAAAACTCCTTTGAGCCGAGTTATGTGGAGCTTTTTTGGTAAATTTGCGACTGCAACAAAAACGTATGGTCAAACTTCTTGAAAAGCAAACAAAATGAATATAAGCGGTAATTTTTTTAACCAAAGTAACAAATGCAACTTATGCTATAAAAATGTTAATTCTGGTGCAAGTATGTGCCTTTATAAATCCTGCAAAATGATACGTTTAATCAGTTTTAAGGTGCTTAACCGGTAATGTTTATTTTTGCAAATACATTTTTGAATATTTGTTTCTGTTAAGAGCATATAACTTGATATTTATTATTGGAAGTTCCTGTGATTGGGTGAAAAGCTGTTGGAACAAAGATTATTATCATCATTAAAATCGTACTTACTTTTTAGTGTTGAAATAAATATCTCCCCAAAGCCTCTTTGAGAATTCTTCGACGTTCACGTCTCCGTAATAAAGTTTATACACGTTTGCAAAGGATTTCAAAGTGAAGCACACACCATATTGAGAGCTAGCAAAGCACACATTGCCAAGTATAGGAGATACAATGTGCGGATTAGCTTCATCAGAATATAAACTGAAAGAAAAAAGATGTTGTGAAGCATTTGAAAAATTATTAAGCTTTTCTCTTATTTTTGAGGGATACTTGGTATGTCTAGTGTTGAGTCATTGCTGAGATTAAAAAAAATAATAATTTTAAGACTTACTGCAATAAAGTTTTGGAAAATTTGAAAATTTTTTCGAAAATAGGAAATTTGAAAAAAATTGTAAATTTTGAAATATTTTTGGGAACTTTAAAATCTGGAAAGAAATTTTGATTCAAAAATTGGGGTTTTATAAAAACTCAGTTTTAAAGTCGTTTTGAGATTTACTGTAATAGAAAGTTCAACAATCAAGTAAGGCTAATTGATTTTGAATAAAATCGATAGAAAAATTAAGATATTAACAAAAATTTTGAAGGTTTGAAGATCTTTAAAAAATTTTGGAAATTTAGAAATTTGAAAAAATGTAAATGTTGAAATATTTTTGGAAACTTTGAAATCTGGAAAGAAATTTGGATTTAAAAATTGGGAACAAAATTTGGCATTCGAAAAAAAAATAATTTTAAGTTTGTTGTCATTTTGCTGCAATAGAAAGTCCAACGATCAAGTAAAACTAATTAATTTGGAATAAAATCGATATCAATTTTAAACTATTAACAAAAGACTTGGAAGAAATTTTGGAACTTTCGAAATTTGAGCAAAATTATAAATTTTTGGAAACTTAGAAATTTGTTAAGAAATTTGGATTTAAAAATTGAGGAAAAAGTTTGGGAATTTAGAAATAAATTAATTTTAAATTTGTCGTTTTGAGACTTACTGCAATAGACAGTCCAACAATCAAGTTAGACTAATTGATTTTGAATAAAATCGATAGAAAAATTAAGATATTAACAATTATTTCGAAGGTTTGGAATTTTAAAAAAATTTTAAATTCTGAAATTTGAAAAAAATGGTAAATTTTTAATATTTTTGAAAGTTTGAAATCTGGAAAAAAATTAGATTTGAAAATTGGGTAAACAGCTGTCGACAATTTGTCAAAAAATTGGGGATTTATAAAAACTTAGTTTTAAATTTGTTGTCGTTTTGAGACTTGAGACTGTAATAGAAAGCCCAACAATCAAGTAAGACTAATTAATTTTGAATAAAATCGATGGAAAAATTAAGATATTTTAATAAAAATTTGGATTCAAAAATTGGGATTTTATAAAAACTTAGTTTTAAAGTTGTCGTTTTGAGACTGACTGTAATAGAAAGTCCAACAATCAAGTAAGACTAATTGATTTTGAATAAAATCGATAGAAAAATTAAGATATTAATAAAAATTTTGAAGGTTTGAAGATTTTTAAAAAATTTTGAAAATTTCGAAATTTGAAAAATGTAAATGTGAAATATTTTTGGAAACTTTGAAATCTGGAAAGAAATTTGGATTTAAAAATTGGGAACAAAATTTGGGATTCGAAAAAAATTAATTTTAAATTTGTTGTCGTTTTGAGACTTGAGACTGTAATAGAAAGTCCAACAATCAAGTAAGACTAATTAATTTTGAATAAAATCGATAGAAAAATTAAGATATTAACAAAAATTTTGAAGTCTTGAAAATTAAAATAAAAATTGGAAATTTCGAAATTTGAAAAAAATTTAAATGTTGAAATATTTTTGGATACTTTGAAATCTGGAAAAAATTGGATTTGAAAATTGGGGTAAAAAATTTGGGAATTTAAAAAGATAATTTTAAAATTTGTTGTCGATTTGACACTTACTGCACTAGACAGTCCAACAACCCAGTAAAACTAATTAATTTGGAATAAAATCAATATAAAAATTAAGATGTTAACAAACAATTTGAAGATTTGGAAATTTCGTGAATTTTTTGGAAATTTCGAAATTTTAAAAAATTTGTAATTTTGAAACATTTGGAAATTTTGAAATCTGAAAAGAAATTTTTATTTGAAGATTGGGGAAAAATTTGGTAATATAAAAAAAATGGTAAATTTTGAAATATTTTTGGAAACTTTGAAATCTGGAAAAAAATTTGGATATGAAAATTGGGAAAAAATTGGGGATTTATAAAAACTTAGTTTTAAATTTGTTGTCTTTTGAGACTGTAATAGAAAGCCTAACAATCAAGTAAGACTTAATTAATTTTGAATAAAATCGATAGAAAAATGAAGATATTGACAAAAATTTTGAAGTTTTGAAAATTAAAATAAAAACTGAAAATTTAGAAATTTGAAAAAATGTAAATGTTGAAATATTTTTGGAAACTGTGAAATCTGTAAAAAAAATTGGATTTGAAAATTTGGAAAAAAATTTGGGAATTTAAAAAAATAATTTTAAATTTGTTGTCGATTTGACACTTACCGCAATAGAAAGTCCAACAACCAGGTAAAACTAATTAATTTGGAATAAAATCAATATAAAAATTAAGATATTAACAAACAATTTGAAGATTTGGAGATTTTTAAATCTGGAAAGAAATTTTGATTTGAAGATTGGGGAAAAAATTTGGTAATATAGAAAAATTAACGCTAATTAATTTTGAATAAATAAATTTTGGAACTTTCGAAATTTGAGCAAAATTATAAATTTTTGGAAACTTAGAAATATGTAAAGAAATTTGGATTTAAAAATTGAGGAAAAAGTTTGGGAATTTAGAAATAAATTAATTTTAAGTTTGTCGTTTTGAGACTTACTGCAATAGACAGTCCAACAATCAAGTCAGAAAAATTAATTTGAAATAGAATCGATATATTGGGGATTTATAAAAACCTAGTTTTAAATTTGTTGTCGTTTTGAGACTTGAGACTGTAATAGAAAGCCCAACAATCAAGTAAGACTAATTAATTTTGAATAAAATCGATAGAAAAAGTAGGATTTCAACAAAAATTTTGAAGTTCTGAAAATTAAAATAAAAATTGGAATTTCGAAACTTGAAAAAATGTAAATGTTGGAATATTTTTTGAAACTGTGAAATCTGGAACAAAAACAGGATTTGAAAATTGGGAAAAAAAATTTGGGAATTTAAAAAAATTATTTTAAATTTGTTGTCGATTTGACACTTACTGCAATAGAAAGTCCAACAACCAGGTAAAAATAATTAATTTGGAATAAAATCAATATAAAAATTAAGATATTAACAAATAATTGGAAGATTTGGAAATTTTTAAATCTGGAAAGAAATTTTGATTTGAAGATTGGGGAAAAATTTTGGTAATATAGAAAAATTAACGCTAATTAATTTGGAATACATAAATTTTGGAACTTTCGAAATTTGAACAAAATTATAAATTTTTGGAAACTTAGAAATTTGTAAATAAACTTGGATTTAAAAATTGAGGAAAAAGTTTGGGAATTCAGAAATAAATTAATTTTAAATTTGTCGTTTTGAGAGTTACTGCAATATACAGTCCAACAATCAAGTCAGACTAATTAATTTGAAATAGAATCAATATAAAAATTAAGATATTAACAAAAAAATTGAAGTTTTGAAAATTTTCAAATTTTTGGGAAATTTCGAAATTTGAAAAAAATTTTGAAATATTTTTGGAAACTTTGAAATCTGGAAAAAAATTTGGATTTGAAAATTGGGGAAAAATTGGGGATTTATGAAAAAACCTAGTTTTAAATTTGTTGTCGTTTTGAGACTTGAGACTGTAATGGAAAGCCCAACAATCAAGTAAGACTAATTAATTTTGAATAAAATCGATAGAAAAAGTAGGATATCAACAAAAATTTTGAAGTTTTGAAAATTAAAATAAAAATTTGAATTTCGAAATTTGAAAAAATGTAAATGTTGGAATATTTTTTGAAACTGTGAAATCTGGAACAAAAACTGGATTTGAAAATTGGGAAAAAAAAATTTGGGAATTTAAAAAAATTGTTTTAAATTTGTTGTCGATTGGACACTTGCTGCAATAGAAAGTCCAACAACCAGGTAAAACTAATTAATTTGGAATAAAATCAATATAAATATTAAGATATTAACAAACAATTGGAAGATTTGGAAATTTTTAAATCTGGAAAGAAATTTTGATTTGAGGATTGGGGAAAAAATTTGGTAATATAGAAAAATTAACGCTAATTAATTTTGAATAAATAAATTTTGGAACTTTCGAAATTCGAGCAAAATTATAAATTTTGGAAACTTAGAAATTTGTAAAGAAATTTGGATTTAAAAATTGAGGAAAAAGTTTGGGAATTTAGAAATAAATTGATTTTAAATTTGTCGTTTTGAGACTTACTGCAATACAGTCCAACAATCAAGTAATACTAATTAATTTTGAATAAAATCGATAGAAAAAGTAGGATATCAACAAAAATTTTGATGTTTTGAAAATTAAAATAAAAATTGGAATTTCGAAATTTGGAAAAAATGTAAATGTTGGAATATTTTTTGAAACTGTGAAATCTGGAAAGAAATTTGGATTTGAAGATTGGGGAAAAAATTTGGTAATATATAAAAATTAACGCTAATTAATTTGGAATAAAATCAATATAAAAATTGAGATATTAACAAAAAAAAAATAGTAAAAAAGCATGGTGTGCTATTAACTGTATTTCATAATGACTGCAAAGCAACTAAAAAATAATTTAAGCTTTGAACATAGTCGATAACCAATATTTGATAAATATCAAATTATAATTACACCATCTACTTATGCCTAAATAATGAAAACTGTATTTACGTCAGCAATCCATTTATTTCCTCAACAATATGCCTGAGCTTGTAGTAGGCATCTTGAGGCGGTAATTTCAGTTCAAGCATGAGCCTATCAATCTTGTTGATACAGACTGTGATTTGCATCTGCTCTTGAACAGCATGTTTTATGAGACGTTCTGTATTCAACATGACACCTTCAGCAGCATCAATGAACAGCACTATGCCATCACACAGGCGCATCGCAGCCGTCACTTCATCAGAGAAGTTGACGTGACCTGAAAAAACAAAATTGTAAGCATATCAATTAGAAAGTTTCTTGTAATCTTATAACTAATATTTAAAAAAATGTGTGAGAATTACTACAACATTTTACCTGGAGTGTCGAAAATGTTCATTAGGTAACTCTTATTTCTGATATCTTGTAAAACCAATGTGGATGGCATGGATTTGAATGAACAACCCCTCTCCTGTTCAGTGAATAGTGTATCAGTATATCTTAAGTTCTTCTCTTCGTAATCTTGGTAACCGGGATGTGTCTGCCTGATAAGACAGTCCACAAAGGAAGTCTTTCCATGATGTAAATGGCCAATGAAGGCAACATTCCTTATAAGAGTTGTGTTGTCCATCATGTCAGCCAAAAATCTGAAAGATACTGGTTAATAATCATTTTTTCTCTGTAACCACTGGAATTGGCCACAAAAATAGTATAAAACGAAGAAAAAATAATAATAAACACTATTGTGTTGGGTTAAAAGATATTCTAAAGTTTACCCAGAGCTTTGAGGAGGCTGATGATTTTATTACGCTATTTTGCAGTTTGTGTGGCGACAATTGTTCATACAAAGTAGAAATTATATATGATAAAAGAAACAGGTGAATAACATTATAACATATTTCCTTACTCCATGCTGAACGTTGTTTCTGGCAAATTCTGTTCCCTGATTTCAAACTTTTTCTTTTTTACTGGTTCCACCAAGGGCACATCAAGAGGTTGAGCATCTTCTTCTTGGACTATTGTCTCAACATCAGGACCATATACTTGCAAAGCAGACGGGTAATACTGCTTATCTTCATGTAATACAATAGACATTGGTTGAGGCTCATCTTCCATTTGCTCATCCTGAAAAAAAATACAGTATGTTACCAATAATAAAACTTTTACATAATGAGAGTAATTCAGTGTATATGGCAACAATGGTTTTGTGCTGTCTATTCAGTAGTATGTGATTTTGTAAAGGGGTCATGTCACACATTGAAACTTATCAATAAATCATCTGACTGAAATATGTAAAGAAAACATTATTAATATATTTATTTTTTAATATTGATTACTACCCCAGAAAAATACCTGTCCAAAATTGCCAGTTTCTTCTCTGACTGAGATTTTCTTTATATGCCACAGAAAATCCTTATGAAATAATCAACAAAGATTTTGGTAGTATTTCTCTGATGAGTCTCTCTGTTGTTCTTGCTGGTAGAATTAGTTTACTGGAATTCTTTGAAATCTGTCTTTTATTTAGTGGCCAGAACATAAAAACAAACACTTGGTGAAAACATTTCCACCAAGCAGTACAGTAACTTACATCATCTCAAGTAAAGATAACATGGCGACGCAAGTACAACTATTGAAATATACTCTACTGGACTCTAGAAGATTATCCATAGCTATTTTTTTTTTCGAAATTATTGGTAGAACAAGAACCTATGTATGTCTACGTCATGAACACGACTATAGAATCATTAAATTTGGAAGAATATAAAGCTTTATCTTTTTTGTGGAGCGCCATTTTTAGATGAAATACTACCTTCAAGAGAACGATTCAAGAGGGACCAATGGACTAAAAATGATAGAAATATGAGCCATTTCTTCATGAAAGCCTACTTTGACTTTGCAAGATATGGACATCCATCTTATACGCAGGCATTCATTTTGAGGAAGATAAAAATGGACAGGTGAAGTATTTGAACTTGAATACAAATTATAACTCGTCGATCATTATATCCCTAATCTTGTTGGACATTTGGTGCCCACGTATCCTCCAACAACCGAGGATATTGTAGTTTCCTAAACACGGGGCTGAATTTCCAGGTTAGAAAACGCCAAAGAATCAACGCTTGATTTTTTGCACCATATTTAGTAAACATAGTGCCAAGGGCTTAGTGTTAAAGCACAATATTAAATATTGTCAATGATAGACTATCATGAATTCCTTGGACTAAAAATAGTTTTTTGTTCAAGGCCTTGCTAATAGTTTTGAGATTTTTCAGAAAACATAAGAATAGAACGTTAGATTAGTGCACGTTTTCGTAGATGTATAACAGGGTGGCCAAGATAAGGATCAGACTAGGTTAAATTAAGTAATCACACAATCTTACATCAAGCATTCGTTTGCAACGGAACAGTAACGGCAACGTAGCTACTAACCTATTTAAATAAAATGAAAAAGTAGTATGTAAAACTAAAAAACAAATGTAAGGTGATACATCGTTGAAGTCGTAGAAAAAGATGCTATTAGATACAGGGTAGTACTTTTTTAAAAACACCATCATGTAGTTTTTGACACTTCTTGAAATAAAGTCAGACAAAAATAAAAACGATTTGGCCAAATTTTAGTTTTTCCCAAATACCTCAATATTTTTTTTTGTTTTTGAAATAATTTATTTAAACACAATAATACAAAAAGTGTAACCAGTTTTAACAATAATTCCCTAATCAGTGTTTGCAAACACTGGCCCCGAGAATAACAAGACAATAATTAATATCTATGAACTACAGGTACACTGCAATGTTGCTCATAATTTCAACAAATAAATTCATTAACATTTTTACAGTCTTTCAATTCTCTAACAAAACTTCTATAGTTATTTGAATCTTTTATACAATGAGGTAAATTATTAAATTTCTTAATTGCGTCTGTGATCGGATTTTTTAAACCTATGTTAGTTCTTGTGGAAATTTGATAAACATTATTTAGTGATCTTGTTTGGTGATCATGCACGTTATGGCAGAACCTAATATTTATGTTACTTTTTAGTAGATTATTTATAATTTTATAAACAAGTTTACATTGTTCCACCTCCAATAACACTCTTAATTTGTTTAAATTTAAATTTGAATAAAGTGTATTAGAACTTGTAAGCCAATCAAAATTAAACAATATTTTCAGAACTTTATTTTGTAAAACTTGAGCTTTATTAAAATTAACTTCACCGCACATACCCCATACTGGCAAGAGGTACCTAAAATGTGTAAGAAAGAAGGCATTATAAATTTGAAATTTGCTTTTGTGGGACAAATAATCTCGACTCTTATATAAGGCAGATAGCATTGAAACTATTTTATCACAAATTCCATTTACGTGAAGTGACCAATTTAAACTTTCATCTATTAGTAATCAGAAATATTTAATACTTGACACTTTTTCTAGCGCTATATTATTTATGTTAATATTTAGATTATTGCTAACTATCTTATTTTTTTGTTTAAATATAATGTATTTTGTTTTTTCAATGTTAATTTTTAATCTATTCGAAAACAGCCATTTAAGATAACTATTCAGGTCATCATTAATAAGATTCGTTAAAGCAATTTCGTCTATTCCAGTATATAGCAGTACAGTGTCATCTGCAAAGGTAAAATATCTTCCCCTCAGATTGGCCAACTTGAGATTCGGTACATAAAGACTGTATAACAGAGGTCCAAGAACTGACCCCTGTGGTACTCCATAGGTGCTAGATAACCATTCACTATCAATGTCTCCAAGCTTTATGTACTGTTTTCTGTCATATAAATAAGACTTAATCAAGCTGTACAAAACACCTCTAAATCCCATTTTAAACAATTTATCTAAAAGAATGCCTACGCTTACTACGTCAAAAGCTTTTTTTAGGTCAATGAAAACAGCTACAACTATTTGTTGTTTATCTAGAGCCATTGAAATGTAGTCCACAAAATCAACAACCGCACTAAGTGTGCTACTGTTCGTTATAAAACCATATTGAAATTCATCAATCAATATATTGTGAGTAACAATGAAAGATAACATTCTTTTTTTATTAATTTTTCTATAATCTATAATTAAAATATATATCTATAATTTCCAAGTTAGAAAACGCCAAATAATCAACGCTTGATTTTTTGCACCATATTCAGTAAACATAGTGTTAAAGCACGATATTAAATACTGTCAATGATAGACTATCACCAATTCCTTGGACTAAAAATAGTTTTTTGTTCAATGCCTTGCTAATAGTTTTGAGATTTTTCAGAAATGAAGTACTTACAAGAACGTTAGATTAGTGCACGTTTTTGTAAATGTATAACAGGGTGGCCAAGATAAGGATCAGACTAGGTTACATTTAAAAATCACAAAATCTTACATCAAGCATTCGTTTGCAACGTAACAGTAGCAAACTCAGAAGAGTTGGAAGTAGACCTAATTTCCAATTTTGAGACACTTGACACCCACGTAACAACACTAAAACACAAAAGCACCACCGAGAGACAATCGAGAATCCTATAGTGAACACCACTACTGAAACAAAGTAGCTAAACCGAATAGAGCTCTGCATGGAGCTGTGACCGCGTAGACATTCCGCCTCGACGACGGTTGCCGCGAGACTGAAGCGTGTGTGTGTGTGTGTGTGCTGTTGATGATGTTTACGTTGACCGGGAGCAGACGCGAGGAGTGGGAGATGGAAAGGGGCGTAGCTGTACGCTGCGCAGGCGGTTGCCGAGAGACTGATGTGAGTGCTGTACCTCGCTGCGGCGGGGCAGTACAGCCACGCCCCTTTCCAGCTCGACGAAGTGACTCGATGTTTACGTTGACCGGGAGCAGACGCGAGGAGTGGGAGATGGAAGGGGCGTAGCTGTACTACCCAACCGTACCGTATCGCCGCAGAGAGGTACAGCACTCACATCAGTCTCTCGGCAACCGCCTGCGCAGCGTACAGCTACGCCCCTTTCCATCTCCCACTCCTTGCGTCTGCTCCCGGTCAACGTAAACATTATCGACAGCACACACACGCTTCAGTCTCTCGGCAACGGTCCGCGAGCGGGATGTCTACGCGGTCATAGCTCCGTGCAGACCTCTATTCGGTTTAGCTACCTTTTTTCAGTAGCGGTGTTCACTATAGGGTTCTCGATCGTCTCTCAGAGGTGCTTTGGTGTTGTTAAGTGTCTCAAATGTGGAAATTAGGTCTACTTCCAACTCTTCTGAGTGAAACAGGATACCTGTGCAGCAAATTAGGTGAGCCTTGCATACTCATCTACTTGTGTGTTAGGGTTGACATCCTATGTTTCTTTTTAAAGAAATTGCATTCACCGACAGATTAGTCATATACTGGGGTATTTGGGAAAAACTAAAATTTGGCTAAATCGTTTTTATTTGTCTGACTTTATTTTAAGAAACGTCAAAAAAACTAATAGCTTATAGCTTCTTTTACTACGACTTCAACGATGTATCATGTTACATTTGTTTTTTTAGTTATACTTCTTTTTTATTTTATTTAAGTAGGCAACGTTAGTACCTACGTTGCCGTTACTGTTACATTGCAAATACTTGATGTAAGATTGTGTGATTACTGAATTTAACCTAGTCAGATCCTTATCTTGGCCACCCTGTTATAAATCTACAAAAACGTGCACTAATCTAACGTTCTTGTAAGTATTCGTATGTACTTACATTCATTTCTGAAAAATCTCAAAACTATTAGCAAGGCCTTGAACAAAAAACTATATTTAGTCCAAGGAATTGGTGACTGTCTATCATTGACAGTATTTAATATCGTGCTTTAACACTGCCCTTGGCACTATGTTTACTAAATATGGTGCAAAAACAACAAGTGTTGATTCTTTGGCGTTTTCTAACCTGGAAATTCAGCCCTATGTTTGGGAAACTACAATGTCCTCGGTTGTTGGAGGATATGTGGGCACCAAAGGTCCAACAAGAGTAGGGATATAATGATCGAGTTATAATTTGTATTCAAGTTCAAATACTTCAGCTTCCTAATACCTAATATCTGGGTATAAGACAGATTTACATATCATGCAAAGTCAGAGTAGGTTTCCATGTGTCTCCAAAGTGGAAATTACGTCTACTTCCAACTCTTCTGAGGGAAACAGGATACCTGTGCATCAAACAGAGTCGAGAAGAATAAATTTCAATACTTGTCTTGTGTGGTCATTTTATCTTTACTAGGGCAACTTACATCATATTCCTGTTGCTCATCGTCATTCTGCTGCTCTTGTTCTTCTTCCTCATCATCATCACTATCCAATTCAGGCCCAATGTAGTTACCAAATTCATCATACAGATCACCATCCATCTTCGAGATCTTTTTTCCAACTACAAAGTTAGGAAAACTAATTCTGTACACCCTAATTAGAAAAATATAAGAACATTTTTTGCTTTGCTTTATTTTTCTGAATTTCTATTCAATGTCTGTTCAGTTACCAAATTTGTTTCTGCATAGGAATCAGAATAGTGCGCTTCCGGCATCACAAATCAAGAAGCCGGCACACTTTTAAGTACACAATATACAGATTTTATTTTAGCATTTGAATAAGTGGTAATATAAAATGCTTACCTAGTTATGTGAAATTAATATCAAAATAGTCTGTTTGGATTGTTTGACAAGAACATAACCTCATCAAAAACATGTAAATGTTTGCAGAACGCTCTGTGAAGGATAGAAGCACAGAACATGGAGGTATGGCATACAAGCGCGTCCTATCCCCTCTGTCAAAGTTGACGTTTTAAATCATTAGGGGAAACTGGGGCATAAAGAAGGTAAACAAATACACGTCAGTATTTCCCTATACTTAGCATATTATAAAAAATGTGATTTTAAGATTTCGAAGGAACAGGTTATTACTCAATAATGTATCGGCTACTGATATTGGTATTTTTGTGCAAGGAAACCCTCCAAAGTGATGTGAAAACCCTGGGTTTTGATGATACCTTACTGTTCGATATAAACTGGCCCGGGCAACTAACTCCTGACGAACAAGCGTCCGGTTTAGAATCAATCATAGTAACTTCTTCACATAAAGAGAAGTACAAATGTATCATTCCTAACATAGAACAGAGGGAAGATAACTCAGAAGAGACCTATGAAGGACCTACTGCATTTGAAATTATTGCACCTTTATTCACACAGGCTACATGTTCCTTCAGGTATGTAATTTGAGTTTATTGATGAAAGTCTAGCATTCAAATTTTGAATCTTATTTAGTTATTTTCTTGAATACTCCTTTGTATTGTCAGTTAAATGATTTATTGTGGCATAACCATATTTTCTATATTTTAGACTAGAATCTTATTGGACATATGAAGTCTGCCATGGAAGGTACATTCGACAGTACCATGAAGACAGAGAAGGCAAGGCACTGAAGATTCAAGAATATATTTTGGGAAAGTTGGATGCTAAACAGATCGAAATATTACTAGCGGAATCTAAGATCAGAGAAGAGAAAGAGAAAGTTCCTTTCAAGAAAATTGACAATGTCTATCTGCCATACTATGAGGTCACCATGGACAATGGCACTTTTTGTGACTTAAATAACAACAAGCCAAGAGTCACAAAGGTGCTTTATGTGTGTTACCTTCAAGGAAAACACGAAATATACTCTCTCAAGGAGATTTCTACGTGTGTCTATGAAATAATAATTTTATCACCACTGTTATGTAGCCACCCTAAATATAAACCGAAAGAAACAGGAGAACGTAAAATAAACTGTGCTCCAATTGATGGTAGTTACAAAAAACCGTACAACTTGGCCAAGTTGGCGCATGACAGCGCTATCCAACGCAGCAAATCTGATCTAGAGAGATTTAGATTGGTGAAAATTGAAAAAGAAGAACCAACACCATCCTCTTCAGAGAATAAAATAATCACTGATACCACACCGATAATCAACTTCTTGAACGGCAAGACATGCTTGTACGGAGGAACTGGCTGGTGGAAATACGAGTTCTGTTATGGAAGATATGTGGAACAATTTCATGTGGAAAAAGATGGAAAACGAGTGTCAATCAACTTAGGGAGATTTGATGCTACTGCTCATTTGGAATGGTTGAAGAACAATCCACATAAAAGGCCCAGACCTGTTGAAGAGAGGAAGCAGCTCTCCCATTTTTATTCGGGTGGGAGCATTTGTGATAAGACTGGCAAACCCAGGCAGACAGAAGTTAGGTAAGACCTGAAAACATTATTGTTACAAGCTTTTACTCAACCTTACCTGTTTGTAAATATGTGTGGGACAAATCATGGAACTGAATTTGAATCCAATATGGCGAATGCTACCAAATGGCGATTCATCATTTCCTTAGTAACTCCTATGATATTAATATTAAATGGACGGCTGGATGAGAGAAACATAAGAAGCGTAGTGGCGTCATTCTAAATTCAATATGGCGGCCGCAGTAAAGTTGCAGTTTACATTTTTCACCGTCGCCCCTTTCATATGGAATATTAAAATAAATACTGAAATGCGTCAAACTTTAAATTATTTTCTATTAAATGTGTCGTCATAAATAATGACATTTTCTTATAAGCAGAAAGTTAGTTATTAATTACATTTTTCAAGCTCTCATTAAATAGCCCATGTTAAGGTTAACCATTCCTTTTCTTTTTTTCAGACTGAAATGTTTGCAAGACACACCAAGCCAAAGCACGGTTTCTTTGTTTTTATTAGAACCAAAGTACTGCCAGTACATTTTGGGAGTGGAATCGCCACTCATTTGTAATATTTTACCGAAAGCAGATGAAAATGGTCTGGTCAGCATTGAAGACATGGAAACAGAAGACCCGTTGAAAACGAAAATTCTCCTCTAGGCTTAAAAGTTTTGTTACAATTCATTTGCATTAAAAAGTTTCTTTAATTATATCGTTTATTTCTTCATTCCAAACACATGTGCAGTTATACTGATTGGTAAGAGGCATCCAAGGAAGTAAACTTATCCATGCATAATGCTATGTTTTGTGCAACCTGAACATGGCTGAAGACATCAGAATGGAAACAGGTTTGTGTGCTTTCAAACATCGTCATGAAAACGCAAGCTCAAAGTGTCTACTTTGTCTAGAAGCTCCCAAAAGTCAGCAGGAGTCTGAAATGTCAAAAAATGAAGTTTCAGCGATTTTTATTTTTTTTGCGTTCCTTGCCCATCATAGCCCTGCTGCCGCTGGATCAATTTTCAAAAATTACAACACTTCCTTCAAAAAACATATGTATACGATTTTTGTCCGGAAAATACGTATAAAAATCGAATAATTTTATTTTACAATAAATTTTTCGGGAATTTCAATATGGTCTCCTTCAAAGTACAATCACACGTAAATCCTACTCGCAGAGCGCTCCGGCTTGCTGCTTGCACTGAGTAGGGGATAGCGAGAGGGAACAACCCTTCCGTAACGAATTGACTGGACACCCCGCATTTTTTATACCTATTTTCTGGACAAACCTCGTATAGTTAGTTTTGTGTAAGAATTCGCTTTCTCACGGACGCTCTCTTGTTCTTCTTGAGTTCTGGGAACAGTGCAACCATTCAGCATTGCATTGCCAGATCAGTAATCCGAAACACGTTTTGGAGGTTAATAGATATACAAGAACACCCTGTTGGAAGTACGCGAACCTTTTTTGCTTATCATAAATCAAATTCAAGCGGATAACCAAATGGAAATGGTATTTACCATTTTGGGTTGGTATTTACCAATCCGTTCAAGCGAGTGTAGTTATCAGTTTGGTTATAAGATCCGTGACGTCACGAATCAGCTGTTATATGTCATAGTTATCACCGCAAAATTGTGGTATTTACCCAACTCAAGAGTAGTTTTATATTTCTGGTTATTATTTGAAATGTGACAAGTTAGAATTTTGCCGGGTATTGGATATTGTTATTGTACTTCACTTCATTTTTGAGAAAAATGATACAGGCTGACTTCAGTTTTACCATAAAGTGGAGCACCTTATTAGTTATACTCATTACGGTTGTTGGGGACACTTTAAATGTAGTTCCTATGCTTAACAAAGTATCCTGTGTAGCCATATACCACAAGAATATTAAAATATGGCCATATAAACTCACTAGATGATATCCACCTGTATACGGTTTTGCTAATTTCTTTTTCATCATTTCTGCTGAATCAATAAATGTTTTCTTTGACATGTGGAAAAATTTAGAGAATTGAAAGTTATCATAGCTACAAGCCATGGTTCCATCATTAAAAAAAAAATCTGAAAAAAACATTTCTCCCATGAATATTATGAAAGGTTTTTCATTTAAACTTTCCATATACAGTTGTAGACGAAAAAGCACCGATTATTAAGTGATAATAAAAATAATCAGAGATTATATACGCGCTTTTCTAAAATAAACAACTTGCAACAAAACCGCGGTTAAAACCAACGCGTTCAAGCGATTCGTGTAACTGACGTCATGAACCCGTGTGTCAACTTGAACCATATCATAACCGCGGCACATAACACAGAAATTTTGGTTATTCGCTTGGATTTGATTATAGCGTTACACGAGGATTCCAGTAAGCATTGGATCCACAAACTGATCCCCCTGATAAAAATATCTGCCGGCGCTTATGAGTATTCCCCACGACTTTGCCTACGCATTGCCCCAGGAACATGACGTGAATGTCATCGAACTGTCAAAGTCATCTCTCCCACCCTTGTTTTTGAGTAGTTTAACGTGGCTGAAGCCTTTTTAGCTCTCTGGTTATCCAAAATTAAATATTTGTTTCCGATAAAGACTAGTAGGATAAGGGAAAAACTGTGATATGAGATAACTTCTATGTGTCTTTTCTCGAACACCAAAATCAAAACCGTACGTATTGTTATTTAGGCGAATGGCAATAACACATCCTGGTGCCTTTATTGATTTTTTTAAACGTTTTTTAGCTTCGAAATGGCTTTAAAAAAAGTGAAGGGGAATATAGAGCGGATGTTCGACAAGAACCTCACGGATTTGGTTAGGGGAATCAGGAATAATAAGGAAAATGAGGCAAGTTGGACCTTAGGTTATGTCAACAGAACTTGCTCCCTTGATAGTAATTTTGGGGTATCACACAGCACAATTCGTTTCAGACACATTTTAAGGCTATGATCACAGCTTGCTGACTCATTTTTCTTAATTCAGAATGTAAGAAGTAGCCCCAAAGAGTTTGGGAAATTTGCCATCAGCAAGAAGCTGATATATGTTTTTATTGTTCTTTTAGGCAAAATATATTTCTGAGTGCATGGAAGATATCAAACAAGAGCTTAGGCAGGATAATCTATCTGTCAAAAGCAATGCGATTGCAAAGCTCACCTATGTAGGTACAATCATACTGATTTTGATTCTTATAAACTGAGGAACTCTGTATTTCTAGTTGCAAATGTTAGGATATGACATATCTTGGGCTGGCTTCAACATTATCGAAGTGATGAGTTCCAGTAAATTTACTTTAAAAAGAATAGGCTATCTAGCTGCAAGTCAATCATTTCACTGTGATTCTGAGGTATGTATATTTCTTTAGATATAGAACTTTATTTGGAAAAATTGCTTATAAACTATTTACCACAACAATTCATCTTCTGGGGTACTGAATAGTTGAATAATAAGTGATCTGTTGTGTTTATTTTGAAGCATTGACAATGTATTAGAAATATTTACATAAAATATTAAATATAATCTATTTAATTCTTACCTGACATGCAATTTGGTTATGATCGTTAGCATCAATTTTGTCTGTTTTTTTCTGATTTTATATAGACACTTTAGAGGTATTTTGAATGTCAAATCATCACCTGTTGTTGTTATATTTTGATGTTGCTGTCTTAGTAAAAAGATTATAGAGTTTTCCAGAGAGATTTATTTATAGATATTATATTTTGTATAAAGCGATTCATTAGATTCGTTTGCACAGCAGTTGGTAACTGGCAGTGACTGTCACTGTCTAGAAAGATGTTTCTTATCACAGTGGCTGTGTCAGTAGTGACAGTTGCTGAACAAAATTGGCTACATGCTTGTTGCTACCTGTTTGCTGTCAGCTGGTATGATCAAAGCTATAATTTCCAAGGTTTTGAAAAAAAATTTTTTAAATCTACTAATATGTGAAGCTGATATAAAAGTGCCCAAACCGTTGAAATAGTCAGCAGGAAGTAATATTAGTGTCATATTGTGTGCCCAACTCTTCTGCACTTAAAAATGCATGGTCATGATATTGCAAAGTTTATTTTAACAACATAATGTAATTTAGCAGAACCACTAAGGTATAACCTGCATGATTCAGGCAAAACCTAATACAAATCACACCTTATTTGTTCTGCCTTGAGTTCTTTGCTGAACTAAGGTTTGTTTGAATTCAACCTAAGAGGTTACCAAATTTTTTTCTTGAGAGAAGAACCTGGATAATCTTCAAGGATATGAGGATTATCTCAAACATTTTTTTTTAGGTTTGTCATCATTAAGCTATTTTCTATATAGTCGCATTTGTTTCTACGCATTTTGTAGACGCGGAATCCTCTTTTTCAAATAGGCGCTTCTTGTTGGGATTGTTGGGGGGGGAGGCGACAAACACGACGGTGTTGCCGGATTTAGCCTAGCATCACGCGTTCGGAACCTTATTTTATGAGAAGCTTTTATCTTTCTGTTTTTTTTCCAGTTGTTAATGTTAACAACAAATATGATAAGAAAGGAACTCAATTCTCAAAACCAGTATGAGGCAGGGTTAGCTCTCACATCGCTAAGTTGTTTTGTTAGCACAGACTTAGCCAGAGATCTTGCCAATGATATTTTAACACTGGTAAGTAGCTTTGCTCAAAAACCTCATGTATACAAAATCAGAATCTGGATAAAAAATCGAATCATATAGATTCAATTACACATTCTTGCTTCATTTTCTTTATAGTTGCCCACCACACAGGCCTTAGGCCTAAATAACCATGGGGATAAAGGGGGATACGAGGGAAAGGGGGGATGTACATCACTATAACTATAACTATCTAAAACTGTAATGACTCATCGATGTTCACGTGAACATCACTTAACTACCAGTAGTCGGCTGTTCATAGGCGGGGTATGAATGTTTAACATGGGTGAACTAGATTTGTCACATGCTTAATAAAGATTGGTTTGAAACATATTGTAAGTCAAACATTTGGGAATTACCTTTATTCATCGTCGCTTCCACTTAAATCTGACAGTAATAAACTGTCGCTATCGCTTTCCTCGTTGAAATTGACTATAACTGGCTCTATGATGGTGTCGATGTGGTGGTCAAGCTGCCACATTTTTGTTTCTTCCTTCACAACATGACGGATAGCATTCTGCCAAGCTTCGGGCGATACTAGCTGTATGGAAGTCTCAAGTAAAACCTTAACGTCTGGTAATTTGAAAGTTGTGTTATGGCGCGCAATATAACCCTTCACTTGAGCCCAGATGAGCTCTATTGGGTTCAGTTCACAGTGGTAGGGCGGTAATCGCAGCACAGTGACACCACATTGACGGGCCATCTCATCAGTCACGTAACTAATGTTCGCAGGTTTGTGCTGTTTAATTTTTTCATACAATTCCGCTTTCACACATGAATCGTCAAACGGGATTCCTTTTTCGCACAACCATTGCTGCATGTCACTTTTTCGAGATCCCATAGTCGGTACACGTTCGGCTCGACGACTATGGTAGGAAGCATTATCCATGACGATCACAGAGTTGGGCTCAACTCACTGAAGCACCCCTTGAAACCAGCTCTCGAAGCAGCTGGCATTCATTTCGTCATGGTAATCACCTCCTTTCTTAGAAACGAAAATCAAGACACACTCTTCTAAAAAGCCACTATCGCTACCAATATGAGTTACGATCAATCTTTGACCTTTCCCTGCCGGTCCACGAAGACCTGTTGACAAACCTTCAATGCTTGCTTGTCGGTTACTCACTACGTTTTTGTCTATCCAGGTTTTTTAACTGTGTGACCTGCATTTACCCATGTCTCGTCCAAATAATAGATTTTTCTGCTTTGTCGCCTATATTCAATCATTTCGCGTAGGTATTTTCGACGCCAGGCGACTATTTCAGGTCTCTCTATCAATACTGACTTCCGATTACGCGTTTCGTAACGAAAATTAATTTCGTGCAGGGATTTCCTCATTACCTCGACGCTCATTTGGGGTGTAATTTCATTTTCCTTGATCGCTGCATGTACAGCCTTGAGGGTTGGTATCTCATTCCTAAAGAAGAATGAATGTACGGTTCGCCTTTTGCTATCGTCATCCAATTTAACGGCCTTTCGTCCCTTCAAATTAAACTTTGGATCAGTAGTAGCTCCAGTTTTCTTCTTTTCATGCACCATCCTGCGAATGGTCCACTCTGGAACGCCTGTCATACTTTCACAACGCGCGAGTGCATCTCCCTGCGACATAGTTCTGTTTAGATAATTGAACACGTTGAGCACGATTTCTTCGCATCCCTCTTCAGTGCTTTACGAAGCCGTCTACTTGTTCCCTGGATTTCAGTACTTCCACTCGTGCCATTTATACTCTCCATGGTTCAGTATAACCAAAACAGTAACCACAGAAACCACAACAATAACAATCACACAACAATTCTTATAAAAACACACAATATGCGATCCCTCAACGAAACACGTTCCAATGCGTTGCCGACGCCTATGAGTCTGCCGGTCGAGGCGCGTCTTTGATTTCATTGGTTCTTCCGGCGGAGAGCAATCAGCCATTATTTCCGTCTCTGTCTGTGCTGTTGACCACCGCAAAGCCATAGAAACGACATATGTCGTACGCTATACGGCTGTACTGGAAGGAAGCCGGGATCGAGCTCTGATCACGTGTTGATCACGCGTATGAGTCATTACAGTTTTAAATAGTTGTAGTATAGGAATGGACTAGTACTGATGGAATATATTTTTACTAACCCTATTACTTACGCCTACATCTTATTTTCTAATCATTGTGGGGTTGTCCTTCTTTTTCTTAGATTGTTTATTTCTGCTATTGATAGAATGTGAGCATCTTTTTTATATCAATCTGTCAATGTCCTGAGGCTATTGACAGGGAGAAATTGTTAACGAAATTGTATTAAAAACATTTTGGTAGGTGTGCCACAGGGTAGCAAATCAGGTCCATCGCTATTTATTTTAGATATTAAACGATGTTCTTGATGTTTTACAACATAAAATTCAAATATTATAAAATTGTATAAAAATATGTCCCACTGAGACATAATATATTATGTGATATACTGTGTAACATTGTATCATTAATGATAAACAATCTGAAACGACAACCCAAAAAAGGTCATTTTCTATGACATTTCTTTGATATTTAAATTCACATCCTAAAATTATCACGAACTTTGAAACATGCAAGACTTGCATGGATGTTTTGAAGATATTTTGTTATATTTCAAATTTGCTGTGTTGTGTATGCTGCTGAAACAATCCCTTACTTCTTAGCTTAGCTCAACAAAGCCTTATATTAGGAAGAAAGCTGTTCTGATGATGTACAAGGTATTCCTAAAATACCCTGAAGCATTGAGACCCGCTTTTCCTAGGTTGAAGGAAAAATTGGAAGATCCTGATCCAGGTCAGTTGAAACGATCATATTTCGTGCTACCTTTTCAATCACAATATTGAAGTTTTAATTAAACCTTAAGCGCCTATTGCTGAAACTGTTCCTTCTTGTTTCACTTTTGTTAGGTGTTCAGTCAGCTGCTGTGAATGTTGTATGTGAGTTGGCAAGGAAGAATCCAAAGAACTACCTTAGCCTTGCCCCTGTCTTCTTCAAGTTGATGACTACAAGCACCAACAACTGGATGCTTATAAAAATTATAAAACTGGTAAGTATTGAGATTTTGTAAATTGAAGTTCATATACATTATTTGCCCAATTCTTTATGTTTTAAACGTTTTTATAGTGTGCATCGTTCACAATGGTTGAACCTCTAATAGGTTTAAAGTTGACCACACCTTTGCTGAATATTATTGCAAGGTATACATCAATCTAATATATAATAATTATGTAGAGTTCTTACTCATGCTACGTAGGTCGGTATCATGACGATGTCTAATAAATATCCGTATATCCAAAAATCTCTGCGACCGCAATTTATACAGAAAATACACGTTATTAGGGTGTTGTATATGTTGACATACGTGGTCATATGAGAAATAATGTAGCGTAGATGGCGAGACTCAATTGTCTTGAACGAGGCCTTTGAGAAAAAGAATCTGTGTGGTGTTACTATTTGAGTGCAGAAATTCGGCTCTTAATGGCCGCTAAGATTTTGGGATATTTGGATATCTATCTACAGATACACACCTTCGGAAAAACCATTATTATACATTATGATGAGGAAGACAGATGGAAATATACAAAAGTATGTAGGTGCGTGAAAGACACTCGATTGTAGGATCCTATCTGGCAGCGTCGGAGTGTGACGGACAACGGCGTAAAGTAGAAGAGTGATAAAAGAGAGATGGCAGAACGGGCGCTGGCGCCTGCCGCTTAGACGGATGCGCTCAACAAATGCGATTTGTTTCTCCCATTCGCAGAGTTGCCGATACCAATATGTCATATTTCTAAGAAATCTAAGTCTACGCAAATTTCGGGAAAAATAGCTGCGGATTCCACCTAAGAGTATTCCAAAAATGAAAAAAGTTCAAACTATTAAAATTGTATTAATGTTTCATGGTTCAAATCATATTTTTCATGTTTGTATATCGTTGTATAAATGATTTTGTAATCCCTATTCTTGTTGCCAGTAGAGATACAACAGTATTGAGAGAAATCATGGACCGCTAGATAGGGCTACAACTACCATATGACTATCAAATAGTAGTGATAAACCGGGTTTGTTTATAGCACAGTTGCCTGGTGTGGCGAATTTGCGCCATAGGGGCGATTAGACAACTTTGAAGGACAACTATAACGGGTACTATGGTGCCCGGTACTCGGGAATCTGGCAATACCTGATGATTCCTAACGTTTATTACGCCAGATTGTTTGCTGACTTGCGCAGTACAACATGACAATCAACGTGACTGAGCACCTGGTAACCGTGGTTTAAGGTGTTATATTTAAAGAGCTTGGGGCAGTTAGGTATCTAGGTCATATTTTTTAATGTATTTCGAGAAATCCGTAATGTTGAGTAAATATTAGATCACGTTTCTTGATTAGTTTGCTGAAAATTCTACAATAGACGTACATTTTGAGAAACAGAGATTTGGTGGCGACAAAATCGTAAAAATATAACGCATTTTCGTAAAATAATTTCTTTGTTGAAAAGACTGTGGCTTGATGACCCATTGAACGAGGATAGTGTCCCGCTCCGCTTTGAATATTCGAAACGCTACACTCCAGCAGCATTCAGCTTCAATGTTATCTTTATGAAGTTCTAACGTCTAGGCCATGCTGATTAAAAGCTTGAATGAATCAACACTTAACTCTAAATTCCCCACAATTCGGGAAGCTCTACTCAAATTGGCAACACAGCGTATCTGTCTATTATTCTCATTCGTGATACAGGTCTGCGGTCTGCTGCAAATTTCGGTATGCGTTGAGTCGACAGAAGAAGTACAGTAGATGCGCGCATTACGCACCAGTTCGATTGGACGTCCTGTGAACCGATTTCGGTGATTTCGAGATTTCACGAAATCACCGAAATCACTCTACTTATTTTTATGAATGGATAATTGGTTTTGTAGCAATAAAGGTTGCGTCTCATAACAAAAATAAGAAGATACCCACTCTAACAAAAAATAGTACACTCTTAAAAATGTCTAACGAAAATAAAAAGATATTCTAACAAAAAAATAAGTTCTCAAAAATAAAACGCAATAATGAACACAAATGTTTCAAATGGAGCTGGGGCTCAAAAACGTCCCCTTCATTCAATGAACAGTATGTCAGGCGGATATAAAACTCCTGACGAACTCTCAAGAGGGTAGAAGGCTGTATTTGAGCGAGCGCTTCAACGATTTTCACCTGTAGGTTATGCAAATTGTCTGCTCTCTCATTGAAAGTGTAAACAGTACTTTTCACATAACCCTACAAGAAAAAATCATTGGGCGTTAGATCGGGTGATCTAGGAGGCCATTTTATTGTTCCGTTACCGCCAATAATCCGGTGGCCGAACACACTTTCAAGGTAAGTGTGTACGATCGCCGCATTATGCGCCGGGCATCCATCTTGTTGGAACCGAATATTAGCGAGATCAATGCCAAGCTGCCTAATTGCAGGAACAATCTGCGTCTGTAGTAACGCCAAATATTTTGCAGCCGTAAGAGTTCCATCAATAAAGAACGGTCCGATAATGTTATTACCTAGAATTCCTGCCCACACATTCAGTTTCTGTGGATACTGCGTGCGGACGGGAATACTGAGGTGTTTATTTTCCCGAGACCAATACCGAACGACTGAAGGATTGTGATGACCGTGGAGAGGGAATGTGGATTCATCAGTAAACAAAATGTTACCAATAAAACTTCCATCCCTGTTCGCCTTCTCCATGACCGTTTCACAAAACTCCATTCGACGGTATTTGTCTAAAGGAAATATTTCTTGAACCTTGAAGCTATGATAGCCGTTGCGATGCAAAATATTTCTTGTTTTTCTGGGTGTGAGATCGGCTATTGGTACCATTTCAGCAATTTTTCTGCTTGAGCATGGCTCAGATACTTCTGAAGCGGCACAAACAGCAGTTTCGATCTCCTCCATTTTCTCGCTAATTTTTGGTTTCCATCCTTCAGGGTGCGTGCAGCTATGGCACTTATGTAAGCAGCCCACCCTCTTGAATTTTCCGTAGGTATTTATAACCGTTGCGTGAGACGGAATTGGCCGATCTGGGAAGCGTACCGCAAATAATCCAACAACCGCGCGTGCTGAATTATTCTGGATGTACCATGAAACGCACCTTTCCTACACAAAACCCAACCGCAGAGTGAGTCATGAATCCCTTATCGCACTTGACGACGGCACGCGCGTTAACGGTAGGAAATATGTACGAATAGCGATGAAAGTAGACGAGCCGATGCGCTGTTGCCAAGAAATGATTTCCCATGTATAACAATGGTTTTTCCTAAGGTGTATTTGTAGTGGCAACTTGTGAAATAGCAATTTCCTAATCGTATATGGACATAATCATTCTTTGTTATCTAGTGCAGCTAGGAGTGCTGATACCTGAGATATTTCTACATAGATAGTTTTTCGTTTACCCTGTGTACGTTTTGAGTTCAGAATTTCTCGACTGCTTTGGCATACTCGTATCCTGTTCGATCTGCGTTTATGTCGCAATACAGTTCGATCTTATGTTTGATCACCATATTTCTATTAGCTAATACGACATTTGACACAAAGTTGTTCTTGAATGCAGTCTTAATAAGGTAATGGTAATTTACAAAGCAGATACGTAGCGGCGGAACAATTGGCAACGTGAACAAAAATTAACAAACACAACGATAAATTGCATATCTACATAGTCAATAACTCACTGAATTTTGTGAAAGTAGCAAGGAATGGAAGAATATGTTTTTGATTTTTGAACACTAAATAGATTTTTCACCAATCACTTGTCTAGTGAAGGCTAGGAAGAAATAACTACGCTGACATCTGAATTACAAAACGATATAAAAATAATCGAATAATACAAATGTGTAAATCGACACGTGGCAGAAAATTGGCTTGATATTGGGTCATTCTGATGACTTATTTCTGCTTAGAATCTCGTTATTATTATTGAGTAACTCTATAATATACTAAGTGACATATAAATCCGAACACCCAGTTTAAATGGTTTAATTTTAATAAAATTTTGTATAAGTACTTAATGAAGCATAATAAGTAAATGATAAAAATTTCAAAATGATTGCACTGCTTTAAAGACCTTTAATAATGTGTGGATGCACCCTGATGTGCTACGCATTCTCCAACGCGCCTAGTCATGTTTCTGATCAGGTGGTCAATGTCCTCCTGTGGTATCTCATTCCAGGCAACCACCAACTCCTCTCGAAGTGCTTCTAGAGTCTGAGCAGGACGTTGCAAATTGAGCAATCTCCTACCCATCATATCCCACACGTGCTCAATTGGGGATAAGTCGGGAGATCTTGGTGGCCATGGTAACAATGTGACATCATTATGTTGAAAGAAGTCTATTGTGACTCTTGCAACATGTGGTCGGGCATTATCTTGTTGGAAAGTTGGATCTGCCAGGGTGTCAAGATAGGGTAAAAGATAGGGTTCTAGAACTTCGTGGATATAACGCTGCGCGTTCATGTTATCCTCTGATGAAGATTAAAGGTGAGCTGGAACCATAAGCTATAGCACCCCAAGCCATAACTCCAACAGTGTGATGAACATGTCTTTCAACAAAAAACTGTGGATTCCTCCTTTCACCACGTCGCCTTCTAACCCTGGCACGACCATCGTGCATGCCTAAACAAAATCGAGACTCGTCACTAAAGACACTACTGTTCCATTCCTGATCCCAGAGTGACCGTTGTCTGCACCACTCAAGGCGATTACGTCGGTGTTCTCGAGTTAAAGGGAGGACCCAGTGTGGCCGGTATGAAAACAAGCCAAAACTTCTCATTCGTCGGTAAACACTTCGCATGCCAATAGGTCTTCCGTGTTCTGCAAACCATTCATTTGCAATGGACCTGGTAGTGGAGAAACGGTCCCTTAAGGCCAATAATCTTAGGCGGCGATCTTCACGGTCTGTTGTTCTACGGCGGCGTCCAGTGCCCCTTGCTCTTTGCGTACGGCCTTCTCGAAGCCATGCCTGACAACACCTAACCACAGTGTCTACACTTCTTTGCACTCTAACTGCAATTGCCCGAAAAGAAAGTCCAGCTTCCCGAAGTCCCACTATACGGCCCCTATCAAACTCACTAAGTTGACGAATTCGTACAGGTCTCCGTACTCTAGGCATCGTAACCGATCGTAAAGGATGTCAAGAACTAAAATCCGCCAACGTTGATTCTTTACTGCGGCTGAAATATTCATTTTAGAGCGTTAGTGAATTAAAAAAAAGCAGTATAAAAACCGGAATGTCCAACTGATAAGGCTGAAAATTTTTTCACTTGTTATTTACAGTAAGATAAATACATTCACCAACTTTTATTAAAATAAAACCATTTAAACTGGGTGTTCGGATTTATATGTCACTTAGTATATATACTTGGATCATTCATATCTATTTTAGGCTTGTACTACTTTTATTTGTTTTAGTTTGGTGCTCTTACTCCCTTAGAACCTAGGCTAGGTAAAAAACTAATTGAACCACTTACAAACCTTATACACAGGTAGGTTATACTTACTAGGAACTGTATGAAAATATACATTTGGAATTGCAACATAATTTACTGATATAAATTATTATTAGAAAAATAAAAAAGGTACAAAGTGAGAATCCCAAAACACAATGCATTTGCAAATAAATTAGCGTGATGTAAGGTATAACATCAAAAAACCACATAGGTGCATATTACGATTTTCCAAATTCTTCGCAATATCATACCCGATTTATTGGCGTTGGAAGCAACCATAGTGTAAAATGTATTGATCCCTTACTTCAAATCCCTATCAGTGTACTTACAAATTACTCAAACGTACACATTGAGAATCCGCGAAAAATTGTGCCATCTCAAATTTCAAATTTTTGAGTCTCAAAGTAAATTTAACTATGATCCGAAGTGATCAAGGGAGACAAAAAAATTAGAGAATTATAAAAATCCTAACTCCTCCAAAACCAACAGTTTTTTGAGTCGTCCAGAATGAAAAAAATTACTCATAACTCTGCTGTCACTGAATCAGTTTTCAACAATTAGGTAGCATCAATGCGTGCACGTCATATTCAGAATTCATCAAAATTGGTGCAGCTGTTTCCGAGATTATGCATTTGAAAATGCCAAAAGAGTGACGGACAGACCGATGGAAAAAGTTATACGGATTTTCATTATGAAACATAAAAAGGTTTCAATTGGAATTGTAAAATTATCGTGATCGCAATATTTCTATTGCTTGTGCGTTCGACGCGATCCGCGCGGACTACTATGTTTCTACAGTATATTCCGATAAGAGATAGACCGGATGTAAACAAAAGGTTCGGGTGATTTTCACGCTAACGCCGCCGTCTCGACGTAAAACAGGAGCCCTCATTGGTCAATTCGCAATTAAATGCCTATGCCGAGCGGCAGAGCAGTCGTATCAAGGCAGAGTCACATTCAGGTTCAGACGTGTTACGTATGTCGTGTGCATCATTGCAATTTGATATTTCTTTGGACGTTTTCGTTTGTTATCTTATTAAGTTGTTGAGTTTGTCGTTGTTATTGTTATACCTTGTTATTGATTGTTATTGTTATCAACTGCTTGCGCAAAATGCCCAGTAGTACAGATACTGCCGATGAAGTTGTAAACTCCGTAGTCCACCTAGGAAACGCTCTAAAAAAAGACACCTGAGTGCAGAAATGAAAGAGGTCATTTTGAATATATATAACATCGAGCGCGAGGAGAACGAGGCATCAACCATCAAAGAAATTGTTGTGAAGGTTTCTCACAAAGTTGGGGTGTGTCGCGCATCAGTGTTTAATGTGTTAAGACAATACAAAAAAAAACACCCTTTTCTGAGCCAATGACCAGTAAACATCGCAAAAGTATTGTTAAATCATTGGATGATGCTGATAAGCATGCGATTAGGAGGAAAGTGCATGAATTCTTCTTTAGGAATGAAATACCTACTATAGATAAAGTACTGCAGGAGGTAAATTGAGATACAACGTTGCCAAATTTCAAACGATCAACTTTCCATGCGTTACTGAAGCATTTAAATTTCGAATGGAAAAACGGGGTCGTAATAGTTTACTACTGGATAGAGAAGAAATTGTGCTATGGAGGAGGGATTATTTAACAAAAATTGTGAAATATAGAAATCAAAACAGGAAGATTTATTACCTTGATGAAACGTGGGTAAACGCAGGACACACTACAAGTAAAGTATGGGTTGATGATTCTGTAACTTCATCCAGGAGGGCCTTTCTAGATGGACTGTCCACCGGATTAAAAAATCCAGCAGGTAAATACGAGTAATAGACAACAATCGGATGTTTTTCAAACCTTGGGAACAAGGTTCTAAACATTAATTCCAGGGGGCAGATAAAACATATTACAAGTAACAAAACTTTTATAACTTTCGATAAAATGCGTGGATGTTTTATTGTCATTTTCATTTGTTAGAACTTTTTTAAGCCATGTTTTTATGTTTTTTCGATATTTCAATAATTTTTTAATATAATCTTAAAATATGTCGAATATTATAAACTTAAAAAAAGTTACTAAGTTTTATATTGTGTACCGTTCCTAATATTTCTAATCATTTTAATTCATACTTTAAGCTTTATAAAGTTATAATTTGTTAATATTAATATTTGCGCGTATTTCAGGTTCCTGATCATTCATTTTTTAAAGGTTTATAACTTTAAATTAAATTGTGAAGCGCTGAGTAATCATACGACGTTCAATATTCTTTCTTTCAATATGACTAAATAATCCCAATTATAGCAATCTCATACTCATGTCTCAATGTTTTTTCGCTGAATGTGATGAAAACATTTGAAAAAGGTTCGCTTATTGAAATAAATCTACACCAGTTAGTACTTCGATTTCCAGGTAAAGGGAAAAGGCTCATTATCTGCCATATTGGCAGTGAGAATGGATTTGTTGTTGACGGTCTGTGGTGCTTTGAGTCTAAGAAAACTGGAGATTACCATGAGGAAATGAATGGCGAATCGTTTGAACAGTGGTTTTCAAAAATTTTACCGAACTTGGAGGAAAACGCAGTAATTGTGTTGGATAATGCGCCTTATCATTCTCGAAGAATGGAGAAGGTCCCAACAACGGCTTCAAGGAAAGTTGATGTTCAAAATTGGCTCCGCTCGAAAAATATCAACTTTGAAGAAGCAATGCTGAAAGTACAATTATTAAGAATTGTCAAGGATCACAAGGCGGAATATCAAAAATACGCCATTGACGAAATGGCAGCAAGTCAAAATAAAACTGTGCTCCGTTTACCTCCATACCATTGCGAGCTCAATCCCATTGAGCTCATATGGGCAGAGGTTAAAAATTATATAGCTAAGCACAATACAACTTTTAAATTTTGTGACCTCAAAGGACTTTTCAAAGAAGCACTAGAATTAATAACAGCGCAAAAATGGGAAAACTGTATTAAGCACGTGAAAGACAAAGTTGAAAAGAGAATGTGGGAACTGGACAATATTTTAGAGGAACAAGTCGAGCCATTCATTATTGACGTTGGTGCTTCAGGCAGTAGCGATGATGAAAGCTCATCAAGCTCATCTTTCCAATAAAAGATGTCGTTCATCAAATTCGATAAGTTATAAGTAATTATAAAGCGTTACTGTATTTTTTAATTAATTATTGACATTTTTGAACCCATTTTGGCAAAACCTATTCAAGAATCTACTTTCTGACAATGTTCAACCATGCACATTTTTTTACGTTTTGAACGTTTTAATTTGGTTACATATTTACCTAGAAATCAAAAAATATACTAATCAATATTCTAAAAGCAATTTTAAGAGATATACGATTATTTTTAATTTAGGCTAATTTAAACGCCATTTTGAGATTATATTCGACTGTATTTCACCAAACATCAGGCGGCATCCGAAGCGAAAATTTTGAAACCCTTATGTATATTTACATCATTATATATTTCTTACCCCACCCCCACATGATCCTATATCCATCACCAATCGTATACACATCGAATTGTGCTAATTTACTACAAAGTTACGCAAAGCAGCATCTACTATCTAAAATATGTACTGCGTGACTCTTAATACGTCCCTGCCGAATGTTACAGCGTTCGATGATCACGAGGTCTTGTTTATGTCCGGTCTATCTCTTATCTGAATATACTGTATATGCAAAACTTGAAAGACATCCCACGTATTTTATTTGAATGTTGCAATTCCAATGACACATTAACCATTCAATCGCTCTTTATCACCTGTCGATTCATTGCATAACTATTTTACAGTACTTCGGCAATGAGTCTCCTATATGAATGTATAAACACAGTGATAGCAGTATTGATAAGTATATCTTCCGGTATGCCAAACCACGCAGCTAGTATTCAGTTGTGTGTGCAGAAGCTTAGGATATTGATCGAAGATTCCGACCAAAATTGTGAGTATTACTGCCGTTCGTTGTTGAAAATTTTATAATATGTCTAAGCAACAAAATGCATACAAATATATGTATATGCATTTTTGAGATTTGTGTTCTTTATATTTAGCGGAAAATTATTTGTGCAAGGGTTGAAGGTTTTTTATAATTGATTCTCGAACCAGGTTATCTTTAAATGCCTTTAATGTCGTGAAAGTTCTGGCTTTATCGAAGATGGTGGTGTCTCTGCAAATCCTGTTTTGTTATTTGTTGATAGATTATTATGCTGATCGTGAATGTCATTTTCAGTGAAATATTTGGGCCTGCTTGCAATGTCTAAAATATTGAAAACCCATCCAAAGAGCGTTCAAGCTCACAAAGACTTGATTTTACAATGCTTAGAAGATAAGGATGAATCTATAAGGCTCAGAGCCTTAGACCTATTATATGGAATGGTAAGTCAATCGTAAATCGATCAAGTCAGGACAATCCACTTTTATATTTTAAATCTACAGGTTTCGAAAAAAAATTTAATGGAAATAGTGAAGAAATTAATGGTACACATGGATAAGGCGGAAGGCACGGTGTATAGAGATGAACTCTTGAGCAAAATTATACTAATATGCTCTCAGAACAATTACCAGTTCATCACAAATTTCGAATGGTACATCACCGTTTTGGTCGAATTAGCGCAGATGGAATTTGGCTCAAAGCAAGGTATTTTGTGAAACAAGACGATGGTATTTCTATCTTACAATCTTCACCTTGCTAGACCAACAAAACGTTACGAAAATTACGTGTTTATGTTAGTAATCTAGGAGACTAATCGTTCGTGACCTTGTCCATTAATTAACTGTGATTTTGAGGGATTTTTTTTGTACCGTACCGAACCCTGCCCATTGCACAGGGTGGCCAAATAATAATAATATTTTAATAATAATAATATTTATTTACTCAATGTACAAAGATAACAAACAATATGAGTAAATAAATATAAAATCAAAACAGGCCCAATAGAAGGCATCGCCTGTACATGGACCAATAATTTAAGTTGAAACTGTAGAATGCAAATGACAAAAAAGGACAAAAATTAGCTACAGTAGATTATGTATTTAGTTGATGTTCGTATTTAGGAGTTTATGAATTTCAGTCCTAGATATAGAATGTAGCCACTTTTTTAAATTTCTTTTGAAACAATTTCCGAAACGTAAATCTTTTAAGTCTTTAGGTATAATTTCATAAAATTTAGGGGCTAAATAGAGATATGATCGCTGCATTATAGATTTATGCGGTTGAGGAACTACTGTGCCACGAATTTTGTACCTGGTATAATGATTATGTTTAATTTTTTGGTCGGTGTTTACAAATTTATGGTAGTGAGTGATACTGTGTAAGAAATAAAGCTGTCTTATATCATACATTCGAACATCTGCATATAATTTTTCAGTGGGATAAAGTTTCGGTTTTTTAAATATCATTTTTAGAATACTTTTTTGAAAAACATCTAAATTATAGATATGTGATGAACATGCAGCTCCCCATGCTAATATACCATATGTGAGATGAGGCTCAATCAGTACATGGTATAATGTTTGAAGATATTTTTCTGTCAATATATTCCCAAGGTATTTAATTTTGTAGGATACAAATCTAACTTTCTTTAAAATATAATTGACATGGATGTTCCATCGTAAGTGAGGATCCAAGACCACTCCAAGGTATTTTATGTTGGGCACTCTATTAATTTGCATTTTTTGATCATTAATATTGAAGGAGAAATTTGTGTAATTTGGCAGATGTCTAACATAAGATCCAAATGGTAAAAAATGTGTTTTAGAGTAGTGTCTTTTTTAATATCGTTTTTAATAAAAAAAATTCTTCAGTAAAAAGCAACGAAATTTTAAAGAAATATGTTTATTGTACACAATTTTACGTGAATTTTTACAATAACATTTTTGGTAACTTTTTAACTTAAAAAAATGAAGTTGCTAAGTACTTTTCATACAAAACTCGTTAAAAACATAAAAGAGAATACTTATAACGATCAGAAATTAACGTGAAGGTAATATTCTGGAAACGTGCAGTAGGTTTTCGAAGTAATTTTTTCATTTTGCACAGTCCACGCAAACCATTTGAAACGGTTTTTTTCCATAGAAATAGTTTCCTCTAGAAACGCGGTTCGATGTCTCATCTTCTTCAGTAGAAAGTATTTCGCAATCTCTATCCATTCTTGTTCCGAACGCTCTCATTATCACTGTAAATCAATTCGGCATCTGAATCAATACCACTGCCGTTTTCATTTTCCTCATCCACCTCAGCAACCCATTTCAGCAAAGTTTCTTCGTAGTCCGAATCGCCATATCTAACTATTTTTGAGGGTCCCGCTTTGCTATCAAAATCCATCCTAAAAACCTAAACTAAGCCGAGCATGTTCATGAAATACAGAAATGTGAATATAACATTATCATAGACCTGTAGTCCTTTTGACTCCGTCGGAAATTCAAGTCGTAATGAAATGTAAATAACGTACACAATCAACCCAACTATCGCAGTGCTAGTAATGCTTAATTTTCTACTGTTAAACCACCGAATAATTTTGATAAAATCATTTTCAATTACATTTTTCAGATCAGACCAGTCAGTGCCTTCATATAATATTGCAGTATCATCTGCAAAACTAGTTATTTTGCCAACACAATTAATTTGGAAAATATCATTTAAATATATATTGAATAACAGCGGGCCTAAGACAGTTCCTTGTGGGACACCACACTTAATATACATTTCTTTACTAAATGATCATGATATCTGCACAGATTGTGGGCGATTTGACAAATAACTTTCGATCAGTGAGTACGCGTTTCCTCTGAAACCAATTCTCTCCAATGCTTCTAATAATAATTTGTGATTAACTGTGTCGAAAGCTTTCTTTAAATCAACAAAAATGCAGATTGAAGGGATTCTGTTATCAATATTTTGATATATTTGATTTACAATTTTAGTTATTGCGTCCGATGTAGCCTTCCCTTCTGTAAATCCATATTGATTTTCACTTAAAATTTTGAATTAATAAAATAAGAATGCGAGATGCAGTATCTCGCATTCTTAATTGGCTACCCTGAACAGGACAAATGAAAAGCTAGACGTGTCTATTTGGTTTTTAAGATTCATAAATGTGACGCGACAAAGTAATTTTGGTGAAACATTTTAGGACACGTGATCGGTGCTCAACTGATGGATGTCTGCATACGAGTCCAGGCCATCAGGCCCTTTGCAGTCGCAGAAATGGCGCAACTGTTGGACGTTTATACATCGACGTCACAGTTCACTATCATGCAGGAGGTTCTTTATGCTGCAGCTTGGCTTTGCGGAGAATTTGTCATGTAAGTGTTGTAAATTTTGGTTTGGTTATATCAAAAGTTACGAAGTATAAAAATATTATTAAAATTTGAGAGACAATACAAAAAGTGTATATTCACAAAATCAAATGATGATTGGGAGGTATATAAAACTGTTAGGAATAAATGTGTGTATGTAATTAGAGAAATTCTACGATAAACAAATCGATAATAACAAATGCGACAGTGTAAAGATGTGGAAGACTTTAAAAAGACTGATCAATTCGAAACCGCATGATTGTGTAAATCAAGTTCAATTCGAAAACGGTACCGAAACAAATTCTTTGGTGATTGCAAATAAACTAAATGAATATTTTGTGGAAAGTATTGTTGATATTGTGGGTACTGCCAATGCTGCACCTGACTATATGAAAATCAGTTTCCAGGGGGAAATGTTGCATACACTTTCAAAAATTTCACAGCGTATCATTGAATTATCTAAGAAAAAAGTAAACAGTTTAAAATCAAATAACAGCTGTGCCGAAAACGTGCTGAAAAACTGTTTCGAAATTTTGGGATATCCTGTATTAAATTGGATCAATTGTTCACTGAGAAGCAGTTCTTTTCCTGAAAATTTGAAATGCTCTGCAATAACACCAGTTCCCAAAATAAAAAATTCTAAAAGATGCAGCGATATGAGACCAGTAAATGTGTTACCAGACTTTGAAAAATTATTAGAGTCCATAGTGCATGACCAATTAATGCAGTTTATAGAAGAAAACTAAATTTTAGTAGAGGTGCAAGCAGGCTTTCGAAAAAAATATTCCAAAGCCGTTTTTCCAGTTGGTAACTGAGAATTGGAGAAGAGCCATAGACTCAGAAGAAGTTGTCATAGCAGTATTTTTGGATTTAAAGAGGGCATTTGAAACGATTGATAGAGATATTTTGTTAGGTAAATTGAAGGCATATGGTATAACAGGAAGTGTCTTAGATTGGTTTAGAATTTATTTGTCTAAAAGGATGCAAGTTACAAAAGTTAATGACACTATTTCATCAAAAATTGAAAATAGGTTGGGTGTTCCACAGGGCAGTATCCTGTGACCACTTATTTTTATTTTATACATAAATGATTTACCTGCCATAGTCAAAAAATGCAAAATACAGATTTTCGCCGATGACACTATGATTTATATAAGTACTAAAAATATTCAGACTGGCATCTCTTATATAAATGAAGACTTGAAACTTGTCTCAAAATGGTTCGCATCTAACAGACTAAAATTAAATACAAGTAAAACGAAAACCTTGTTAAATCGGAAAAAACAATGTACAAATGTTCATTGATGGTGAAGATATTGAACTCGTAGAAAATTTTAAATACCTGGGGGTTTTTGTTGACTCTCGATTTATTTTTGATATTCATTATGAAAAAGTTATAAATATGATTAGTAGTAAAGTGGGATATTTATCGAGAGTTTCTGGATGTCTGAGTTCATATAGCAGAAAAATTATCTATAATACCATCATTCTTCCAAATTTCTTGTACTGTTCGACTATTCTATATTTAGCAAATAATTCCATTTTTGAAAGACTGCAAATTTTACAAAATAAGTGCATGAGAATAATACTAAATAAAGATAAATATACTCCAATTAGGCAAATGCTTAGCAAATTAAAATGGCTCAATGTAAAATTTTTTATCAAATATCTTGTAATGATATTCATTTATAAAGTAAAAAATAATATATTTCCATCAAGTCTAATTTAACATCATCAAATGTCGACCATCGTTTACATAGTACCAGAAATAAAGATGACTTCTATTTAATGACCAAAAAGTATAACATATGCTACAAATCTGTATTCCATCAAGGGTTGATTGAATATAATAATTTATACTCAGAGATAAAAGACCAGAAAACTTTGACAAAATTTAAAGTAAAATTGAGAAATCACTTTTTAAATCTACTATTATAGGTTGCCCAGCATTTACATCATACACCATATGGCTTGAATTTACTAGTTCTAAGTTGTTTACAATTATTCTGTTTATGTAGCCAAATAAATCTTTCTACTACTACTACCTAACAGCTTTACACCGGATTGGAAATATATCCCACATATCATTAAAAATGGTGATTCCATTTTGAATAAAAATTGTAATTTCAAGTCGCTTAGTATTTCTTCGTATTTCAGCGAATTGAAGAATCCCGAACAAACTCTGCACGCCCTGTTGAGGTACAAGTCGCTCCCCCAGCACATCGAATCCGTCTTCATCCAGAATATTCTCAAAGTTTTCGCTTATGTGATAGACATTTGCTATGAAAATGATCAGCAAGACGAGATATGTGACCTGTGCGATATGGTCGTTGATAAGATGAACGACAGCATCAAATCTGGGGAGCTCGAAGTTCAGGAGCGGGCTAGCAACACTCTTATCATCGTGCAGATCGTGAAAGAGGAGATAACGGCTGGTGAGTTATAGATAAGTGTAAATTCATCGAACAGATGTGTACGCCTTCCCAGGTTAGTGTTACGGTGTCAGGAGGCTCTGAAATTGGTAATAAATATCTTTAATGCCATTTGACTTGCAAAAGTATCAGCAAATTGTCAATGATGAATGACAAAAAAAAATACCTGAAAAGTTGTGATCGAGACAACACTAAGTAAATTAAATAATACAAAAAATGTACTCAAAATAACAACATAAACAAACAAATTAAAAAGATGTGAATAAAGAACAAATAAAACAAAAATAGAGGGACGAACAGATTAAAAATTGATTGTTTGCAATAATACAATTCACAAATCTGATGTTAAGTATTCCTCAATGCCGTAAAAAGGGTTTTCTACCCCAGCAAACATAACAGTAATTCATGGCTGACTGTACGTGAGCAAAATAGTAAAGGGTTGTCCAATAGGGACGCAGGAAAGTAAACGTCAATTTGACATAGACGCCATCTTTGTTTTCTGTCACCGACATGTCATTTTGTTAGTTGAATGTTTACCATTGATCGCTATGGAGTCGTATTCGATTGAAGACCGCATTAAAGTTATTCAAGAGCACTACAAAAACGGTGCAAAAATAAAAAACACTTTTCGCGCGCTTCGCGAACATTTCGGTCGCAACAACCGCCCAAACGAAACAACCGTCGGTCGTCTGGTGCGTAAATTCGAGGCAACAGGTTCTGTGGCAAATCTGCCAGGCTCTGGCCGGCCAAGGAGCGTTCGCACACCGGAAAATATTGCTGTTGTGAAGGAGAGTGTGAGAGACGATCAGAAACAATCAACAACGCGTCGATCCCAAGAATTGGGCATTTCGAGCACCAGTTTGCTCCGCATTCTCCACAAGGATTTGAATGTACACGCCTACAAGATCCAATTGACGCAAGAGCTGCGTCGGGCCGACCATTTTTCGCGCCGAACGTTCTCAGATTGGCTCCTTGAACACCGCCAAATTGATGCCAATTTTTCATCAAAAATCATGTTCAGTGACGAAGCGCATTTCACTTGGGACAGTAAACAAGCAAAACTGCCGCATCTGGGCGAACGAAAATGCCCGTGAGTATCAAGAGCAGCCGATGCATCCTCAAAAAGTGACTGTGTGGTGTGCATTGTGGTGAAAAGGCATCATCGGACCTTAAATTTTCGAAAATGCGCCCGGGGACGCCGTTACCGTCAATTCTGAGCGATATCACGTGATGATAGAGGACTATTTTTTGCCGCAACTTGAAGGAATGGATATGGACGATGTTTATTTCCAACAAGACGGTGCAACATGCCGCACAACCAACGTCAATATCCATCGATTGCAGTCACCAAGATCGTGCGATTTGACTCCCTTGGACTTCTTTTTATGGGGATATTTGAAAAGCAAAGTCTACGTCAACAAACCAGCCACCCTCCAAGAACTCAAAAACAACATCATTGCCGAGATAAATGCCATAGAACCGATCATGTTGCAAAATGTCATTGAAAATTTCGACCATCGCGTGGACGTCTGTAAATCCAGTCGTGGTAAACATTTGAGCGATATTATTTTTCATACATAAATGGTATAAATGAACCTTCAAAATAAAGTACCCAACTTGATTTGAATATCAATCTTTCTTGTTTTAATATGCGTTTACTTTCCTGCGTCAACCCCATACATCCTAAGCACTGCAGTACTTACAAACTGCCTTAGTCTCCACAACACAAAGCAATGCTTTGATATTTTGTTGACTAAACAGTCAATATGATCCCTCCAAGTAAGCCTTGAATCGATCATAACACCAAGGAATTTAGTGACCTGGACCTTGTTTTCAGGTCAATATCACAATCTGTATCTGGCAAGCAACACTGCATCAGTTGCGTCCTCTGTTCATTAAATACAAGGCCATTCCTTACACAGTACCTCTCCATGTGATATGATGCAACTGACAACTCAGTAATGAGCTGAGTTGGATCTTTAGTTTTAACCCTCAGCGTGGTATCGTCAGCAAATAATGTAACAAAATGCTGCTTCTTGAGAATAGGCGCATCGTTGACGAACAACAAGAACATTAGAGGCCCTAGTGTGCTTCCTTGCGGAACACCAGTTAAAACAACCTTGGTGCTAGAAGATAATTTACATCTACCATTATTAATGACAACTCGTTGTTTCCTATAGGATAGATAACTTCCTATCCAATCTAAAGCGGTTCCTCTGACTCCGTAGTTATTAAGCTTTTTGAGTAAAAGAGCATGGTTGACAGTATCGAAAGCGCGGCTTAAATCTATAAAGAGACAACACGTTTTATTTTCCTTTTTAAGGCGTGTTAAGACAAAGTCACACACAGATAATACTGCATCTTTTGTAGATAGGTTTTTCTGAAATCCAAATTGGTACCTGTTGATTTGTCAGCAAATTTTATCAGTTTATTATAATAAGCCGTTTCGAAGAATTTTGCGAATACTGATAACAAAGAAATGCCCCTAAGCCATGTTAGTAATATCATCTTTTTTATAGATTGGTATAACAAGTGATTCTTTCAGCTTATAAGTATATATGCCTTCTGCAAAAGACAAATTTAACAGTGCTCTTAGAGGTTTTGCAGCTAAATCTATGACATTCAATAGGAATGAGCAAGGTACTTCGTCCAAGCCTGCTGACTTCTTTTTTGCTCAACAGCTTCATCTTCAGTAACTGGGCTGAAAAACCTTGAATTTGTATTGATGGGATGCAGAGCTGGTACATGCTGCCCACCGAAAGTCAGAGACTTAGTTCCGATACAGAATTTATAAAGAAGTTATTAAACGAGTCAGCAGCTTCCTTGGATGACGTAGAGAAAACATTTCCATCGTTATCAGAAATAATCCCAGGATTTTGTCTTTTTGTATGTTTTGAAGTGGCACTGATGATTTCCCGATCAGTCTTACTCTTATTACTACACTTAGCAAATTCATTATCATAGTAGTCTCGTATTCTTTCCAATAACTTTCTTTTATGTTCTTTAATCAGTAGTTTATAGCGTGCAGTCAACTGGGTATCATTATTTATTTTTGCAGCCAAATGTAACTCTCTTAAAAAGTTACTTTCGTCAATCATTACTTTCCAGCAATTCTTACAATTTTGAGGAGTTTTATGCTTACTTTTGACTAACATTACAGGTTTGCATGAATATATCACGGAACATATTAAACTTTGAATCAAAGTCAAGCCCTTCATCAGACACAAAATACCAGTCTGTTTCTTGAAAAAGCATTTTGAACATTTCAATATCTTGGCATTTGCTGTGATAAAAAATTTGTGTTTGAGGGCTTCTACTTCCTAAATTATAGCCTACGATCTGCATATTATGGTGTGATAAGTTACAGTTAAGTATTTTGGAGAACGTGGATGGTAGATTGCAGTTATTGGTAATTCTAGTGTAATCCCACACCTGCTATTCCATATTGAACGATTTCAGAATTGTAACAAGTTTCCTTGTTGACGAATGTATATTCAGTGGGTCAAAGTTCATGTTGAAGTGCCCACAAACAACCATCCCGTTGCTCTTCAAATGCCAGTATATTATCAAAGTTGTAAATGAATAACTCAGCATCAGAACTTGGGGACCGATAAAAACAGCCAATCGTCAAAAGAATATCATGGACATTTATGTCTATCATTGAAAACTCAAAAGCATTTGAGGAATACTACAACTTGTGCTGAATTTCGGAACGGATAAAAATCGCATCGCCTCCTCCTTTCGCAATACTTCTACAATAAGAGCCAGCAACAGAGTAGTTTGACAGGGTAATCGCTTCAAATTCACGAGATTGTAACCAATTTTCAGTTATGCATACAACTTCTGGGTAATTCAGGCTTAAAAGTAGTAACTCAAATTAGTCAATTTTATTTCGTAGACTGCATATATTTAAATCGCAAATACGTATTTGTATGTTACTACTGTTGTTATCTCTCACTAGCACAAGTTTCATTAAGTTGTTCATTATGTTCATGTATTCTATTCGTAATAGTAGCATACCGGGTAGCTATGGGGTTGTCCAAAACGCACGCAGGAAAGTAAACGCATATTAAAACAAGAAAGATTGATATTCAAATCAAGTTGGGTACTTTATTTTGAAGGTTCATTTATACCATTTATGTATGAAAAAAAATATCGCTCAAATGTTCACGACGACTGGATTTACAGACGTCAGCAGGCTTGGTTGAAGTACCTTGCTCATTCCTATTGAATGTGATAGATTTAGCTGCAAAACCTCTAAGAGCACTGTTAAATTTGTCTTTTGCAGAAGGCATATATCCTTATCAGCTGAAAGATTCACTTGTTACACCAATCTATAAAAAGATGATATTACTAATATGGCTTAGGGGCATTTCTTTGTTATCCATATTCGCAAAATTCTTCGAAAAGGCTTATTATAATAAACTGATAAAATTTGCTGACAAATCAACAGGTACCAATTTGGATTTCAGAAAAACCTATCTACAAAAGATGCAGTATTGTCTATGTGTGACTTTGTCTTAACATGCCTTGAGAAGAAAGATAAAACGTGTTGTCTCTCTATAGATTCAAGCCGCGCTTTCGATACTGTCAACCATGCTCTTTTACTCAAAAAGCTTAATAACTACGGAGTCAGAGGAACCGCTTTAGATTGGATAGGAAGTTATCTATCCGATAGGGAACAACGAGTTGTCATTAATAATGGTAGATGTAAATTATCTTCTAGCACCAAGGTTGTTTTACCTGGTGTTCCGCAAGGAAGCACACTAGGGCCTCTATTGTTCTTGTTCGTCAACGATGCGCCTATTCTCATGAAACAGCATTTTGTTACATTATTTGCTGACGATACCACGCTGGGGGTTAAAACTAAAGATCCAACTCAGCTCATTACTGAGTTGTCAGTTGCATCATATCACATGGAGAGGTACTGTGTAAGGAATGACCTTGTATTTAATGAACAGAGGACGCAACTGATGCAGTTTTGCTTGCGAGATACAGATTGTGATATTGACCTGAAAATTAACGGAACCAGAGTGAACGAGGCCTAGGTCACTAAATTCCTTTGTGGTATGATCGATTCAAGGCTTACTTGGACGGATCATATTGACTGTTTAGTCAACAAAATAACAAAGCATTGCTTTGTGTTGTGAAGACTAAGGCAGTTTGTAAGTACTGCAATGCTTAGGATGTATGAGGTTGTCCAAAACAGGAAAGTAAACGCATATTAAAACAAGAAAGATTGATATTCAAATCAAGTTGGGTACTTTATTTTGAAGGTTCATTTATACCATTTATGTATGAAAAATAATATCGCTCAAATGTTCACCACGATTGGATTTACAGACGTCCACGCGATGGTCGAAATTTTCAATGACATTTTGCAACATGGTCGGTTCTATGGCATTTATCTCCGCAATGATGTTGTTTTTGAGTTCTTGGAGGGTGGCTGGTTTGTAGACGCAGACTTTGCTTTTCAAATATCCCCATAAATAGAAGTCCAAGGGAGTCAAATCGCACGATCTTGGTGGCCATGGCACACATTTCCTCTGCGCGAAATCACGCGATCACCGAAGAAGGACTGCAATCGATGGATATTGACGTTGGTTGTGTGGCATGTTGCACCGTCTTGTTGGAAATAAACATCGTCCATATCCATTCCTTCAAGTTGCGGCAAAAAATAGTCCTCTATCAACACGTGATATCGCTCAGAATTGACGGTAACGGCGTCCCCGGCCGCATTTTCGAAAAAGTAAGGTCCGATGATGCCTTTTGACCACGATGCACACCACACAGTCACTTTTTGAGGATGCATCGGCTGCTCTTGATACTCACGGGGATTTTCGTTCGCCCAGATGCGGCAGTTTTGCTTGTTTACCGTCCCATTCAAAGTGAAATGCGCTTCGTCGCTGAACATGATTCTTGATGAAAAATTGGCATCAATTTGGCGGTGTTCAAGGAGCCAATCTGAGAACGTTCGGCGCTAGAAATGGTCAGCCCGACGCAACTCTTGCGTCAATTGAATCTTGTAGGCGTGTACATTCAAATCCTTGTGGAGAATGCGGAGCAAACTGGTTCTCGAAATGCCCAATTCTTGGGATCGACGCGTTGTTGATTGTTTCGGATCGTCTCTCACATTCTCCTTCACAACAGCAATATTTTGCGGTGTGCGAACGCTTCTTGGCCGGCCAGAGCCTGGCAGATTTGCCACAGAACCTGTTGCCTCGAATTTACGCACCAGACGACCGATGGTTGTTTCGTTTGGGCGGTTGTTGCGACCGAAATGTTCACGAAGCGCGCGAAACGTGTTTTTTATTTTTGCACCATTTGAATAACTTTAATGCGGTCTTCAATCGAATACGACTCCATAGCGATCAATGGTAAACATTCAACTAACAAAATGACATGTCGGTGACAGAAAACAAATATGGCGTCTATGTCAAATTGACGTTTACTTTCCTGCGTCCCTATTGGACGACCCTTTATAAGAAAGCTTTGTCACATTTAGAAACGGTTTTTAGTATGCGGTTTGTGATGCATTGACAATGGTTCTTAGCCATTTTTTACAGCGTTCGTTCATCGGAGTTCGCTGCATCATATACAGGGAGGCCTAGCGAAAAGGTCGCACCCCCATTTGTGACTACTGGTATATTTTTTGAAAAACGCTAGACACGACAATTTTGATTTCAAGGGCAACGTCTTTTCATCTATGGTTGCGCTCAGCTTGCTGGTTGGATTAGTTTATCGCATCGTATGTTAACTTGGTTTCATAGTGTTACAAAAATTCCACGTTTTTGGTATAGTACAAACTTCATCGGCTTATTTTTCAGGCAAAACTGTGGGAATCATGAATATAATGAATATCGATGATCCACTAGATAAAGCAGAACCTACCGAATCAGTTTTCGGTGAACTTCTAAGCTTATTCAGCGGAGAACTGAATCCCGTTGCACCTAAGGCTCAGAAAAAGGTTCCTATTCCAGAAGGGTAAGGATATTTGACTACATACCGATTTCTCGTTACTTAATCTTCGGATTTTGGGATATAATACTTAAGATTAAATTATGCACTTTACTGATAAAGCTTTTTTGATTCTCACACAGTGTATTTGATTGTAGAATATCAAACGTTATTGCCTGATCTGATATTTTACGTTTGACTTTTGAGAAATGATTCTTTTAAAATTGAACTAACCTTGTATTGATAACGACTCTTAACAGGTTAGACCTAGATGCTCAGATATACGACGAACCTGTAGAGGAATCTGAATCCGACAGCGAACCGGATAGCAGGGAAAACCTGTTCGTAAAAACAGATCGATTGAGATCCGGAAACACGATCGTTTATCAGCCCGAGCCTACAGAAGAGGAGATCAAAAAGGTAAGAAACGACTTTACGCCCAAATATATTGCGTGTCGTTTCCCCGTGTTAGCGAAGATTAAAAAAAATGTCTTGTATCTTTGTTACGTCGGAAACTTTTCAAACCACCCTCGTATTCATATGAAATTCGTACGTGAAATCAGATCGCGAAAACCAAAATTTCGTAAATTTTTGACTAGACAGACAAGGGTAAAATAGGTTTATAAAGTAAAAAATACTCTTCAAACATCTTGTTAATTTAGATACCTCAAAACATGTATTTTTTCATCGAGTTTTTAAGCATCGAATATACCAATTTTTAGGGCTTTTCAGACATTAAATCGAGTCGAAAATGGTCAACTTAAGAGAAAAGCTACTGTGAACCGTCTTTGATCTAAAAAACTGACAAAATCTTCCGGACAAAAAATGTAATTTATCACCAAACCTCGAGATTATCGAATTTCATTTAAAACTTGTTTGTTAGGCCAGAATTGGTGAACTTTCGGTCTTTGCACACTGCACATATTCCGTCTATTTGACGCTATTTTTTAGAGTCGGGAAGCTAGGAAACAAGAGCAGCTCAACAACCCGCATTACCTGAAAAGCGATTCGATAGATAGCAACACAAGCGCGAACACGGAAACCGTGGACGGTGTTCCGATAGCGGAGCTTGCTCTCAACGTTCCATTGAAGACGTTCGGAGAGAAGAGGTCGGATAAGTATCTCAACCTGAATGCTGACAGCGGCAAGTCCAAGAAGAAAGGCAAGAAGAAGAAGAAAAAGTACAAGTCAGAAAGGTACAAATGATCTTTAACTGTTGAATTTATGATATGTTGTATAAGAACGTGCTATTTTATAAGTATTGATTTGGTAAATATTCTTTGTACTTTTCTTAGCTCGTCCGATGAAAATATTGACGTGGGACCGATAATCGAAATCAAAAGAGGGATGGAACTTCCGGAAGGCGCCACCTTGTCCGACTCGGAAAGTGATCGCGATAAGAAAGATGATCTCCACAAGGCTCTTGATATCGATTTGACCCCAGACACTGTATTTAGGTAAGTTCATTTATTCAGGTTATACAGGGTGTTACAAAAATATGGACTTACCCAAATATCCAGGAAATTAGGCGTGGTAGAAAATAGGTCATCGGACCTCCAGGTGTTATTTCACATCCGTTAATTGAACATTTGAACACGAGATTTTTCTCCATTTTCAGCGATGGGATCATGTGAAAAAATCAATTTGACCGTCAAGGTCATAGCCAAGGTCAGCATCAAGGTCACCATCAGATGTGCCATTGGGTGTCGTGCATTAAAAATTCCACTATAATATTTTTATTTTTTCGGCCAGCTGTTGATTCACATTTAATGTAAGAACAACATTTGACCTTGAAATAACCTCTAGGTGTGATTTTACATCGGTTAAATAGTCATTTGAACACGAGATTTTTCTCCATCTTCGGCGGTGGGATCAAAATTGAGGATTGCCATGTGAAAAAATCAATTTAACCTTCAAGGTCATAGCCAAGGTCAGCATGAAGGTCACCATGAAGATCACCATCAGATGTGCCGTTGGGTGTCGTACAATTTTCGCATTAAAAATTCTTTAATATTTTTCTTTTTTCGGCCAGCTGTTGCTTCACAACATTTAATGTAAGAACAACAATTGACCTTGAAATAACCTCTAGGTGTGATTTTACATCCGTTAAATAATGATTTGAACATGAGATTTTTCTCCGTTTTCAGCGCTGGGATCAAAATTGAGGATTGCCGTGGGAAAAAACTAATTTGACCTTCAAGATCATAGCCAAGGTCAGCATGAAGGTCACCCTCAGATGTGCCGTTGGGTGTCGTGCAATTTTCGCATTAAAATATTCTTCTTTAATATTTTTCTTTTTTCGGCCAGCTGTTGCTTCACAACATTTAATATAAGAACATCAATTGACCTTGAAATAACCTCTAGGTGTAATTTTAAATCCGTTAAATAATCATTTGAACATGGGATATTTGTCCATTTTCAGCGCTGAGATTAAAATTGAGGATTACCGTGTAAAAAAACCAACTTGACTTTCAAAGTCACAGCCAAGGTCAGCATGAACGTCACCATCAGATGCGCCTTTGGCTGTCGTGCAATTTGCGCATTAAACATTCTTCTTTAATATTTTTCTTTTTTCGGCCAGCAGTTGCTTCACAACATTTAATGTAAGAATGACAATTGACCTTGAAATAACCTCTAGGTGTGATTTTACATCCGTTAAATAATCATTTGAACATGAGATTTTTCTTCATTTTCAGCGCTGGGATCAAAATTGAGGATTTCCATGTGAAAAAATCAATTTGACCTTGAATTCACCTTCAAGGTCATACTGAAGGTCATCATCAGATGTGCCTTGGGGTGTCCCGCAATTCTTGCGGTAAAAGTTCTTTAACATTCTCCTTTTTCCAGCTATCAGCTGCTTCCCAACATTTCATGAAAAAGCAACAATTGACCTTGAAATAACCTCTAGGTGTGATTTTACATCCGTTAAATAATCATTTGAACAGGGGATTTTTCTCCATTTTCAGCGACGGGATCAAAATTTAGGATTGCCGTGTAAAAAAATCAATTTGACTTTCAAGGTCATAGCCAAGGTCAGCATGAAGGTCATCATCAGATGTGCCGTTGGGTGTCGTGCAATTTTCACATTAAAAATTCTTCTTTAATATTTTTCTTTTTTCGGTCAGCTGTTGCTTCACAACATTTAATGTAAGAACAACAATTGACCTTGAAATAACCCCTATGTGTGATTTTACATCCGTTAAATAATCATTTGAACATGCGATTTTTCTCCATTTTCAGCGCTGGGATCAAAATTGAGGATTGCGAAGTGAAAAAATCAATTTGATCTTCAAGGTCATAGCAAAGGTCAGCATGAAGGTCACCATCAGATGTGCCGTTGGCTGTCGTGCAATTTGCGCATTCAAAATTCTTCTTTAATATTTTTCTTTTTTCGGCCAGCTGTTGCTTCACAACATTTAATGTAAGAACAACAATTGACCTTTGAAATAACCTCTAGGTGTGATTTTACATCCGTTAGTCATTTGAACATGAGAGCTTTCTCCATTTTCAGAGCTCGGATCAAAGTTGAGGATTGCCATGTGAAAAAATCGATTTGACCTTGAATTGACCTTCACGGTCATACTGAAGGTCATCATCAGATGTGCCTTGGGGTGTCAATTCTCGCAGTAAAAGTTCTTTAACATTCTCCTTTTTCCAGCTATCAGCTGCTTCCCAACATTTCATGAAAAAGCAACAATTGACCTTGAAATAACCTCTAGGTGTGATTTTAAATCCGTTAAATAATCATTTGAACATGAGAGTTTTGTCCATTTTCAGCGCTGGGATCAAAATTGAGGATTGCGAAGTGAAAAAATCAATTTGATCTTCAAGGTCATAGCAAAGGTCAGCATGAAGGTCACCATCAGATGTGCCGTTGGGTGAAAATTCTTCTTTAATATTTTTCTTTTTTCGGCCAGCTGTTGCTTCACAACATTTAATGTAAGAAAAACAATTGACCTTGAAATAACCTTTAGTTGTGATTTTACATCCATTAAATAATGATTTGAACATGAGATTTTTCTCCATTTTCAGTGCTGGGGTCAAAATTGAGGATTCCCATGTGAACAAGTCAGTTTGACCTTGAATGGACCTTCAAGGTCATACTGAAGGCCATCATCAGATGTGCCTTGGGGTGGCCCGCAATTCTCGCTGTAAAAGTTCTTCAACATTCTCCTTTTTCCAGATATCAGCTGCTTCCCAACATTTTATGAAAAAGCAACAATTGACCTTGAAATAACCTCTAGATGTGATTTTAAATCCGTTAAATAATGATTTGAACATGAGATTTTTGTCCATTTTCAGCGCTAGGATCAAAATTGAGGATTGCCGTGTAAAAAAATTAACTTGACTTTCAAGGTCACAGCCAAGGTCAGCATGAACGTCACCATCAGATGTGCCGTTGGCTGTCGTGCAATTTGAGCATTAAAAATTCTTCTTTAATATTTTTCTTTTTTCGGCCAGCTGCTGCTTCACAACATTTAATGTAAGAACAACAATTGACCTTGAAATAACCTCTAGTTGTGATTTTACATCCATTAAATAATCATTTGAACATGAGATTTTTCTCCATTTTCAGCGCTGGGATCAAAATTGAGGATTTCCATGTGAAAAAATCAATTTGACCTTGAATTGACCTTCAAGGTCATACTGAAGGTCATTATCAGATGTGCCGTCGGGTGTCCCGTAATTCTCGGGGTAAAAGTTCTTTCACATTCTCCTTTTTCCAGCTATCAGCTGCTTCCCAACATTTCATTAAAAAGCAACAGTTGACCTCGAAATAACATCTAGTTGTAATTTTAGCCCTATACAGTTGCAAAGGAAATTTTGTAGGCTTTCTATTGCTGCAATAAAAAATAATCAACTTGTCCTTGAACTGACCTTCAAGCTGAATGCCAACGTCAAATCCAAGCTCACCACTAGTTATACCGTTTGATTTCCTAAAACTTTCGTATTTGAATCTTTTTCTAGCATATCTAGATATTTGGGTTTGTTTCACCGTTGGTGCTGGGCTTTTTTGCCATGTAATATTTTTGATGTCAAGCATTTTTCGTATTACAGCGATTTCGGGCTTAGAACCCCACATCTTGGAAAACAGAAGGAAGATGCGGTAGGCCGGGATGTTAAGAAAGGAAAAAGTCATTCGAAGAAAAAGCAGGGAGATAAGGAGAAATCTTCTAAGAAGAAAGATAAAGCTAAGAAATCTGTCATAGAAACGAAAGAAGATAATCTTTTGGCTTTAGACAGTGATAACGAAAAACAGCAAGGCGACAAAAGGCCAAAGAAAGCGAAAAAAGAGAAGAAAGATAAGAAGAAGTCCAAAGATAAAGAAAGTGAGTATCTATAAAAAATATTTTTTTTTACAAATGATAATCGAGTTTCCTTAATGAAGAAATATCCCACTTATCTAGCTATTTGTGTTCCAGGTAAGGGTAAATCAAAAATGTCCAGTTCAGGTTATGAAGAAGCGACAGGAATCTCAACGCCCAGCAAAGAATTCCAATAATATTGATAAACATGTATGTTTGTTTATTGTTAAGTTTGTTCAATACTCCCATTCTCTCTGCAGATGCACGGTTATGTTTTTTAAGTTATATAATCAAAGCCACCTTTATCAGTAACGGTTTTAAAGTGGAATCTGGACTTTGATGTCTTACATAAAGGCTATGTATAATTATTATAATGTGTTGTTTGTGTAAATATGATTATTTTTAATATGAGAAAGACTTAATCTATTTCCAGCTCTATTTCTATTTCCTAGTTGAATATATTGTCCAATAAATCCTTATATTGTTTGATAGGATCTTGTTTTATTGCTCGACATGCCACGTCAGTTCCATTTTCTATACACTTGCAGGCCTATAGAAATATGGAATTAAGGCCGCGGGAATATTACGTAACTTGAAAAGTTAGGTTTTTTTTGAGACTATACCCTTCGCGGACACCTTTAAACGGATAGTTTCTTATGGTCCCGACTGACTCTCATATAATTTGGATTGTATTAACTCTCTCTCGGACACAAGAAAATGTTCTCCTAACCGGACAAAAGACAAAATAAAAAGAAAGGCATTATATAATTTTTTTCCGGTTGAGAGTATCCGTATTGCATTTCTCGATCGTGCCGCGCGCCGGGACTTTCGGGTAAACCGGGGATTCACCGACGTTAATATTTCGGTACAAACGCAGCCTACCTGGTGCATTTCTGCCCGGCGTAAATTAGGGACTTCCCCGACTTGGTCAGAGATCTACCGTTATTATTCTTTGGGTACACGGTTTCGATTAAATTTCCAGTCAGTATTAATAAGGATGGCAATTTTTTATTAAAGATCCGATGTTTGGACATCGACAAACATCGCTATCGTAACATTGATGGAGCTCGATACATTGGAACAAATACATCGATGTATCGAAACAATCGTGCCGCGCGCCATCTTCGCTGGGACTTTCGAGTAAACCGGGGATTCACTGACGTTAATATTTCAGTACAAACGCAGCCTACCTGGTGCGTTTCTGCCCGACGTAAATTAGGGACTTCCCCGACTTGGTCAGAGATCTACCGTTATTATTCTTTGGGTACACGGTTTCGATTAAATTTCCAGTCAGTATTAATAAGGATGGCAATTTTTTATTAAAGATCCGATGTTTGGACATCGACAAACATCGCTATCGTAACATTGATGGAGCTCGATACATTGGAACAAATACATCGATGTATCGAAACAATCGTACCGCGCGCCATGTTCGCTGGGACTTTCGAGTAAACCGGGAATTCACTGACGTTAATATTACGGTACAAACGCAGCCTACGTGGTGCGTTTCTACCCGGCGTAAATTAGGTAGATCCCCGAGTTGGTCAGGGATTTACCGTTATTATTCCTTGGGTACCCGGTTTCGATTAAATTTCCAGTCAGTATTAATAAGGATGGCAATTTTTTATAAAAGATCCGATGTTTGGACATCGACAAACACCGCTATCGTAACATCGATGGAGCTCGATACATTGGAACAAATACATCGATGTATCGAAACAATCGTGCCGCGCGCCATTTTCGCTGGGACTTTCGAGTAAACCGGGGATTCACTGACGTTAATATTTCGGTACAAACGCAGCCTACCTGGTGCATTTCTGCCCGGCGTAAATTAGGGACTTCCCCGACTTGGTCAGAGATCTACCGTTTTTATTCTTTGGGTACACGGTTTCGATTAAATTTCCAGTCAGTACTAATAGGGATGGCAATTTTTTATAAAAGATCCGATGTTTGGACATCGACAAACATCGCTATCGTAACATCGCTGGAGCTCGATACATTGGAACAAATACATCGATGTATCGAAACAATCGTACCGCGTGCCATCTTCGCTGGGACTTTCGAGTAAACCGGGGATTCACTGACGTTAATATTTCGGTACAACCGCAGCCTAGCTGGTGCGTTTCTGCCCGGCGTAAATTAGGGACTTCCCCGACTTGGTCAGAGATCTACCGTTATTATTCTTTGGGTATACGGTTTCGATTAAATTTCCAGTCAGTACTAATAGGGATGACAATTTTTTATAAAAGATCCGATGTTTGGACATCGACAAACATCGCTATCGTAACATCGATGGAGCTCGATACATTGGAACAAATACATCGATGTATCGAAACAATCTTACCGCGCGCCATGTTCGCTGGGACTTTCGAGTAAACCGGGGATTCACTGACGTTAATATTTCGGTACAAACGCAGCCTACCTGGTGCGTTTCCGCCCGGCGTAAATTAGGTAGATCCCCGAGTTGGTCAGGGATTTACCGTTATTATTCTTGGGGTACACGTTTTCGACTCAATTTTCAGTCAGTACTAATAGGGATAGCAATTTTTTATAAAAGATCCGATGTTTGGACACCGACAAACATCGTTATCGTAACATCGATGGAGCTCGATACATTGGAACAAATACATCGATGTATCGAAACAATCGTGCCGCGCGCCATCTTCGCTGGGACTTTCGAGTAATCCGGGGATTCACTGACGTTAATATTACGGTACAAACGCAGCCTACCTGGTGCGTTTCTGCCCGGCGACTTCACGATATGATAAAAGAAGGATGCCGACTGCAATATATTTCAGTAAAAAAGTATGATTATAAGAAACTGCAAGATATGAGATTTTCAAAGCTAAGGATGCATTGATGATCATTAAATACTTTACAATGTGCACAAGCTGTTTTTTAAAGTACTTCCACATATCACTTTTTCATGACATTTCGATTAATTAACAATAAAACAGGGACCCGGCAACTACATATAATAAAATACTCAGAGGAACTCAAAATCATTAAATGCGTAAATGCGCTGTTTTCAGTTTATTCTATTCTATTCGTTGGGGAAGTACAGAATAAAGGAAAGGTTACAGTCCATCTCACGCCAGTAATGATAATATTGAGATACTACCAAACAGCTTTCTGGTCTCTCAATTTCGAAGCTACCAGTCCTCGCTTAGAGATGGTAGCACAGTAAGGATATACTCGGGGTATGCCATCGAGGTATACCGATGTTTATGATCCTTTCTATGTCGATAAATCGACATATAACCATCGATGCCTAAACATCGATGTTCCACGTCCGATGTATCGATGTTTTCAATGCATCGATGTATCTTGTTGCCACCCCTAAGTATTAGGCTACGACATACTGGAAAATGACTGACGAAAAAAGAAACATTTTGTTACTCTTAGACAATGCGGGATCTCATACAAAAGACATCAGCTTGTGAACCTCTTGATCAAGGGATTATAAAGAGGTTTAAAACTTATTACCGAAGTCTAACACTCAAACATTGAAACTGCCGGCACACCTTTTGAGTTACTAAAGAAAATTACCTCATTCGATGCAGTTTATTCGGAAAAACCGCTTGCGACGAAGTAACCAAAGAAACGGTGCAAAAGTGTCTTGTATACCGTATTTCACGAGTATCCTTCACGGTAAAATGACAGCTGATTATCTAGTAATATTTCAAAATTCCAAATATCGGCACAGGACACATAATTCTGACGGATCCGTCAACGTCAGGCAGTCAAAGCAGTATTTTTTGTGTTTTGTACGATACAGATTCAATTTGTGCTTGCCAACAGCTCTTTTATTTATAAAAATTCATTTGCATACAAAAACCAAATCACTATAAACAAGTTCTACTAGATTTACACACGATTCATTGTTGCAACGTCGCAGACTAACACAAACATGTCACATGATCAGCTGTCGAAGGCGTGTTGTAACTCGTGAAATAGGGTATATAAATATTGATGCTAAGGACCAAACTCGTGAGAGACTAGCCCAACTCAACAGCTGGCTTAAAACGGGGTTTAAATCAAAGACTGCGCTGTTTTTCAAAATTTATTAATTGCGTATGAACAGTGTAAAACAAACATTTTGTGATTGTGGCATTACCTTATACTTCCAAGTATTTGAGAGGTTCAAAACTGAGCGATAGCGGGTGAATCCGCTTCAACCTTTTTATCTTATTCCAAAGTACTTCAAAATGCCGAATATCGAAATAAGCATTACTGTAATCGGGAACATGAAAGACAAAATGATATTTACATCTGTATATGATACTGAACTGTTAATTTGAACTCTTGGCACACTACTTGTCATTTCGTGGAATGATTAACCTGAGTTAAATGTGGTGCATGATTGAATATAAGTGTTTCGTGGTGACACCATCTTGTAAATTGAAAATTGTAAACGTATCTGATGGATGAGGTCCGGTATTTTTAATACTATGTCATACTGATATCGAAGTTTCATTTATGACCAAAGAACGGTTCGATACAGTATCCATAATTATAGTAACTGTTTTCATTAGTTTGTGGCAACAAGGAAAGGTTAAAATACAATCCCACGTGTAAACGAGAAAAATTGAAGGGTATAGAGGAAAAAAGATGAACGTCACAAATTTGACGTTTTCTAGTTAGAACCGGCAACATGTAGTTTTAACGCAGTAAAATCCTATGAGGTATCGGCAGGGTTGCCAAGCCTACAGTTTTAACTGTAGATTTACGGTTTATCGAAAATCTTCCAAGTTTTCAAGTTCGGGACATCAAATCTACAGTTTTAGTAAAATCTGCCACTTGCCAGATCGAATTACACGTAAGATCTACTTTGAATCAAATTATATTTGCAGCGGTGCTGGTTGACCTTAAGTGACATGAAATTTTTTTGTCACTTATGGTCAACCAGAATCAGAATTGCTGCGAAAAGTCCTTGATTCAAGTTAAGTCAGAAGTATGCTATTCGTAAGCAATATACTATTTATCACTATCGCGGAACAATGTCAAAAGATGACTGCTGATCATGCATGCAAAAAGCAAATTCTTTTTGAGCGGTTGTGGTACTGGTTAGCCTTGAGTGATTTTGGAAAAATTTGAATCGAAGTTCTGTCATTTTTATGTCACTCAAGGCCAACCAGAACCACAACCGCTCAAAAGGAATTTGCTTAAGCAATGCAAAACTGACACTTTTTGAAATTGGTCCGCGATAGATACTCGTGAAAAATACTGTAAATGGAAGGAAGTAGATTTACAGTTTTTTAAATTCTACAGTTATCTACAGTTTTTGTCAAGCTCGTAAACAGTTTTGAGGTTGGCAACGCTGGATATCGGACACACGCAAAAACAATGACATTGCGATCATACACCAATCTGCGACAAAAGAAATGAACGATAAGTAATCATTTTTATGCAGTTACCATTAATTCTGTTTTGTTCTATTTTTTTTGAATAAAGGTTTTAAATTTTAAAAGATACTTAAAATAATTTTGTT